CATTTATATTAGTACATCTGACCTTGAAAGCTAAGTTATTCTTCTCTTTGTTTTCTCCTCTTGGGCATTTACTGCTTTGTGTCTTCAGTTTGTTTGTATGTAGACACATGAATGCGTGAGTTATGTTTCTGCATGCTTTCTCCTGTGTTTGTGTGTGTGTGTGTGTGGGCGGCTGTGTGTTGTATTGTGCTCACATGTACATGCCTTGTGCAGAATGGTGCTTATATGTAAATATGATTGGGGCATTGTCTCTTTTGTTTAGTGAAAGAGAACATTTAATATTAGTAGTTGTGTTCAGCATCGGGATCAGAACAATCAAGCAGATTGGGGTTTTTTTTATGGATCTGGATCAGCTACGATAATGTAATTAACCTTTTTTGCAACTTCTAGAGTAGCACAATGTTGCTGTTATTTTTTTTATTATGGATTCATTAATTTATTTTTTATTTTCTTTAATTAAAATTTAAGAAAATTGTGAAAAAGCACGTGCCACAATTGAGCCCAAGTTGAATTTCTAGCTTTGCCCAACCAACGGTCTAAAACCTAAAATATTCTATTTACAATGATACAATCAAGAGCAGCCAATTCTCACATTTGAAAAGCTGGAACCAAATATTAAACTAAAATTAAATATTAAAGTTTGGCATTTTCACCAGTGTGTAACATTTAGAGAGCTCTATTGGCAGAAATGGAATATAATATATATAGGTGTGTTTTCATTGGTGTATAATCACCGGAATATAGGAATCATTGTGTTTTTGTTAGCTTAAAATGAAATGCCATGAAATGGAGTATGCCTTGTTGATTCGCCATGTTTCTACAGTAGTCAAGAGCTTCCAAACCAAACACTGGCTGTTCTCATTCCCAGAACATCAAATACTGACGTGAGCTGTGTTCACTCAGTTGCAATTTGCAACTTCACCTCTAGATACCACTAAATGCTACACAATGTTCCTTTAAATGATTAATCAAAATCAAAATTGCTGATAATTAACTTCTCTGTTAACTGATCAATTGACTAATCATTTCAGCTCTAGTTGCCATCACCCTTTTTTTCTTTATATTTTACTCAGTTTGGTCCAGGCAAGAGGACAATCACTGCACCGCCAGATGTTAAGCAGAAGTACTTACAACCTTTATTCAACATAAACAATTAAGTGAAGGTCTGAATGGGCACCATGGGACCGAGAACCCCCACACAGCTCCCACTGATGCAGGCATTAACCACCCTCAAAGCCAAGAATACAGTATATGTCAGTGCAAGCGGAAAATACAAACCTAGACACACCCAGTACAAGCAGCATCGGCCACGCTATAACTCAGAATCAAAATGCAAGGTAATAAACAAGCACTATCACTCCTTACTGAACGGGCCTATCTGACCCCTACTATCATAAGAACACCTCCCCTATAGTATACAACTGTCTTCACTGACAGGAACACCGAAAGCTAGCAAGCCCCCCCCCCAATCCTGCGTACTGCCAACGCCATGAAAAAAAAGCAGCTTGTTATCTCACACAACCTCCAGCATTTAAATTAACTTTTTTTTAAATTATTATTATTCATGCTTGTTTTCCCACCCACTCAAATGCACCTCTAATACTGATGAGAGTCATCAGGCATTTGTGTCCACAGGGAAAGCTACTTAGCTGTCACATATATCTGAAATTTCTTTACTAAGTCTGATATGCATTGTAAGCTGGGTTTTAGAGGCAAAAAAAACATATGTAAAACAAAACTTGTATAGGACTTTGTTTTTGCAGATATTAAATATTAAAAATAAATTAAATATAATGTTAGATCTTTAGATCTCATATTCGGGTTATTTCTGCAGGGTTTTTTAATCATTCAAACTTGTAGCAAATCGGCCTTCTGTAGCCAACGATAGATTTAATGGCGTGGGATGGATCCGAATTTTGAAAACTTGAGCATAGTGATGAATGACGGGTTCACTCCTGGGTGTCTCAAGGGGTCCAAATCTTCAAATTTCAAACTGTAAGAAATAATAATGCCAAAGAAGGATTAACTTAAATTGTTAACACATAAAGTTGATTTGTAACTACACTGTAAAACCAGTATTTAAAGCTCGCTAAAGAGAATGTAGACTTTTCACAGCCACATAGGTTTATAGGCCTGTTGTTGTTTTATTTATCATGGGTGCCACTGTTTGCATGGGTGTATGTAAATGTGTGTTCATTTCTATTTAGTTGATTCTGTTTTTGAATATGTCCGAATGTGAATACAAGCTATTTCTATTTCTACATGCATGTATCTAAGTAATCCCCTGTGAATGGCTGTCCTCCTGCATGACTGGACACAAAAACAAACCTAAACTCCAGTTCACCCTGTGTTCTCTCCTGTTGTCGACATATAGATTTTGTAGCCGCCACTGTTATTAAGCAATAAAAACAGAAATAGAAATGTGAAGCGGAGCTGCCCTTTTCTTTTAATTTCACTCGGCCATTCCTACATCTGTTAACGTCCCTTCTTACCTCCTCAGCACCCATTAAGATTGAAGCCTTGCTTTTCGGGCAGCTCAACATCATCTTAATGCAATTCAAAGACCTACATTCTACACCAGAGTTGCCGTGGCAACAAAGCCCCCCCTCCTCCAACCCCCCTTCCTGAGATGCTGAAAGATCAATAGAGTATCCTCGACGGTGTGGCAGGAAATGCTCTGGTACAGATGGTCTTCTGAGAAACCATGAGCTTTGTGGCCTAGTTACCATCGGAAAACTAACACAATCAAGCAAGGCCACTATTATATTGAAATTTAACTAAATCTGATTAAATCTGAACAAAAGACCCTGTCACCCTACTATAGCTCTTATAGGAGCCTATTTAACAGGAAGTATGCACTACTGTAGCCTACTTTATTGTTTTAGCTTTCCCAGCGTCTTTAAAAAAAGAAAATCTGGGGAATTAATTTAGACAAGGCAGGCACACTGTGCTGCCAACAATAAAGGAGCGTTGCTAAATAAATAAATTCTCTCTGGGGGGGGGTTGGAAAATTTCTCACACAGTCTACCACCTAGTGTGTGTTTTTGCACTAGAAATGGTTTGTTGTGTATATTCTTTGTCGAATAATTTGCACAGGAGAAATGTTTTTCAATTTCAAACAGTTAAGGTGGTTCTGTTTCAGCGTGTAGAAGGAGAACAAGGAGGGAGGGAAGTATTTCTTGTGTCTTTCTTTAATGCAGTCTAATAGTCTACAGAAATGTGGTATAAAGTAGAACGAATTGGTCAGTGTTGAGTAAATTTGATCAACAACCTTTGAGAAAACTCTCCCACTGAGTTGAACTTCTGCGTCAAGCTGTTCCACTTCCCTCAGAAAATGACATCAGACGGACCCAGATTTTAATGAGAACTCTGATTGGACAGCAGTATTTCATAGTTAACGAGGTGCCCTGTTGTCTGTCACTTAGTAGCCAGCCAGCAGGTGTGCATGCGTGTGTGTGTGTGTGTGTGTGTGTGTGTGTGTGTGTGTGTGTGTGTGCAAGAGAGCACAAAAGAAGATGATACTGGTCATTTTCATTGCAGGCATGCAAATGCCACAACCCAGGTTGATTTAAATGACAGCAGATGCACTCACAGATTTCTCACCTCTCTCACCATCTCCAACACTTCTTATCAGACACAGTTAGTTTAGTTTAAAAAAATAGGTGAAAACAGTCTTTGTCTAAAGCATATGAAAAGGGAAGAGAGCTTGGCTTGTACTGTGTTTCTGCTATGAAATTTGGCTGAATGTGGCACGTAAAATATTCCAGTCATTTTTCAATCAAATTTAATTTCGGGGTATTGGTACTGTGAAACTGAGATGCTTTCGCTTTGGGCCCAATGGGGGACAAAATTGGTGGTGTTACGGACGTCAGCACCACCTCAACATGGTGGATAAAGAGGCTCTAAAATTAGTCATGACAAATTGGAGGTAGCATCAAAAAACAGGCACAGTTTGTGTTTAAAAACCCCAGCCAACTTCTCCTGTGTGAATTAAAAAGAGACATTGCTGTTGATTGACACATTGGATCTAGCATGGATCAAAGGTGTCACCCTGTGGGGTTTGATGGGGCGGTGGGATGTAGGAACCCTTATGTTATTCTTTAAACCTAGAAAAGTGAAGTCAGCTGTCATCCGTTTACTTTATCAGCGTTAACAGGCTCTCTCATCAACAATGAAGCTTAAGGCATTAGCAATCAAGATGGATGCCAGAGAGGGTAAAAACCACTGACAATTTGGCATCAGCACATCACCGTTTGTGTTCCACAGGGGTCTCTTATTATTATGGCAGAGGATCACTTTTACTCCTGTCACCACAGGCGTGTTCTCTCCGAGACTGAAATCAATACTTCTAAATGGGAATCAGAGATTCAGAACATCCTCGATGGCTTCATCGGATTGACTCGAAAACAAGACATATTTCCACAGATTTCACCTTTACTTTCTGTTGCCGTGATTTACATGACAGGTTTCTGTCTAATTTTGCAGTACATCTCAGAAGCACAGGGCGAGCAGAGAGCATGAAAAGGTCATAAAAATCCTGGAGCACTGTTGACAAGTGCCCTTTTCTACCTTTAATTCTCCATCCTGATGTCGAATTCAGAGCAAGAAATACACACAAGCCCTGTAACATGATAGAAATGTACATGGCATATACCTTACCTAATATAGGAAAACCGTCCTGTGATCATTCAAGAAATGATATGGTTCAGTGGTGATGCAGCCTGGTGGCACGAAAAACATTCTATTATTTCCATTAAAAGGCTACAGAGACATGGGTTTCTGACAGTGTTGGCGCAGCCTTTCATCATCCCAGGTGCCATTATTTTAGAAAAGCTCCATTTCATTGTGTGATTGATACCTTGCTGGCTGTCTCAGCAATCTTGGTCAGACTCTGGATTTTTGCAGCAGGCTCTCATAAAGCCTATGATGCTATTTATTAATTCAAAGATCTCTATTTTTTGACTCAGTGTCTCTCTTATTTCCATTTGTCTCACATACAGGACCTGGAAACCGATCAACAATGGAGCGGCTGGTTGTGTGTGTGCTGCTGTGTGCAGCTCTGGTGAAGGGATACAGCTGCCCCGGCCGCTGCATCTGCCAGCACCTCTCCCCAACTCTGACTCTGCTCTGTGCTAAGACTGGTCTGTTGTTCGTACCGCCGACAATCGACCGAAAGACCGTTGAGCTGCGACTCACCGACAACTTCATCACGATCATCCGCAGGAAAGACTTTTTCAACATGACTAGTTTGGTCCACCTCACCTTGTCCCGTAACACCATCAGCCAGATCACCCCCCACGCCTTTGTTGGCCTGCGATCCCTGCGGGCGCTCCACATGGATGGAAACCGACTCAGTGTGATAAAGACCGACCACTTTAAAGGCCTCATCAATCTGCGGCACCTCATCCTCGGAAACAACCAGATCCACCAGGTGGCTGCCACCGCCTTTGATGAGTTTGTTTCCACGATAGAGGATTTGGATCTGTCCAATAACAACCTGCGCACCCTTCCCTGGGAAGCCATAGCCAGAATGACCAACATTAACACGCTCACGCTGGACCACAATCTCATTGACCACATTGGAGCAGGGACTTTTACGCTGCTCACCAAGCTGGTCCGCCTGGACATGACCTCTAACAGGCTGCAGAAGCTGCCACCAGACAGCCTGTTCCAGCACGCACAGGTACTGTCTGACGCCAAGGGCTCCAGCTCCTCCACCCTGGCTGTGAGCTTTGGTGGAAACCCCCTTCACTGTAACTGTGAGCTCCTGTGGCTCCGCAGACTGACAAGGGAGGATGATCTGGAGACCTGTGCCTCACCAGAGCACCTCATGGACAAGTATTTCTGGTCCATCCAAGAAGAGGAGTTTATCTGTGAGCCTCCGCTGATCACTAAACATCTTTCCACTAAGCCCTTTGTGATGGAAGGGCAGGGTGTGACTCTTAAATGCAAAGCCGTGGGTGATCCAGACCCAGATATTCACTGGCGGTCACCAGACGGCAAGCTGGTGCATAATAACTCCCGCACCATCCTGTATGATAATGGCACCCTTGATATTCTCATCACCACCCTGAAGGACAGCGGGGCATTTAATTGTGTGGCGTCCAATGCTGCAGGCATCGCCACAGCTGCTGTTGAGATCAACATGATCCCCTTACCCTTGTTTGTTAACAACACAGGCCACATGCGTGAGGACCCCGGCCTCTCAGACATCACCACCTCCTCCAAATCTGGCAACGACACCAAGGGCTACGACAAGCAGGACAGGAGGGTGATGGTCAATGAGCTGACCTCATCCTCCGCTGTGATCCGTTGGCCATCTGAACGCCATATCCCCGGCATTAGAATGTACCAGATTCAGTACAACAGTACGGCAGATGATACTTTGGTGTACAGGTAAGTCATGGTGGAGGAGGCTGGATGGAGGGAGGGGAGGGACTGGTAGAGCAGGGACATGAGGAAAGGTGAGACATCTGGAGATACCATCTGCTGAATGACACGGAGGTACATTATGGCAGATTGACAGATCCCAAAGATGCAAAGTGATTAAGTATGTCCAGAAATAAGCAGAACCCCTATAGTGTAATCTGAGAGATATACAGAGGAAGAATGTTTTTCCATAAATTAAAATGCATTAAAATCTGTTGTAATATGCATAAAATGTATAGTGCACAGACGCACAAAAAAATGAGCTCTGATATTTGAATAGATTTTTGCAATCAGCTAAATATATTGTGGAGTCCAGCACTCTAAAGGACTAAAAGGGCCTTTTCAGCATCATTAAAACATAATACGACAATAAACCATATCATGAGGGCCAACTGCTTCACTGCATGTAACTGTTTGTATCATTAGCAAGTGTCTGGATTAATTGGTTGAAACACCGAGTGTGATAAGATGTGGTTGTCTAATGATAGGCTTGGTTGCAGTGGTAGAAGATAATTTACTTAATGTAGGTAAAGTAGCAACAACACACTATGAAAATACTAATATTAATAATAATATTAAAAGTAAAAGTCCTACTTTTAGCAAAATGTATAGAAAGTACTCCTGCAGAAAAGAACACCCCTATGAATGATATATTATGGCATCTTAACACAGATGCATCAATGTGTAGGCAGCTAGTTTTAGGTACTTCATATACACTTAAGCAGTTTAGTCCAGTAGTTCCCAACCTGAGGGTGAGGCCCTTTCAAAGGGTCACAAAATAAATCTGAGGGGTTGTGAGAGGATTAATGTGAGGAAACTAGAAATAAAGTTTTGCTATACACTCTAATCTAGCTATCTAATCTAAGATTTATTTGTGAAATACTGGATAATAATTATATAATTATAATAATAATTTGGTCTTCAAACTGTTATTTAGAGAAGATATACTTGGTGTGACTTATAACATTTCATAGACATCTGAATCAAGGGGCCCCAACAATGCATTGTATTTTATAACATGGTCATACTTTTAATGTAAAATATTAACTTAAAAAACAAAGTAACCACAGCTGTCAGACCAGACAGTACAAGGAGAAGAATAAAGTTTAAAGAAACACAGAAATAATCAAGCAAAGTACCTCAGAACTGTAGTGAACTGAGTAAATGTACTTTGTTTCTTTCCACTCCAGGGTATAGGCAATTACATGTAATTCAAGTATCAAAAGCAAAATTACTTATTATCCAAAATGCCTTTTTTTCAGAGTATTTTATTAAATTATATGATCATTGTGATTGATGGGTATTATTGATATATTAAAATGTCAGCAGTATTTTAATGTTGTAGTCAAGGTGGAGCCATCATAGTTTATAGGCTGACTATATGTTTTGTTTATAAAGTATTAAAGGTCCAGTGTGTAACATTTAGAGGATCTATTGGCAGAAATGGAATATAATATTCATAGGTATGTTTTCATTGGTATAAAATCACCTGAAAATAAGAATTGTTGTGTTTTGGTTCCCTTAGAATGAGACATTTTTATCTACAGAGGGAGCGGGTGCTCTTTCATGGAGTCCACCATGTTGAACTGCCATGTTTCTACAGTAGCCCAGAACTGACAACACTGGCTCTAGATAGAACCTGTGTTTTTTTGCAGACACCATAGTTTCTCCTACACGCTTGGAAGGCCGAAATTGTATTCAAATGCAATTTGCAACTTCACTGCTAGATGCCACAAAATCGTACACACTGGTTCTTTAATCTGAGAAGTAGCTGCTATATCCGTTAAATGAATGTACTGTAGTGGAGTAAAAAGTTTAATATTTCACTCGGAAATGTGGTAGAGCAGGAGTATTAAGTATCATACGATGAAAATACATCAAGTACAGTACTTGAGTTACTTTCTACCTCTGATTGGTTGCAAAAAAGAAAAAATACTGTGAAAGCACAAGGTCAATATATTGTATAAGTTAAGTTGCAATGTGTAATATATAAAGTGTAAATATAGAGAAATATGGCAAAATCAATACTTGTGGTGGGTATGCATAATGAGCTCTCTCTTTTTAAAACAGTGAGTATAAACATTTGCAAACCTTTAAAATACTGTTTTAAATATGAGAATAAGTTTGATGTGTTTCTTATGCAATATGTGACGCAGATTAACTGAATCTGATACACTGAGAAGTATTTCAGGATTTATGTATTCATGGAGCAAGTTAATTATAGTCGACTTTCTTTTTTTTTTTTTTTTTTTTTAGGGTTTATCAGATATAATGAGTTGGCCTCCTGTATAATTTTCTCATCCGGTTTAGGCATGAAGCTGAGTGTTGTTTTGTCTTTAGGTGGTACATTATTACCTACAAATGATAACCATCAAAGCCCCCCTTTAGGGAAAAGGAACAAGCTTCTAATTATATTAACGCCAATGTTGACCTGAAGACAGTGCCTTTCTCCATTGTATTTAGAGGCATGTAATCTTGCAGTTGCCAACGAAATGGGACCTTACGTATTCACACATCAAAACTGCCTTCACATCATGCGTCACTTGTCCTGCAGCCTGCAGCTGTTGTGGCATATTCTTTAGACAACGAGCCTCCTCTGCCTTGTTTATCACCTTGCAGTTTACCCTTGCTGTCATTTCATACACAAACCCAGTAGAGCAACTTCTCACCGCTATTTTATAATATAAAATATTCTTTCATAAGTCAACTTTAATGAAGTGTTGTGCTTTTTATTGTTCTCTACCAGAATGAGTGATATTTAATGCTAGAGCTGCGATGGCCCTGTTGTCTTTTCGTTGTGTGGAACTGACACCTTTGTGTGATTTAATGCACCTTATGCAAATCAGCAAATGTGGGCGTTGTAATTCTGATGATTAATTGTCTACATCTTCACCGCCGCACTATGTTTCTTTTCTCTGCAGAATGATCCCATCTACCAGCAAGAACTTCTTAATCAATGATCTGGCCGCGGGGCGAGAGTATGACCTTTGTGTGCTGGCGGTTTACGACGACGGCATCACATCATTAACAGCCACACGTGTGGTTGGCTGTGTGCAGTTCCACACGGCCAGTGAGGTCAGCCAGTGCCGCTTCATGCACAGCCAGTTCCTGGGAGGCACCATGATCATCATTATTGGTGGTATAATTGTTGCTTCAGTGCTGGTTTTCATTATCATCCTGATGATCCGTTACAAGGCCTACAGCAGCCCAGAGGACAGCAAGACCAAGGTCAGCTCCAGCATGCACTCCCAGACCAATGGCAGCCAGCAGCGGCTCCAGCGCTCTGCCTCTAAGCAGCCCTCTGATGAAGGCCAGCGTGAAGCCCAGGCGCCCAAAGTGTGCATGGCACTTGTGCTGAGGGTGGACAATGAGAAGAGAGAGGATCCAGCAGCCACCACTGCCATCCTGGAGGTGGAGCTGCCACCCCTGACTGCAGACAAGCTGAAGAGAAGAACCAGCCTGGATGCACAGTGCTCTGGCCCCCCATCTGAGGACACACAGACGGACAGTAGCCTGACAGGCTCCACCATGTCCCTGTGTCTCATAGGCCCCAACGCTGGCACCAAGGAGGCTCCCAGGCTCAAGGACAAAAAAAGTACCCTGGCCAACATGGGATTGCTCCCTAATGAGCTGGCACGAACTAGGCACAGATTCTCTTTCGATGGAGGGGATTACTCCATTTTTCAGAGTCATAGTTACCCACGCAGAGCGAGGACGAGGTGGCACAAGTCCACCAACCAGCTCAACATGGAGTCGTCGCCGCTCGCCAACAGGAGAGTTACGTTCAGCAGCACTGAGTGGATGCTTGAGAGCACAGTCTGAGGAAAAGCAGCGTAGCCGGGAAAGAAACGGCTCAGCCCCACACACAAACATACACGTGTAAAAACACAAATACGTCTACATGCCATATAACACACACTTTTCTCTTGCGCACAGCAAATGATAAACACAAGCACATTTACTTACACATGCAAACTTTCTGTGAGTTGCTGGAGAAGAACACAGTCTCCCTCCATCCTGCCTCCCCATCATACTCCCAGAGAGGTTTGTTGGCCATGTCCTTTCTTTATGCAGCAGTGCCTTATTCTGAAAAAAAAATGTACGAATGGAGGATGCTGCTCACTGTAGTCATAAACCTTCCTCTCTATCATTGCCTCCCACCCTGATAATGGGAAGCATTTCGTTGGATTTTTTTTTTTTTCTCCTTTTTCTGTGACATGCCAAGGGAGCGTGGCGTTTGGATGTGACTGTTTAATTGTTTAAAAAAGAAAACGTAATCATAACTGTAAAGTGAACAGCCAGGTATCCTGTTATGTCAATCATGTTTTGGGTTCTTTCAAAAAAAAAAAAACTTTTGCACAGAAGACACGAGATACAAGGACAAGTATCACCACCAGTCTATACAATAATAATAATAATTAAAAAAAAAGAACAGGATTTTACACATGCCGATTTCTAATGTTAGCATAGAGAGGATGGACCTGGAAACCACCCGTGGATTCCTCTTTGATGGTCGGACTGTATGATGTTAAATAGGTATTGTTCCAGATGTGACTGTATATTAATCGGTACTGTATCTGGCTGGTCTAGATAAAAAGACAACCAACAAAAAAGACATATATAAGTATATTAAAACATTGGTGTATGTGTACTAACTATGTAAGTAAGTAAGTCATATGTCACATGACTTTTTACAAAGCATTTGGGTGTTGGCTGCAAGTTTTTACATTAAAAACCTGTGTCATCACGCCTCTCCCTATTTAGTATGTCAAAGTTTGGACCATTTATCCCCTCACGAAGGGTATTAAATTTTTTGTGTGGGTTAACTGTATCCGTGGCGTTTTCTTCTTGTGCTTTAGGAGCAGCAGTATGTGTCCACTGCAGGGAGGGACACACGAATTGAAATTATAAATATTTGATTCCTGAGTACTATTTATAATGCTTCTGTGAAAGCTGCACGGTGAGCAGAGTGGGGTGTGGGACGAGGGACATGATAACTGCATGCTGAATTCAAATGCAGCCAGCTGTTATTAACAAGGGTGTAAGATCTGTTGCTTCCACTAGGGGGATACAAAGTGCTGTAAGGTTCCCAATAGCTTGCAGACTGCAGTTGGGATGCTTTAATAACCGTTAATAGCAGAAAGCCTGGGGAGCATCCTGCTTTTGGTTCCATTTCTTCTCAAGCAGACTAAGAGCTTAGATGTTGAAAAAGCAACACTTTACTTAAACCACACATATTTGGCACTTATCAGCAGCACTGAATGCAAACATGTAATAGTTTATAACACATTATAATGTAGCTGTAAGCAGATACAAGTGTTTATTAATGTATTTGTCAACATCTATAATATATATATTGTGTGAAGCATCTGTAACTGAATGATTAATAACACAATGTGACACAGTAATCATATTTAATGACATTATCTTTGAAAACATTTAACTTTTTATACACGATATCACTCTCAGGCAGCTTTAAAACACTTTATAAATATGTTCAATACTCATGAAGACATTTCATCACTTAGCCTTCATAAGCAGAATGTGTTCTCCCAGTTGTCATGGCGAGTGATGAAGACATTTATAAATAAATAAATGTATTAAAAAAATATGTAAATATATGTATATTATATTGTAAATATTCATAAAATGTTTATACATTAGTTACATATGTTTCATAAGAGTAGCCCTAGTTGTTGACAAATGTATTCATTAAAATGCACTTATATCTGTTTACAACTATATTATAATAGTTGTATAACCATATTTTATAAATGCTTAATACTGGGGCTGAAAAAAGGTGTCACAGAGAAAGGCATGACAGTAGGAAAAGATACAATCAGAGTGGATGACAGATATTTGTTTGCTGCTACAGAGACCACCCTCTCCTTCTAATTACAGCTACTTAGGACAGGCTGAGATGAAACGGAGCTGCGTGGACAGCAAAGAGATAAAACGTTGAGCAGAGAGAGATAAGTCACACTGGAGGTTTTCAAGCCTCTGGAATCTCCTATTTGCATCCTCAGCGACGGAGAGGATTGAGTCTAAGAACGAGGTCATCCCTTCCCTTTTTCCTCATCCAACCAGTTTTCAGCCATGTCATAGTCTTAAAGGTTGTGTTATTTCCCAGCTAGAAGAATACTTAACATTAATGTTTAAATACTCAGCTGTCAATTTGTGGTGCACCAATTTTTCAACCCTTGTCCATGTCCTCATTAACTACTGATGGTTTCCAGTCTGGTGACCGTTTCTCACAGCAGGAGAAGTATTTCTGTCTGCTCCCATCTGTAACCATTATTCAATACAAAATCTGCTTAGGCAGGAGGAGGCTGAGACTTCACCCAGTCTTCAAAATTGGCCAGGGCAGCCCAACTAGCTAACACTGGGAGCAGAGCAAAGTGTGTTGTGTCTCATCAGCAGTTCTGAGTGACTGCAAGAAAATGTGCCTTGACTTGGTGAGGGTGAGATTTTTTTCCACTGAAGATCCCATTATATGTTTAATGCATAGTAATGTGTGTTTGAAAAGTCCAATCTGAACATGGTTCAGTACGCATAAGGTTTAAAGTCTTATCCATGCCAACCATGCTGTCTGCTCTACAGTACTGCAAGTTTTTTAAGCAAACCATATTCCAACTGTGGTTAAACTTTGCTAATGCAAAATATGTATAATACTTTTCTGGGATTGGTTGCTGCTATCATACTTCAGTATGATACCTGCAACAAATTACACCTGCCAACTGACTCAAAAGTGCAATGTTTTAGTCCCAGTTGGATCCTTGTGTTGCCTGTTTTCCACAAACCTACATGTGATTCGGGATGCCACAACCTTGAGCATCTGCCAATACCAACACTGTCTTTTCCCCTCGCATAAACAACTAAGCTGTTAATAATACATTTGTGTGGATGTACCTTCCTTAACCCAGTCATCTGGAAGACATAATGCTCAAACTGTTAAACTACTACTCCCAGTAACTACTACTGATACTACTCCCATGAAGGAAGAAATACATAGCCTACAATATGCCTAAATTGCGAAAATGCATACATTGCACTCGGCTGTTTTGTTAATTGTGCTGTTTTCCTAAACCAGCTGCTATCTGAACCATTTGACTTGAAAGAACCAAACATTTGTAAAAAGTTGCACTACATCTTGAGTCTTACCATCCCTCATGAACTAAAGTTTGTGCCAATCTGTCTTATAAATGTTGAAATATTTCTGTCCTAAGTGGTGGCTAGCATGGCTAAATATAATGTTAATTGTGGAAACAACATTACTTCTATCATCTAAACCATCTGTGAAAGGTTGCAGTAATAGACATTAGCAGGAGTTGCAGCCTTTATATAAGAATGGCTTTATAAAAAGCTACAGTGTGAGCCGCATACATATTTTTTCCTTATTTATAATGTAGCAAGAACAAAAAAGGCTATCTTTTGTTTTTTTCCTTCTAAATAAATGTTTTCATTAATAAGTTGTCTTAACTAGATAATACTTAGCAATAAAACCAAATTTTGGATTTTGCCCTCTTGCCAAATGCTTATTAACCTTGACAATCTGTTTTAAAAAACCTGCGTCAATACCGATTTGACCAGTTGAATTTCGTTTGCTTTTTTCCATTTCCAAGATTTGGGCAGTTGCAGCCAAGCTCAACACAGCCCACTCTCTGCTGCTTAGAGAGAACACTTAGCCTATTGACACAGACTCAGCAAAGTGCTTTGGGCTTTTCCAGTACACACACACACACTTTCAAAATGGTTTACCAACACTTCCTCCGGCATCAGATTATCTAAAAATACACAGATGGCTCAGGCCTACTACTTGTTACCAGGTTTATTTAGACTTTGTCTGTTGGTAAAAAAAAAAAAAAAAAGGTAAATACAAATGTAGTCTGACAAGTGTGACAGAAAGAAACTGACCAGCAGCACAGAACAAGGTGGTAATATGGTCTGAATAGTGCTGTCTACAAGAATGTACTGTTAAATGATTATCTCTTTTATGTTCAGGGTTGATTTTGGTGTCACAGAATCTTTTTCTACACCATTAAATTCCCACAATAAGGCTTTACAGGGATGGAAACCTGCTGCTCCTTGGTACAGAGCTGAACTACTGAGTGCTCTTTGACTAGTATAGCAGTCAAAGAACACTAGTCTGCAAAACACTAAAGTAATTCACTTTGATCACGAATAGTGGCTTATTAAGGTATATCTCCTGCATCATAATAAACCTGCATGTTCAAACTGGGACAAGACTGCAGCGAGGTCTTTGATCCGTGACACCCAATGGAGAGGAAGCCGCCCTCTGTGTTTTTCTTTACAAACAGCCTGACAAATAAAAAAAAAATATCACAAGACCTCAAATCGGAAAACGCTATTTCTTATCCCGGAGGTTATTTCCAAGTATTAAAGCATGAATTATTAATTCACTTATCTAGATTTACACTGCCACCTCATTACATTGGCTCCAAACACATGAACGTTATCTAAACAGTCGGGTGGAAATACAGTACATCAAGGAATCAAATGAAAATGTCACATCTTTGCCACATAATAAAACATGTATTACTTTCTGTTGACAAAGACAAGGCTGGTGATATTCTATATTTTTTCTTTATACATGACACCCAGTGACATAATTTAATAAGGTTTCTATGGCATAAAGTAATAAGGAACTGTATGAAAGTGATTTTTATGTTGTAAAAAAGCAAGGTCCTGTCCAGGGTTCAATAATGTTTACTTTGATCTTAGATCAAACTGCAACAGCCTCCCCGCAACATATAGAATACCTCTGGAAACACAAAAATGACTTTGTCTTTATGGCTGAAATAAAATTTGGGACAAACTAACAAAATATACCAAACCCTACCTCTTTTTTTGATCTCCTTTCCCCCCCACAATAATTTCTGTACAGTCCCTGAGCTATATCAAGTTTTGGCGACCCAGATAATACTTGTTAGTCTGATAAATACATTGTTGGTTTTTGGTCTTTCAATCAGATTTGTTGGCAATAAGGAAATACAGAATATCACCGTATCAAAAAAAAATCTTCCACCATTTTTAAATAACAAATATTTGTTTGAAAAAAGTTAAGCAAAATAGACATTTATTTTTCACTTATGACAATGTGCTGCATACAAATATTAAAATTTACAAAACTAAAGAAAAAAAATCATGAATAAAAGCAAATGCACATTCTATCATTATTGTTGAGGGAAGTTGCATAATTTGTCTTTTTTTCTTAATATGTAATAATAAAAAAAATAGTTCATTCTGGACAGGAGATCTGCTCGTGAGGCAGACTGAGGCGAGAGTCGATCAAATCAATGAGCCCGCAGCCGACAGAATTCTTCATGAGGCAGGTGGTGGATAACCCCACCATCTCTCTTCATGCTGTCTGCAGTGCCGTGCAGTATGCTTCAAGACCCTGCAGAGGTGGATGAGGTATTGGTGCACAGAACGCCCACAGAGAGGACTGACAGCACAGGTTTGTTGATGTCCAACTAAATACAATACAGAATGGCCCTGCAGACAAAAGCCCTCTGTGAAGTTAAGGCTGACAAAAGGAATCAGCTGTAGTTTTCTTGGTCATTACCCGAGCCAAGCGTCTGATCACGTCTGTGCATTTCAGTCTCCAGAACTACCGTGTGAGCTCTCCTCGCCTGCTGCTTTCCAGTTTTTCCTCCTCTTCTTCTTTGAGTTTGGCCCTGAGTCTGAGTCTTTGTGGGAGTCCTGCTTTCGCTTTTTACGACTGTGAGTCCGCCTCTCCCTTTCTTCTTCATTATTGCTGTCCCCTGAGCTACTGTCCTCGTCTCTCCCTCTGGTTTTTGCCGTTTTCTTGTTTTTATGCCGACTCTTAGACCTTTTCCTCCTCTGCTTGTCTTTGGTAGCATTGCTACTATCGCTGCTGCTATCGCACTCTGCTTTCTTGCGTTTTTCCTCCTCGTCTTTCTTCTTCTTTTTCTTCTTCTTCTTTCGAGAGGATTTTTTCGATCGTTTCGATAAGCTTGCGTCTGTGCTAGACTTGGACTTTTTCATTTTGTGGCGTCCAATCTTCTTTGCGCCACTGTTTTTTTCACTAGAGAAAAAACAAATTGAACAAATTAAATGTATGCTAAACAGAGCATGGTAAGGTTTTAGGTATGACATAATGCCTTAAAGGGGCAATTCACCAATTATACACATCGAGGTCAGTTTACTCATCATAAGGGGAACTATTCGGCTGGTGAGTTGTCATTCTGTAATCTCCTCCGAGGCTCTGGAGGAGCTTTCTAAAGTCTGGAGGGAAAAAAAAACAACCCTTGAGCCTACAACAAAAAACCACTGAATGGCGTTCACGCTGTTTGGGATGGATGGTCGATATGTGAAGGATTCCCATGTTAACAGTCTGGGAGTGTTCACGTCAGCAAGATGTGTATGATTACGGAGTTTATGGCGTGAGGAATAAAATATGTGTACTGACAGTATAACACCATATCCATTTAATCTGGGTTCAATTTCATTGATCGCTGGTATTGGCGAGTGTGAGGTGAACATGTTTGTGCTGTTTTCAGTCTCTTCGATTAGTAAGTGCCAAGTCGGCTATATTTCAGCTTTCAGTTTCCCAATCGGAGGTTGACGTGAGTATAATTTAGAAGTCGGAAGTCTGTGAATGTGGCATGACAAAATATGCTACCAAGCTGCATTATGGGAAATGTAGGATTCAGATTTTTATCTCAATCCCTAAATAATTATTTTAACAATATTTTTTTTTAATCTCTCTCTTACATTACCCCCAACTTTAGAGAAGTACAGCACTAAATCTCTGGAGAGCCCCTTTAAAATACTGTCATATAGAGCTCAGTTCTAATCTCCTGCGTATTTGATGCAGTGCTGCATTTCTGCTTACCTGTCACTTTCAAACTCGTCCGGATAAAGCTCCTTGAAGCCGCTATGTCCCCACCTGTCATGTGAACACAAGATGAAGATGTAAATGTGTCAATCATGTCTACATTTACATTGTAGTATGGATACATATGCACTGTTCCTGATAAATAAACAGAATACAAATAAGAAACCAATTGAATTTCTTCTTTTTATCTTTTAAAAAGAAGTGCAAGATGAAGATGTCGTCATGTACTGTACCTGTCAGGATCATTGGACTCAAAGTCATACAGTTTTCGAGTCCAGTATCGAGCCTCTCTGTCATCATGTTCTGAGACTCTCTCTCTGCTTTGGCTCAGGTCTCTGGCTTGATCTGGCACTCGATCACAGTGCATTCGCCCCCTGGATAACAATCATCATCGATAAATCAAACAACAAAATACAGTAACAGCTTTCTAAGCCAAGAGCTACATTATGAAACATACTCCCAAATGAGCTTCGGTGTCACTTCCAGTTCCAGTGGCTAAAATTAAACTGGGACATTGGCGGTTCCTACCTCGCACTCTCTGTATCTGACAAATGTTTGTGGTGTGACATTTGCGTCTCCCAGCCGCGCATTTTCCACATCTCCATCTCCTCCTGGATCTGCAGTGGGACATCAAGAGTAAGTACATTAAAGACTGACCACACACACACACACACACACACACACACACACACAGACACACACGCAGACACACACGCAGACACACTGCGTTATTTGAATTCACCCAAATCATTTACATATGCAGGATTCAAATATCTACATGCATGGATTCCTCAAGACTGCTGGGTAAAAAACACCAAACACACAAAAAAAAAAACACCTGCAAATTAGTTTGTGAACCTGCAGTAGGCTGTGAAATATCAGTATCACTAACTTACATTCATATCTCAGCTCAAAGGCATTTGTAACCAGGACCTGAAACTGGATCAGTGTATCAGAAAAAACTGATCGAAAACACAACCCATCTCTATTTTTAGAGATCTCTTCTGGACAGAGAATCATCAGCTATTCTAATAACTGTTAATCATTTAACTGTTTTTAAGCATAAATGCCAAATGTTACATAGTTCCAGCCTCTTTGCTGCTTTTTATTTGTCTTACAGCAATCTAAGGACGCTACAAAGACTTTACAGAAAAATTACGATACAGATTGATGAATTCAGAAAATAATTAAGAAATAATTAGCAGATTACTCAATAATAAAAATAATATTTGGTTGCAGGTCTACAACTGAATTTAAGTGTTAATCAGAAAGAGATTACAAAGGGGAAGTAAGTTGAGTCTATGGTGAGAAGTAGTTTACTCTCAGTTTGTTTGGTTGCTTAGTCTACCCCTATTTATATTACTTATATTAGGACTGCACAATATGGTAAAAACATCCTATTGCAATTATTTTTGACAGATATTGCGTTATGATTCACGACTAGTGGGACTGATCATTTTTTTTTGCATCAGTAATTTAATCTTCACTGGAAAAAAAAGAAAAAAACCCAAAAAAGGCCAGGGAATCACAAAATTGCAGCTTCTTGCAACTGATATATTGCATTTCAATAATATTGTTATTAACTGTGATGCCCTCATTTATATTGAATCAATGTTGGCAGAGAAAATAAAATCAGTGCATGGCAACAACATTCAACAATCAACAGCACCATTCACCACACCAGCACCATTATGCCCTTCATAAAGCCAGGATTACCTGTTGTATTAGTTTCAGCTAGGTGTGCCCAGGAGTACCACTGACTGTGTATTCCCACACAAACACATGAGCTCAAACGCACCTTGTTGTGGGCATCTGTGTGGCGGATTACATTCCTCAGCAGCGTCTTCCCCAGCGACTGCTTTGACATGGTGACACCTGACATGAGACAAATGTAAGTCTTCGGCGGATAAAAACCTATCGCTGGTCAATACAGCTGAAGATGAAGAGTGACCAGCGATAAACACACGATGGCTGTATGTGCTCTCATTATCGCCTGTTAGCTTAGCTCGCCAGCTAACACTGTTTGCTATTCAGACACAAGAATAAAGTAAGAATAAGAATTAAGGTGGCTATAAACTGTTGCCTGGACAACAAATAAAACTACTACTACTACTCGTTCGCCGTAATTTCGTCAATGTGTACAAACTGTACCTTTTAAAAACGAGTAGTATTCAAGAAGGACAAAACGCGGCTCACAGCCTCTACCGGTACTTCCGCTTTACCGATAGGCGTGACGCTGTGTTACGTTCTACGTCACTGAATGTTGGAAACACTGCGCTGTGATTGGTCCAGCGATCTGTCAATCATACTGCTAGGCGCTGTGAACCGTTCCAGCTGGTGGATATTCAACACTGCAAATTTTTAGCTGCAGAAATTTGCACTATCGGTGGGTCCACGTTGTTTTTTGACATATGCGTCATTAAAAAGATAAGTAATTATTGATAAAGATGTGATAAAGCTTACAACAATTTAATTAGATAACACTTGATAGCAGAGTCAAATAATATTGACTTGATATATAAAAATAAATCTTGAATATAACATAAAACAGACATTTTATATCAGCATTTTATATCAGCATTGAATCAAATAGCTCACAGTTGTGAATTGGTGATCCCACTGAGACTCAACACTGGCTAGCTCATTGTTTAGGTTAACTCGACCCACAAACCAAGACAATAAAAGAGTGACTGATAAAGAAAGTCAGACATTTCGCAAGAAAAGAAGACCCAGATATTATTTCTATCATTGGCAGGCTGAACCACGGCAGACCAAAATACAACAGGTGGCAAAAGAAAGAGGACCCCGCTGGAAGATCATGTCTTCTGCTGTGTGTGCAAGTAAGTAAATACAATTGTTTGCTTACAAATTAGCCATAATAACTTGTATCTGTGAATTTAGTTTTAAAAATAGCAATACCACAATACTCTGTTGCAGAAGTTATTATAGTAGAAGAATTACTCGATTAAGACAACTGAGGTATTCCTGTGTGCAACAATTCAATATCGCAGCTGGTCCATGTAAACACATATATAAATAATCTGTCCATATGTATTACTTTATATACAGCTGGGTGGTTTATGATTTTCCTCCTGGGGAAGACAGTAAAGTCTTCATAATTATCATAATTTCATATTATTATTATTATTATTATTATTATTATTTCTTATATTTATTATATCATACTTATTATTTGATGATTATATTTACTAATAGAATCTAAAGTCAAATCAAATCAAATAACTGAAGTGGAGTAAAGAGTATGTTTGCCTCTAAGTTTAAAGTAGCAGAAAATGGAACTACTTCAGTAAAGTACAATTACTTTACTACTAAAATTGTACTCAAGTACGGTGTTTGAGTAAATGTACTTGTGTTAAATTTACCACCACTGAACATAGCTCCAGTGAGACCAGAATGTTTTTACTTTCTACATGTGTCAACAAGATATATGTAAATGTCAATACATGCTCATACATGTACATGCTCAGTAAATACAACAGTTTTTGGGTTGTTCGATGTCTCAGAATAGTTTCTTCCTTAATCGAAAATAATGTTAAACACAATTAAATAAAAAGAAACTTCACAATACCAGAGTTATTAAAAATATGCATTTTCTCCCTGCCTTCTGTCTTTGTGCTTTGTGCTAAGACTGGCTAGACATGTCTTGGCTTGACTTGTATCTGACCCAAATAAAAACAAGCTGCAACCCAGTTCCACTAATGTAAAGTCCACAAGGGCCACAGGGCCTAGCTGCAAGATCTGCCATCCACATTATGAACGTACAAAGAGTACTGTATAAACAATGTAAAACAGTTCTGGTAATATAACCATTTACATACACAATGTTGAAAGATGGATCACTTTGTAATAACTAATCAGGCCTCAGCCTATTTAGAATACCCTGGTGGGTATGCAAGCCAATATTTTAAACACACAATATGATGAAGAGTCAGCTGCACTCAATTAAGTGGGAGCCTAATTAGCGGTTTTAATTAGTAGTGTTCTCGGTTACATGTATGAAGTTGTTCCATATTACCACTGACTGAGACGATGATTGTGCTCCCAATATCACCCAGTGGGAGTCAAAACTTCATCTTATTTTATGTATGTATATTAGAGCTAATTTTAGATAATTGCCTGACAGCTTTATGCTCAGTTGCACCTCCTACATGGTGGATATAAAAAGTCTGCAATAGAATTGTCTCTTACATCTTTGCAAACTCTTCGAAGTAGGCTGCATTTCACCAAACTGAGCTGCCTGAGCCTTAAAGTCAAGCTGAGAAAAACAGCCATGTGTTTTTTTATTCTGAAAAGTCTTGTTTCGTTTTGTCATTTTGACATCAGTATGTCATTTTTTTGGTTAATACTTAGGCCCTTGAACTATTGACACCAATCACTCTGGTCATTTTCTGATGCAAATCTTTTTTGTTTGTTAATTCTCTCAAAATAGATCATTGATTCAAACTACAAAGCAGGGTTTTCAGTCTAGAAACAAGTCAATTAACAACAAGCGTGACAATTCTTTTATGTTAAAGCTGCAGAAGTGTCCATTTATCAGTGGAACCAACTAAATGTTCTACACCGCTGCATGTCAAAGGTAAAACTGTACTTTATAGATATAAGAATGTAACACTGACAGGGGACATTCAGCAGCTTCAGTACATACTTTTATGTTTACTCTAAGCACATTCCGCTGTACTTTTACCTAAATAAGAGTTTGAAGGAAGGACTTTGACTCATAATGGAATATTTTCATGTTATATTGATATATATCTTATATTGGTATAAAATCTGAATCTTTCTTCCACCACTGCTATGTATTACTATTAATTTCTGTTTGGAAATAATTAGTAAGAAAGATGAAGTTGGTAACATATTTCAGTGAACTTTGGTGTATTCATAATAATAGTATTAATATCTGATTCGGAGGAATTTCCAGGGCATTCTTGAACAATTATTTTCCTTATTAACTATTATGAATGAAACAAAAAGTCTTTACTCAACTTTTCCAAACAGTTTCTGTGAGTAAGATAACAAATCTAGTAGGCTGTGCAGCTCTGAATGCTCGATAATTGTCAGATGATTTCCGGGCAAAATTGTTTATTTCATTACGGCAGTGCATTAATATTCAATCAGATATTTTGGACAAAAGCTGATTTATAATGACAGAGTCTGACTTCCAATCATCATCCACTCTCTCCAGTGTTGCCTCCCAAACAATAAACCTAAACAGTCACAGACTTCTTTTCTAAATTGTATTTGACAACAAAAATGGATGGGATTCTCAAGGACAAATCTCATCAGTCTGCGGTGCTTCATGCATATCTGTTTGAAGGTCACTGAATAAAAAATAAGTGTGTTTCATAGCAGGCACAATAATAATTTCCAATCAGAATCCATGTGACAATGCAAACAATCTGCTCTATTTTAGCAACTCATTTGATTTACAAATTGGCCGACTGCATGTTGTCCCTGTGGCGAACCGGCTTTCTTCTCACCTCCTGGCTCCCCGGCGGTGAAATGACTTTCCCATCACACTCTGAACAGCAAAGTCACTCCTTAAGTATCATCCATGCATGAATAGAATATTCTCCATTAAAGGAACACTTTGTTTCCCCCAATTCCCCCCAGTCACATCTTGGTCTGCCAAATCTTCATTGTCTGTCTGTTTTGTAACTGAGTTTGTCCTTGTCCTTGTCCTTTTAGTATTGGAGCAAAACATTCAAAGGGATGCTCAGAATAAAAATAATAAAAAATGTGTACAAAGAAACAGTAGCAACTTAATGAAAGTATATGAGAGAAGCTACTGAATTTTTAAACTGATATCAGTTCCTTCCACCCAATATTTCTGCCACATATAATTTGGAAATAATTGAATTCTTCCATCAAGTAGGTGGGTGTGCAACATTTTTGTTATAGCTTGCACAGAAAAAAAATATTTCCTGCTTGTTCCTATCTGCAGATTTGTAAATTTGTTACAAAACAGATTACTGGGCAGTTCACACAGTGACCCTGGTGTGTATTGTTGATTTATGTGATGATTATGTAGCCCATAAGAACTGATTAATTTTGTGATAACATAAAAACACATTGAAAAAATTTTAATCAACATTTAAGAATATAGTAGTTTTTAAAAGTTAGTTAATAGTGTGTTATTTATTTTTTAAAATTTGTTTTATATATTATAATATATTTATTGCATTTTTCATATACAACTTAGAACATAGAACAAAACAGCTCAGACATGACATAGGCAAAATGAGTGTGTAAGAAAAAGAATTACAAGTAAGTAAGAGTATTGGGTATTGAATCCATCCCCAACCATCACCCCCAAAATATTTGAGTAATAATAATAATTGAATTATACCATCAAATTGATTTATATTATATATATATTTATTTTGACAGATATTGCAATTGATGATTAGTGTGGAAATTATCATATTTGCATCTCAAATTTAAACATGATGATGTGACGTTTGTTTGGGTCTGTGCCAAACAAACATGTTTTTTTAAATATGGAGAACAAGATTTGTAGGCCAGGGTATCTCTTCAGAACTATAGTGCCTCATTGTAATGCTGTTTTGTCTCACAGTTTACTTTTATCGAAACGTTGCAGTTTCTGCTATTTGCATATTGCACTTCATCATGTGGAAATTTCAATAATATTTCGATTAATTGTACAGCCCTACCGCTGATATAGACTCCCGATACAGTGTGTAAATTATATGTATTTACATTATTGCCAGTCTCACTAAGTTCACTGAGGAGGAACAAAGATGTAAATATTATCATCTTCATGTCCTTTCTATACCAATTTTAAAGCTTTAATTACTTCCCAGATTCTGATTATTGACCCAAAATATAATCAGCAAACAATTTGTGATGCATTATTAAATATAATAGTCAAATCAGTCCTGCCTTTACCAGCTAAAACTTTAAAATGATGCCTACACAGTTATTATTGTCCAAATATATAATGTATAATATTGTGAAATGGGCCATTCTGCGTAATGAGTATAAAGAATTTTAATGCAACTACTGTAGTGCATTTACTTACTGTACAGTGAAATCTAAAGGTGCATTAGTTTGCTGGTCTGCATACATTTCACTCTACCGTAAAGTGGCTCGTTGAAGCGTGTTGCTGATGGAGCTCATGCAGAATTTAAGACACTGTCATTTTGTTCTGTGCAGAGCTGCAAGCTGCCACGTCGAGACCTATTTCACATTCTTGCTGATGACACCAGAAACATTTCTAACAGCTTAATGACAGTGTGCTTAGCCAAAATGCCTTTCAAAAGACTACTTAACACTAGCAGCACATGTCATAGAAAACCTTTTGTTTCTGTTTGCCTGCTGCTCAAATTATATATCTGGCACTTCTTACAGTTTGGTTTAATCTCATGTCTCTAATGTTTCAGGGCATTCTCTAAATAAGTCAAAATGATTTTTGATGTTTTTATGTCACAATTGCAGTGAAAAAATTGTCATTGCACAGCTATGAAAAATGTGAAAACTTCTATAACTGTAGGCTGATGTGTGCATTCCATAAATACCATTTTCTGTTTGCTTATTTCCAAGTAACTCCTTCCTCCGACCGTGTAAATATATCATTACCCTCTCATATGTTTCTGCTAGTGTGATATGTTGTTGTTGTGCAAACCTGTGATTTTCTCAACAAACAAAAGACCACACAGATTTTCATGTCTGTTTTTCAATCCATATGTCGGTTCTCAATTTAGCTGCAGTGACATACAATACAGAAAAAGCAATGGGAAAGGAGAGAGAAGGAGAAAATCTCCCTCCTCCTCCATGTGAAAGGAGAGAGCAGTGGGGAAAGGAAGGAGGAGGAATAAGGGAGAGGGGGGGAGGGTAAACACACCCCAGACAGAGCCATGTCTGACATCCTCGCTCACTGAAAGAAGGAAGGACTGATACAAAGCCTAGTGCGACCGAGCAGAAGGGAAAGAGGGGAAGGAGGGAGGGAGGGCAGAGGGAATAAATGCAAAAAGACCGGCGGAGAAAAAAGGGTGAAAAAGATGCACAAGAGCTGCATCAGTTCTTGTCCGCAAGGAACAAAAAACATTGTGTTCGTGAATGGGAGCTGGTGAGCTCAGGCACAAGGCGAGTGCAATGAGAAACCAGGCAGACTTCAGTCGCTGGTGTTGCTGAGCACCAATCCTCCCTCCCTCTGTCTCTCTCTGTCTGTCTCTGCCAGCTAGGACTGAGCCTTGGTATGATTTAGGGGAAGTGTTGAGGGCTTTTGATTAGGATTTTGGAGCTTCATATGCTGCCGGAGAGGATTTGAACGTGCTGTTATTTCTGATTGAACACAGTGTGCGACGTGGAGACTCCTCTGGTAGCTGCTTTCAGGGCTGTTCCCCTCCCTGCTGCCTCTGGCTGTGTTTGGGCTATGGTCCTGACTGAGAAGCAGAGCATCACCCAGATGCGTGGCTCCGACTGTATGGGAGGTTAAGTCTGTGAACACCAGCATGGGAGCCAAACAGATGAAATGGTAAGAGCTCTTTGTTATTATTATTTTAACATCATGTCAATCCAGGCTGCTGTTTTTGTCTACAGTGCAGGAGTGCCTCAGTAGCAGAGATACATTAGGCCTAAATTCAGGAGTCAATATACATAACATTATCATCTTAATAAGCATGTGTGTCTCGATGTTAGCGTTAGAAAGGCATTTCACCATAACAATGTGACTTTGATACCCTAACTGTGCAGGTTATTGTTCAGTGTTTACAGTGCAGTAGGTGTGGGTGTGTCCCTGTATGTGTCTGTGTGAGCTGAGCTGCTATTGCCTAGCAACCGCACTCTAACTTCCATTACTGGCTCTTCCATTTCATGAATCGGATGAAGATTAAACATTTTAAGTCATACTAGAGTTACAAAGGCAAGATGTTTGTTTTTCCACAGTTAAATAAGGCTTGTTTTTTTGGACTGTGATCATATTAAAAAGCCACCATGTTTTCCTAGATTTACCGGACAAGCCAACTAGCAGGCTGATATTGAAGTAATCCTTTAAAATTTACTTACAAATAAAAGTCTACTAACTAGTTAATGTCCTGACTTTTAATGTTGAGCACAGGTAACGGAAGAAGTACACAGGTACTTTTGTAAAAGTACCAAATTATAATGTAAAACTACTCCATTAAAAACTACCTACCTTGCTAAGCAAAAGTTCATGAGTATAATCATCTAAATGTACCGTACTGTGACTGACATATTACTTTATGTAACATCAGACTTTTGATAATGATGCATCATTGTGTAAGCAACATTTTACTTATTTTACAGAGATTTAAACACTTTACACAGTTATGTAGTCCAGTGGTTCTCAATCTAAGGGTTGGGCAGCAGCAGAGGGGTCATGAGATGATTAATGGGAGAAAAAATAAGAAGTTGCTGCTACATGAATATGTAAGGGATTCTTTTTTGAGAAATATTAGATAATTTTACCTTTAATTTGCCTTTTTGATAGTCACAAAGTTATTGCAATGAAACCATCTGGGAAGTTTAGAGGGTAAATCTCTCTTTGTTGGAACTAGAGAAAAGGCCTCAAGCATACACTGCTTCTTTGTCACTGTAATAACTGGTTTACTCTAACATTATCATAAAATTAACCCTCTGAAATCTAGGGATGCAGAAGTATAACGTAGCATAAAATAAAAATTTCAATTAAAGTACAGTACTAAAGTAAATGTACCTAGTAACTTTCCACCACTGCTGATCAAATGATGTTAATCTGAAGCTCATCTCTTGCAAATCCCAGCGCTTAATCTTTGGCTTAAACCATATGTTCCAAATCTATCTGTATGTTTGTGTTCTTTCGGTGCAACAGATCAGCAGCGAGCATCTAAAATATATTTGTATGTTAGTTTATTAAACTGCTACACCTGTAGACAGTGATGGAGGATATCTCAATTATGTCATTATCTGCAATGGCAAGATTAGTTGGAGGAAGCTGTTTAGTCCCCTTTGCAGAAACACTTAGGGAGAATCACAGCATCCAATAAGACGCTCAGTTCATATGACCTGCTGCAATTACTCTTTCTGCTTCTGAAGTTTGTAGCCACACAATTATATCCTATACTTTAACCATACTTGCAACAAGATGGTAATGTCAGTCTGTCGGTAGGTTCGCCTCTTAGGTCCAGACTGACGTATGTCAACAACCATTGGATACATTATCATGAATTGTGGTACAGATACCCACATCGTAGTGACTTGGTGATTCTCTCACTTTACCTCTAGCACTGAGGTCGACATTTGTGTTTTTTTGTGAAATGTCTTAACAACTATTGGATGGATTGCCATGTAATTTAGTACAAACATGCACGTCCCCCTGATGAATTAAAATCACTTTGATGATCGCCTAATGTTTCGTACGTTTAGTGTTAATTCTGATGTTAGCACACTGAACCAGGATGGTAAACACAGGCTACCTGCTTAACATCAGAATGTTAGAATTGCAATGTTAAGCATTTAGCATGCTGACATTAGCATTTAGCTCAATGGTGTGTCACAAAGCCGCTAGCATGACTCTCTGACTCATGAGACAGAACTGTGGTGCACATTATTAGAAGTAGTCACAGCCACATGAGCACAATTCATCCATAAAGATGCTGTGAACTCAAAATTGATGGATAATACAAATTTTCCTGTTTTTTGTGCTGAGTAATGCTATTAGATAAGTAGAAAATCTCATCGGCTACAATCTAAATCTCGCTGCATATGTATGGGAAGAACATGTTTAACTGTGCAAATGCAATCCCTCGGGACATTGTTTGGTTTGCAAACAGTTTTATCCCACAGTTTAAGTCCACAGATATGCTTTCCTGCTTGTTTTTTTTGGCCTCAGGAACACAGTGAGGAATTGTGATGCTTTTCTATCCCTTTTCTGGTACAGAGTTTAGATCTGTTTCCGCAGATGCAGCCTTGTTTTCCCATGCAAATGCAGAGGGAAAGAAAGAAGGAATCCCCTGTTAAAGGACCATGCATAATGCCATAGGTCACAGGTCACACTAGCTGTATCCTATTTCCACAAACACAGTAGAGTGTAGATGACAGCCAGCCTGAACCTCAGGCTGCTGGAGATGCTCTTAGAAAACACAAAACGCATATTCATACAAGCTGCAAGAAAACCAGCCATTCAGAAACCATACCAGGATTATGTTTTGAAAATATGGCCAAAGGGGGAGCAAACTATGTAAGGAATTTCCTGTGGGAGAAATGACAGAGTAGCATGCATTTCTGCTACCCCTGTGTATTTTCTGAACAGGTTTCAATCCTGCTTTATTGTATGATTTTATTATTAGTTAAATAGTCTGTGATACGCTGTATTCCTATGGGCAATATGTGTTTAAAATGGATATGGTTTAAAATATTTAGCCCAGATGGGATTAATTCACATTTGTGTGCTCCTTAGGGAGTTATTAAAGTGTACATCTCCATTTTATGTAGCTAGGTTTATTTATTGCCATTCATTTGGCAGGAGATGCAAACACACTCATTCCTGCCTGTGCCCACCATCTGTTTCAGTCTCAGCTCAGCCAGCCCTGCTCACTCCCCCAAAGAGGAGTATGTTATCACCCAGTCCGCTGACACCCCTAAAGAGGAAACAGTCCATGATCAGTCTGAAGACCAGGGGGAACCTCGGGATGACAAATCTGAGCTGACAGAGAAGAAATCTGTCACAGGTTGGTTGGCTGCACATCAACTCTTGTAGAGCAAGATACAATGCATTGAACTGCTGCTGCAAAAAAAAAAAAACTCCCTTGCGTCATCTCCCCTGTGCCTCTCTTCCTTTAGAGGAGGTGTCTCTGTGTGGATTGTGTCCCTCCCTCGGGCATGATGAGCAGGAGGAAGAGAAGTCCTGGGAGGAGCAGCTGGACGCCCACCAGGAGCAGCTGGAGAAGGAGATGCAGGAGGCCAGGAGGATGGTGTTCCGCCTCCAGGTAAGTCCACTTAAAAAGCAAGCTGCACTGCCTCTGTGAACACATGGACAGAGGGCACAGATGCACCAGAGGAAGATAACAGCTCAAATATAGCATACAGTGAGACTTTAGCCGAATCACCACCAACATCTCAGATTTGTTTTGTTTAGTAATTCAAATGAATGAAGTGGAACAAAACACAGCATAGATATTTTAGACTTTTCCCTATTCAACAATGACGATCAAGGATTTATATGGACATATGGAGTTACACATGTAAGAAAAGAAAGAGAAATAAAGTAAGTGTACAGCAACACTTGTAATTGATATCTGGGTAAATGCAATATTGTATGGAAGAATATGATGAGAAAATAAATGAACAAAACAAAAAAAGGCTAATATAATCTGATACAATTACTAATTAATTGTTAAAAATTGAAGTCAATAGCCTAATCCAAGAATCACAATATTAAAGTAACAACAGACAAGTAAAGACAGGAGAAAAGAATTACGTGTATTCTATTAGAATACGAAACAGAACAATGTAACCTAAAAAAGTGGAAACCAAGATTTTTTGCATCAATAGCGACCCATGTACCGAGGCTGAGTCCTTGCTGCAGCGGCCTAGGGTTCGAATCCGACCTGCGGCCCTTTGCTGCGTGTCATCCCCTCTCTCTGTCCCCCCAGCTGTCTCTATCATAAAGGCAATAAAAGCCCCAAAAAATACTTAAAAAAAAAAAAAAAAAAAAGGGTAATCTCCCTCGACTACCTCATTAAAAATCTATGATTATGCAAATTGTGTTCATTTCTAAAGATTTCCTTCTGGACACAAAATATCTTCTACTTGATTGTTCAAGTCTATTCTCACTCACACTTCTTCGCACTGGAGGTATCAAGTTTCTACAGCTGCATACTGGACCAGGATTGACTTCCAAACTAATCACACACAAATAATGCCCCTTTAAAATCAGATTTAAAACTTTCCAGTTTCAGCAGATGAATTTGAAAACATCCTTGTAGTGTCGAACTCTGCACATACATTGTTCTGCACGGCGAAGCTCAAACATCAAACTGTAGGAACAAGAAAAAGAAAAACATATTTTTGAGTGGAGGGAAAGTTTAAAGAAAATCGTGCTTCTCATTAAGCAAATTCAGGCGGTAACTTACAGACCGTTTTCATAGCTGGAAGGCATAACTTGCAATATACTGTGATGTTCTCGCCCCTCTCTGCTTTAAAAGACAAAATAAAGAAGTAAGAAGTTTCTACCCAGTGAAAGAATTTTTTTCTTTAATAAATTGGCAACTGTAAGATTAGCTATACTGAGAATCTTCTAATATGTGTGCACTGCGCATGTGCATGGTTATATATTATTATTCAAAATGTATTTTAAAAGTATAATAATCCCTATTTTCACTATATGTAACTGTAATGTGATGGATTACAGTTACCTTTTTATCTGTTGCTCCCTAAGCCTGATTATTATTTTAACAAACTTTTTTGACTATTGTTTAACCCTTCAATGATTTAGATTTTTCAGTCGGATTATCAAGGTAGAGTTTTTATTTTGTGATGTGAATATGTTTGTGTATATACGTAGATGTGTAGTGTTTATGTGGGTAAGTATGTGTGATTTTCAATATGCTTTCATTTGATGAAGTTTAATTCAGTTCAGTTACTGGTTTTAATAACTGAAATGGGAAACTTGTGCAGCCAAGTACAATAATCCCAAACTGTTCTATTTACAAAAACAAACAGAGAAATAAATTTAATATAACTGCTCTCAGGGCTACACACTCTGTGTCTACATATATATCAATATATTTGTGTGTGTGTGTCCTCAGGCTTTGCTGCTCCATGGCTCCCTCCCTGAGGAGGACCAGGATGGATCTGTGAGCTTCGGAGATAACCGGGCTAACACTGAACAGCAGCTGGTACAGTGCCCTCTCTCTGCTAACTTGAGAAAACAACACTTGCTCGCCGCTCTGTGTGAAGTGTCAGTGTCAGCCCTTCTGTTGTGATGATGTTTGCAGCCATCACTCCTCTTGAGAGTGGCTACTGTAGAGCACAATTGAATCTCTCTGATCTGCTAGCCCGCTGTCATGCAGGCCCACTGCCTCCTCATACGTTCTGACATTTTTCTATTCTCTAATTACGCTGCTCATACCCTCTCCCTTTGAAGGTACTAATCCGCAGTCGTCTGGACCAAAGCACGGAGGAAGCCCTTGATCTCAAGGTACAGTAAGTAAATGTAATTAGGTTTAATATAGATGAGCTGCCTTACAAGCAGAGAGTCCCTTTCTCTAAAGTCTCTGTTCATTTGTGTGACTCTTAGAGGGAACTCCTGAGACACAAACAGGAGGCACGCCACCTTCAGGCCATCAAGGTAAACCTCTTACTCTAATTTTGTCCTTTGTGTGTGAATTAAAATGGATTAAAGGATATAATTCAATCTATTCCAACTCTTCTGCTATCCTGAATTGACGTCTCTGCATTCCTATCACACACAATATGCATTTTTTAAAATTTCTTTTACAAAGATAATAAAGTTTAGAGGCAGGTGGATCTGTATTCAGGTCTTCTCTGGACGTTTCTTTGATCTCCCTCTCTTTCTCATTAGGATGCTCTACAGCAGCGCCTGGCAGTGCAGGAGGATGCTGTGCTGCAGCTAAAGCAAGAACTGCTGAGGTGCAACATGGCCAAAGATCAGCTGGAAGGGGAAAATGTGAGACAAGTGAAGATTTCCGTTTGACACGATAAAATATTTGACCCGCTTGACCTGCGTGGATCCAGGTTTATGTGAGAGCAACATAGCACTCATATATCATTGTGATATATCTGTTTGCAGGCAGAGCTCAAACACAAGTTGAGTGAACGGAACAAATTACTCACTGAATACGAGGTATCGTCTTTTATTATTTACACTTCAATGCATTTGTTGGATATATACATGCATACACAGACTTGTGTCATCCATCTCTCTTGTCACAATAGCAGCAGCTCGGGAGGAAGGAGAGAATACTGCAGCAACAGCAACAGAAGTTCGACGAAGCTCATAAAGCACATGAAGTCACCCGTGGACGGGTAAGGATCACAATATGTTTTTCAACAATTTATGTGTTTGGATGTAAATTACATGTATAATAATAATTATATTATTTATACAGGTTACAAAGTATGATACACATGGCGGCAAATTAAAATAAACAAAAATTGTATTCAAATATAACATTGAATAAGGTGACAAAAGACATTAAAGGTGGGGTCAGTCTTTCTGGAGAAACATAGTTGATTCCTGAGTCTTGTTGAGGGCCGTTCGTGCTCCCAGGTCGTCAAATACCAACACTTGGGGTTTGCCATTTGACGACCTGGGAGTGAGACTCAACAATCAATCAACTTTTACCCGGAATGACTAACTGCACCTTGAACAGTAAAACGAATTCCAGTAATATGAGATAAAAGAAATGAAGAGATAGTTCAAGTAAATTAATTAAATAAAAAGACTCTTTTATAAAGAGATTTGAGGGATAAGGCTGGCTGTATTATGTATTTTTGTTACTGTCGACAAATTCCAAGAATACATCATAACCAACATTGTCTTTCTCACTCCCTCACTTCTTCCCAATAACCCCATCGTCTCTGTGGCTCTCAGCTCCAAGTTTATTGGCTCCTACAGAATACAAAATAACGCAATTTCTGAAACAGCTGCGTACTTCAGTGTTAAGCAAACGTTACTCAAACAGGAATAAATAGTGGATTTGTAGCGGAGAGCAGCAGGACTCAAAATAAAATTGCAAAAGTACCAGTGTCCATTCTAATAATGAAACTCACTGATGTGTTTTAAACTGTTGTTGTTTTTTTGGCAACAATGGATGCTCATAGCATAGAGGAATAAGCATACACAGGTCTGGTCAGGTCTTTTCACGGCATTTGTTGATAATAACACAATAACATAATATCACCAGGCTCATCCTTTAAAAGATGACAATCAGCCTGCCTTATTTACCTTTTCACATGTATTGTTGTCCATTTTGCAGTCATTCAGGAGTGAAAGCGGTGGTTACAGTAACTCAGTGGCTTCAACATCTCCTGCAGCCTTCCAACACAGGGCACCAGTATGTACTCTTTTCTATTTCGGTCTTTAATCAATACTATGAATTGCTGTTTATTGAGTTCATTTTGATGGCTTATTGTATAGAAGCTAATGTATGGTAGGACAAGAAAAAATTGATGAAAAGTTATGCATGACAAAAATTAGAATACTCATGGTAAATCATAATTATGAGACAGTAAGTCATAATTATGAGAAAATAAGTAAAAGTTATCAAAATAATGAAGTTCTAAGTCAAAATGATCAAATACTAAGTCAAAACTTTGACTTATTAACTCAAACTTATGAGATAAGTTTAAGATAAGCTGAAATAAGCAGACATTTAACTCAGTATCACAACTTTAAATCAGAGAGTTAAATGTTTGACTTAGTATGTCATATGTTTGACTGACCATGAGTATTTGGTGGAAATGTGCTTCCATACTTGTTGTCTTGATATATATAAAAAAAGCTACATTTAAAGAAACTATGAGCATCAAGAAGCTGTTTGTTACAGGGGGAAGAGCTGCAGCTGGTCAGGGAGGCACTGCGTAGTTTGAGGGACAGCTTTTCCGGTCATGACCCCCAACATCACACCCTGGACACCCTGGAGCAGGGTGTGTCCAGCCTCATGGACCGATTACACTCTTTGGACACCCAACGCAGACAGGACAGAGGGGTACGCACGCACTTTCACACACAATTTCAAGGTAAAACAAAAAATGTATTCCACTGTTCACCGTGAGTAATTGCTGCTTCTTCCAGGAGGAATTCAAATCGCCAGGACGCAGAGCCAACTCCACAGACCGTGACTCCTGGCCGCAAAGCTCCAGTGAGACAAACAAAATCTTTATTTTGTTTAGGATTTGTCATCCTCTGCAACATCTCAACCCTGGCTGTTAAATCAGATTATGCTGTTCAATTACACTGCTATGTATGGAGAGGACATTATTATCTGTGAGGCTAGAGCCATTTTAGACTCTGGTTGTGAAAAACTGTTTGCTGTGTTTGTAATTATTTCCAGAAATGGCCCACTCACACAGCAGCCCGGGATTGGACACCGCCGTCTCCACTAAAGTGCTCTACTTCACTGATCGCTCGCTCACTCCGTTTCTGATTAACATCCCAAAAAGGTGAACATAAAAATGCTTTATGGTGGTTTTATATAACAGCATTATTGTTTGTTCCCTCAGTGTAGCGTGCCTGATTTTTAAGCAAATTGCTGTTTTGGTTGGAGCAGCACACTGAAGGACACGTGGCTTGATTCAGGCACAACCAGAGCTATGCATAGATGCTTCACTATTTGTGCTTGTTAAATGTTTATCCTAGACGAGCTTGATATCCATGTGGGTGTATGGGTGCATAGATCATGACTAACAGCGTGCTCTTACAGGCTGGGTGAGGTGACTCTGCGAGACTTTAAGGCCGCTGTGGACCGACAAGGCAGTTTCAGATACCACTTCAAGGCCCTCGACCCGGAGTTTGGCACAGTGAAAGAGGAGGTAGGCGTGGGAGTCAAATTATAGTCCCTACTTCTTTTCACTTCAGCTTCAGCAGGCAAATATGAAATGGCAGTTAGAGAGTAAGATATGCTAATAATAGCCGTGGCTGCGATATACTTCAAACCACTGCAGGAGGATGGATCCATCCCAGAGAATTTGATAACACAATGTAGTAATTTTCACTTTCTATCTAGACCTTTGTACATTACAAATGTGAGTACTTCTTGGATATTTAAATGCTGCGTGTTGGCTATGCAGGTATTCCAGGACGGAGCAGTCGTGCCTGGCTGGGAAGGGAAGATTGTAGCGTGGGTGGAGGAGGACCACGGAGAGAGGAGGTAGAGCCCAAAAACCAGAGATCACCACTGCAAACCTCAGTTGTTCCCACTGGACCAGGATTCCACTGAAAATACGTGTGATGCCATAATAGAGAAAAAGTTATAACGCAATTAACTGGGACCAATGGATCGAGCATCATTTCGATACAAAACCATGTTTTAAAAGTGAATGTTTCATATGAAGAATTTGACTTACTTTGACATTTTGCAGCTCATTAATTGTCAGTAATGTGATACTTGAAACTGGAATTATAAAAGAAAGTTAATGAGATTTACAATAAATAACACATTATAAGCTGTGCTCTAAAAAGTTGTAATCAGTGCATAGTATGCCAACCTTAAAACAAAAGTGTTTACTGACAATTTTCACACGTTCCAGATTGCCAAATAGTGATGTTGTTGTTCTGCATCAATTTTGATGTTTTAATAAACATGAATTATTGCATGGATCATTTTGTTGTCAATTATTCCCGGAGTGTACAGTAATGACACTGTACAACAGCTCCTAGCCATTATACACCTCCACTCATACGCCCACACATTCATAAACAAACCCCACAGATTGTCATTAAAGTCAGTAAATTTTTTTTTTGGGTTAAGAATTACATTTGCTGCTGCAGATCAACCCACACAGTGACATATTTGCTTCAGTAAAAACATCCTTTTGGTTTTGGGAAAGGACCCGTTTACAGGGGGACTGATAGTTTGTTAGCTGAAGTTTCTCCATGGCATAATGTGTTCACATGGCTTTTCATATTGCATAGCAGGAATTTAGTTTTTACTTTAAGGCATTCCCAGCAGGACAGATCACCTCTGTATACATCTGTTTCCCCATTAAAGCAAATGGTCAGACAATATCCACTCTCAAAGTAAGTCTTTGTTTCTTCTTGTTAAAGATGGCGGTAGCAGTGTCTTCATTTACAGGTGTTGGGAATTCCAAAAGCAAACGGTAGACATCCTCCACTTCCAGTAAGACGTCGTCCTGCGGAGAAAAATTCATTCAGCACACTGTAAGACTTGCTAACATAGAAACAGGCCAATTATGTATTTTTCATGACATCCAACTACGCACTGACACACTCTGGATTCTAAAGTGGTTCATTATAACTGTTCAAGGGAGTGTGTAACTGCTAACCTTGGAGATTCTCAGCTGGCAGTCTGACATGGAGCAAACCTTTGGCAGGTCTACTGTCAGCTCCATGCTGCGAGAGACTCCTGCTGTATCCGTCTTCACCTCAAGCTGGTACTCTGGCTTCTGAGGCTGCACGAATGTGGTAGAGATGACCTGGATCAAACCCTTCTTTTTGTGCTCTGCAGGTCTACAGATAATTTGGGCTGCCGGGTCGTCATCTTGTTTCTCTGAGTGTAGAGAGGAGATCTGCTGCAGGAGGGCAGCTGGGGTCTGACTGGCTGTAAAAAGGGAATGCTATGGATTATTAGAAACTGTGGTAGAAGGTGAAAGAGGATACTCTTGCAGCAGCAAAAAGAAAATAGCTCCAGTTGCGGCTTATCGTGGTATAAGACGTATTGCTCTACCTATGTTTGGTTGTTTGGAGCTGTTAGGCCACTGCTGAAACCCAAGCCGGCGATACAAATCATCTGGGCTACTTCTTGGGCAACAGCTGACGACCGTGTACGTTTGAGATAACCTCATCCCATGCTGCTGCTGTGCAAAGCTCATGGCCAGCATATAGACTTCTGTTTTGTCTTTCTTAATTTTCTGCAGCACTGCTGGGTTAAATGCCACATCCAACACTGTGTAACACCCTGCGAAGGAAAAAGAGCAGTTTATTAATTGTCTTGTTTACATGATGTAACACAAAGGCCAGTTCTGTAGTGATGCGGCACAGCTTTGTCTTTTACCTTGACCTTCATTTGTGTCTGTTTCCAGCTTTCCTGCACAAACAGGTAATGGCCTGCTGGGATCCTGAGGTGCAGGTACACGTTTCCAGCTGCATATATTGATGTACAGCGACCCTTTCTCGGGCTCCTGTAGAGGACACAGATGTACCGTCTGTCAAAAAATACTGTCAAAACACACCCCTATCTCTGACCTATAAACGGACCCAGCGTCACTGTGTGTCGTAAAAGTTGTTTGTTTTGCATTAAGGGGCAGATAGTATAAATTAAACTAGATTTAACCCATCAAAAGAGAATATTTTCTGGGTTTCTCAGTCTTTTGAAAGCAAAGAGAATATTTTCATTTCTAAATTGTAAGTTGGACAGAACAATATGTTGTATTGAAGATGTTACAAAGGCTTTTGGGAGCTTGTGATGGGCCCTTTTCACTATTTGTTGACATTTTATAGCCCAAACAAGTATATTAATCAATAATTTAAAAAGTAAATGTATTGCAGCTCTAGAAGACAGATAGTGCTTAAATCAACCTGATAGACTTTTGTCACAAGAGGTGTAACATGGTAATATAATTAATAGTGGCTGCTTTTGATCTTTGTGCCAATGCCAGGGGCGGTGTTACACCAAAGTCTGTGACCCATCAGATTCTGCAACAAATTTTAATGAAATGTGTGATTTTTTTTTTATCCTAGAGGGTGAACAAAGGGTAAAACAGAGGATAGGACAAAGGGCTGAGGAGATATTCAAAGGTGAATTGTTAATACAGACCTCTACACTACAGTTTCACTATCAAAACATGTCAAAATATGTTACCCCTCTCTCTCTCTGTATCTATGGGGCCTTTTCCCCAGGTTACAAAATGTGGTGCAACACCTGTATTATTGAGGTTGTGGGAGGGAGCCATCGTTAATGAGACACACCTGTGCTGCCCTGCTTTGACGTAAAATGTTTGCCGTGAGAAGGTCGTTTCTGCAGGATGGATAAGCTAAATTAAATTTATGAAGGCCGACACAGTTAACAACTCACCTCTATTTCAGTGCACAGACTGGAGTCGAGCTCAGGCGGTGCACTGAATTCAGCTCCTTCTTTCATCTGTTTCTCCTGGAATTTGCGGTAGGCTGCAGGGTCATTTTGAGAGAGGTCATCCAGCATGGACCAAAACTGGTTGACCTGCTTTAAAACATCCTCTGTGCTACCAGTGGACGACATCTTCAGGTGGCCGTCTTACTTTGGAGTTAGCAAACAGTAGCCAGTAGCTAAGTTGGCAAGCGAACTTATAACAAATAATTTAAACAACGTTAGCTAGCGAAAAAGTTTAAGTTAGAAAACCAGCCTGGCTACAGTGTTGATAATAAAAGATGCTCTAAATACTAAAAATATAGCTAGAGCAATAGCATACAAGTTTAACAAACTTTCTGTCTAATTATACGAACGACTAACGCAAGCTTAGTTAATGTTGTCAGTTGCTATGGAAACTAGCGAAGAGGAAACGTCACACGGTTGCCACCTGGCGGTCAAAGGCAGAGCTGCAGCGCAATAATCACACTGGACACTGGGTTTTTATAAGAGCCATAATTTATATTCAATACATGAAAAATATAACATAAAAATTATTTTTTATGTCTCCAGGCTGTCTTTATGTATACACTATGTAACGGACATTTAAAGTAAAAATATGAACTATAGTTTTTTAAATATCTCAAACAGTAATATCAGTAGCGTCCTCTGCTTGCTTCCAGGAGCCCTCCTCAGTAGCTCTGCAAAGAGAAACAGACATTATCAGCAATGTAAAACCTGTACTTATATGCCATTGTGCAGTTTCCAATTCTGTCCTGTTGCTGATAATATGTTAATGGCTGTGTATGAAATTAATTACAGCTCTCTGATATGTCTGCATTTGTGTAAGATATCTTTCATTGAAAAGTAAAAGTACTAATGTAAACACTCCATAATAAGTTAAAAAAAAACCCTGCATTCAAACTGTTATTTAAGGAGAGGAACAGAAGCATTATCAGCTAACTGTAGTACTCATGAGGCAGCAGAATGACTCCCCTCAGTGTTATATTATTAGATTATCTTTATTATTGATGCATTACTTACTGTGTGAGCAGCATTTTAATGTCCATTAAGGTGACGCAAACTTTAACTTTACATACTGTAGTTGTGTAATTTTAAAGCTGCAACAATTTATGCCTTCATTGATTTGTCAGTTAAATAACTGATGAATCATTTCAGTAATTTTTCAAGCAAAAATGCCAAACATTTGCTGGTTCCAGCTTCTCAAATAAAATGATGTGTTGCTTTCCTTGTCTTATATCATAGATGTCACCTTGATGTCTCTTTTTTTTTTTTCATTATCTAACCTAAACAAGTAATCATTAATCGATAATGAAAATAGTCGTTGTAGCCCTACTCAAGTCTAAATCATAATGCATCCTATATTATAAGCTTTATGTATGTAACATCTTAACATTTTCTATATCTAAATAAGTCTGTTTACCTCAATCATGTCATAGATCCAGCCCAAGAATTCGGCCACCTTGGTGTAAACTCCAGGATGGTTGGGCTCAGCGCAGCCGGTCCCCCAGCTGACAACCCCTACCAGCCTCCAGACATTGTCTTCCTGGCAAACGAGAGGACCCCCCACTGTCCCCCTGGAGAGGTAGACACAAACACTGTTCAATACAAACTCACCATGCCTTCATTATGCCAGCGTTTCACCGTAAACAAGTCACAGGGGGGAGAATGAATGTTTAAAATGTGTCTGCAAAGTGCTGTTTAAAAACATGCATCTGACCTGACATGCATCCACTTTTCCCTCTGTGTATCCGGCACAAAGCATCCGTGGCGTGATCTCTCCATTGTACATGCAGGAGCTGTTACACTTCTTTGTGCTTATTATGGGAACTGGCGCCTCTTTCAGGGTGTCGGGTGAGTGAACTGAGAGGGAAGACACACGTTTAATGCTGCTCTGTCAATGGACTTGGCACACGTATTCATGTGTGAATTAGACTTGCAGCAGATGTAAATTTGTTTTAGAACCGCACAGTTGCGTCTTACCACCCTCAGGCTGTGTGTATCCCCATCCAGATATCCAGCACTGTGTGCCTCCTGGAAGATCATAGTCATACTGAGGCAAGCAGACAGGTCTAATTGTATCTAGTTAAAGGGGGGGGAAAAAATAACATTTTCCCCTTTACATTATAATTATGACAGGTTGGAACATGATACTTTGGATAAAAATATGAGTTTTCATTAAAATCATTTTTATAGTTATTAAGACTTTTCTTCCATGCTGTTTGAGAGACAAACGCATACTATGTTGTTGTTGTTTTTTTATCCCTGTAGTGGTTTTGTCTTTTAATGGGCTCCCTCAAGTTTACCTTGCACTCTGAATATGGTTGGGTTCACAAGCTATTGTTAAGTAAGCCCCTTAAGTCCTCCCTTCACTCAAAAATATGTTTTCCTTGTTGTTGCTTCACTTGGCTGTTTGACCCTCACTGTGCAGAAGGATGTATTTGCAGAGTTTGACACTAAAACTTATACAAACTTGAAACCCCCAGTGCACATACGCTGAGAATCAAACATCTTGTATTCAGCAGTTAAACTTGAAATATTTACTTTTGAATAAAAGTGTAGATCACTGCTCATTATAGTTACAGAAGTTGGTACACCCTACACACTTGGCAATGATCGCTTATTCTGTAGGAGGTGAATACCTCTCTTGTGGTGCCCCGAAGGCTTGTTTTCTGAAAAGTGTCAGCATGAGAAAATGAAACGGTAAACTGAGGCCATACTATTGATTGTTTTGGTGTTTTTGGACTGCTGCTATCTTCCAAGGAGGCTCTCAGACTGACCTGAGAAATTCAGCGGGGTCCGTAGTTTCATCAAGGCTATATCACTGTCATGGCTCCTGTGGTTGTAGTTTTTGTTGTAGATGATCTTCTCCACAGCGTATCCCGTGTGTTGTGCCATTTTAGCCGAGCTGCGGGTGACAATACCTGCGTAGACCGCCCAGCTGGATACCTGAGGTAGCCTGTAGCTGACATTTTAGATAAGAAAAGAGGAGGCAGATAGGAAAGAACTGTCATGTGTCCAGTGTGGTGCAGCTGTTAATGACTGATAATTTTACTTCGTGTAGTCTGTAACCCCCAGACCTTTTTAGTGCTGGTAAGGTCAGCAGTCTTACTTGTGCACACAATGGGCAGCTGTGACTACCCATTGACTGGTGATGATGGATCCTCCGCAGGTGTGACGGTTGCTGTAGTAGAGGCTGACCTGCCAGGGCCACCTGCCCAGCGTGGCCTCGTCTCCCCCTATTATCCTGGGAAGCTTTGCACGTGTCCCACACTCTACACAGAGATCCATTCATCAAAAAAATAGTTGGATTGGTCAGAAAGTGCTGCAGGGAGTGGCATCGTTCACTCTGTCTGTCACCAATAAGCTTTTTCTTAATCATTATTAAGGAGCTACAGGGCTCGGTATTGGGTGCAAAGTCAAACAAAAAAGTTTAATTTGCTCACCAAAACATTGCAAAGCGATAACCTTTCCTGTGTTACAGCTCCCCCTAAATGAAAATAAATTGGGTAACTAATGATGCATAATTAATGTGTTAGTAGCCACAGTTTTCTCTGTATCATTGTGAGTATGATTTCCTCAGACAAATTGCCTTACCTGAATTGCCACATATTTTCCAGGTTGCTCTTGTGTTCTGAGGTAATTTGTATAAAGCCATCAGTATAGTTTGGACCGATATCAGTTAGATTCACGCCTTTATGCTTGGTCAGTCTGGTAAGAGAACATATGAAAATTGGTGGCAGTGAGTATTAAGATAATTCAGACTCACAAGGTGTGACGCAAGATTGCAAATGAGGTATTTGCAGGTCATAAATAAGCTGAGCCTTCAACCTCAGCAAAGAAAGCCAAGATTAAACTATGAGTTAGTGAGTGGACGCTCCAGTCTCAATTAGTGTTAAGGGCTGAGGTGGTGTGTGGGATCCTGTCAGAAGTGCAAACCTCAGATAACCCAGCTGTCTGCAAACCAGCGTTCCCAGAGAAGAGTTCCACCTCTCGTAGCACACCGGCAGCCAGGTGGGCAGCTTCCCCAGCTGGATCTCCAGGAGGGAGTTCTCCGGGCTGATTCTGTAAAACACTGAACCTGATTGATTGAAAAACCCTCCAGAGACAAGCTCTCAGTCAACAGTAATGAACAAGCCTCTTCTATGAGTGGGAAATGATTAGGAAAAACACAAGTATCTATGCTAATGTAGTCAATACAAACAGGTCATTACGTGTGATGTTTTCATGTATGTCAATGGGCATCTTTCAAGAGTGAACAAAAGGCAACAAGAAGCAGCTGTTGAATGTTAATTTTGCTACTGTTCAACTCAAAATCACTTCAGAGGCGAACCATGACCCAGTATGATGAATCGTGTAACAATGTGCAACCACGCAATCCTGCACTGGCGGTTAATTCATAAAACTTTCATTAAAAAATGTCTGCCTCCAACAAACACCTGAGAGATGAGGAAACACTGACCTTTCCTGGGGTCAGAGATAGAAATATCCTCTGTCACGTTGCAGAAAGGCGTCTCCTTTGTGTCCCCAAGTCCCACTGGACTTTGGGAGTAGGATGGCCTCAGCAGAAGTTTGACTATATGTAGATAAAGATATACATCAGTTAATTAGTTGTAGATAAAAGATATAAATCAGTTAATAAGCAGCAAAAACATGTTAATTTTCACTTAATGTTACCATATTATCTGAATTAGTGCCCAGAGATAGACAAACCCTGTATTTTAGGGAATATTTTGGAGGGTGTAATGAAATGTTTCCATATCTACGAGTGCTGCTGATTAGGGGAAAAAAACTCACTAAAACAATACTCTAGGCACTAGATGATTTTTTTAGGGAGGGGGGTTTGTCTGTTCCAAAATCTTTCCTCCGAGACTTAAAGGGGTACTCAAGCAATTTATTATTGCTCTTCCATAAAGTTGGGGGACTTGCTAGAAATAAAAATTAAGGGAGCAGAGGACATTATATCCTGACTTTTAGTCCCCGGTACTGGCCGAGCTCCAAAAACACTGGATCCTGTATTTCTAACATTTCCGATCAAAGTCAGTTTACTCTAAATTACTAAGTTGATGCTGATGTGTAAGAATGGTGAAGTACCCCTTTAATGAATTACGCATTTTGACATATTTCTTTTAAAATATAGCCGTAGAATCTGTTTTCTGATATGAGAAGCAACGTTCTGAATTACTTTTGCATCTTGTTAAAAGTTTAATTTAGTAAAAACACATTTCACTTTTACATAGAAGTGCCAGATCGATAAATCAGCCAGGCCAATATATCAGCCGATATTAGCATATTGCAGATTTCTTGGTGTCAACATACAGTATATGCTTAACAAGAAATGAATTATAGTACAGAAATGCCAAAGACCCTGTATGTATTGGCCTCAAATACCCAGTAACCGTCAAACTCGAGTGGCTGTAGACAATTTGCACATTCGTTTCCAGTTCCTGGTTACTGTTAAGTTAATTTATCTATTCTTACTCAACACAATGACTCACCTAGAAACCAGACACCTACTGCTAAGCCTCCCAGGAGTCCAACTGCGCACACCACTGCCAGCAGCCTCACCAGTCTGTGAGCTAAAGCAACAATTATGAGTGGAGTTAATGCCTTCTGATCCCAGATATGAGCTGAGAAGAATTATTAAATGTCAACTGTTACATATATAGTGCGGTGACACACAGCACTGAGACAGAGGCAGAAATTAATTAGCTATATTCTACATATGCACAACACTTAAGGAGTTGAGAAGCAAATCTACACTTTATCTTTGTGCTGTAGATGGTTTGATTCAGTGATTCTTTACATTTAGAGCAGTGTGATTTTGGTATTAATGAAGCAAGATGGCTGTTGTAGTCTTGATGCCCATCAGGTGACGGACCACTGGAGCTTACCGTGAGTCGTAGAATGAATCCCTTTTAACCAGCCCTGCACTCCCTTGGTTGCTGCGACTCCTGCTGCTTTCTCTGAATGAAAAGGATGGCTGACAGCCGCTGGGTTCTCAATCACTGATAATGTATCTCCATCAAGACTCTATAAGAAGCAGAGTCAGCACGTCAGACCTCATTTACAAGTCGCTCCTATCTGATAAAATGTTGGCAAGTTTGCTTACTTGCAACAAAAACTACCTGCTGACCATCTGCTCATCAACAACAGTGTACCTGTCAGGCTCTGTCAGATTTAATTACAAGCACTGTAATCTGGATATTAACCATCACTGACCAGTCCAGATGTATGCAGTCAGAGCTGTGGGTGTGTACAGGTGTGCGTGTCATGTAGCTCCGCAGTGTGCAAGGTGTAATAAGCAAGCTGAAGTCTTGGCATGTCTATTTTGTGACTTGTAAAACGCATTTTTCCTACAGTCTTCAGAAAAGTTTTACCACTCTGGAGCCTGTGTGTGTGTGTGTGTTGGGATTACTCTCCAAGGAGCAGCTGTTTCTATAAGCAACATATTGAGAGTATTACAGTAATTATAATAAGGCTCTCCATGGATGTGAGATGCAGACTTAGTATTATACAATTGCAACACAAAATCCATCTAAATAAATGCCATACCATCTGCTCTCTTGTATTACTGTAGCAGTTGAGTGTAGCTAAACATGTAATTTTAGATTGGGTATCAGCATGAGTTGTATATAGTGTAAAAGCACTTTAGAATACAATACAGCTGTATAGCACAGGTCATAAGATGCACATGAAAAATAAAACATAAGTAAATGTGACAGAAACAAGTGTGATATAAGTTTTAGGGGAGCACTACATGTGTAAACAGCAGCTGTTACTGTAAATTGTGAAGGTGACAGTATGAGAGAGGTGTCGTTGCCAGCTGGAGCAAGATGTAGTGAATATTTAGTCTCCCCTTCCCTACCATGTTTTCCTTGCGTACGGTCCTGAGGAAAAGGCAGCGGTGTCCGTGCTCATCTGTAGGCCTGTGCTGGAGGTAGAGAGGTCCGTCCCGCTCGCAGCTGATGAACCATTTGCCATTTAACAGAATGCAACTCTGGACTTTCCCTTCACAAAGAGACAATGAGGTCAGTGGTGCAGAGAATGAGGCTGTTGTTTGTCCAGGGGGGTCATGGGGCCTGTGGAAGCAAGCTGAACCAGGTCTTTGTAGGGGGGGAGCATCTCCAGAGATACCTCCACGCTGACTATTGATAGGACACCGGGGGTTGCTAGGTTACACTTTTTACCTGTGCCAAAAGATTTTCCATTTTCACCTGAGATATGTTATTACCTGACAGTTTGTAGCTTCTGAGAAAAGGTCATTATTGCAGATTGTTGAAAAGTCTCACATCATGTCAATCCCCGTCATTTGGAATCCAAAGCTATCATCTCTCAACACTCAAGAACAAAATGAAGTCTGTTCTGACTGCTCGCTAACAGATGAGACTTTCTCCCCTCTCTTCACTCATTTAACCAGCTCACAGTCTGACTGTTTTTGACAACGTTGCGTTCTTGTATTTCAAATATCGTCTTTGTTTTAAATGCAGCAGAAAAACTAACTTGAGTGGTTTCAACAAGGAATCGTTATCGCTAATAATAGCACGAATAATTACTGAGATGACAAAGGCATGCTCTTTGAGAATAGTGAGAAAAATTGTTTGAAGGAGATCAAAGTCTGTCTGCGCGCCACTTCTCAGAAGACACGTTAAATTTTTATGGATAATAAATGATTAATTAGGTCTTTGTAGGTAAAAAGAACACTGGATACAAAGGTTGTTTATGTATCGCCTATATGTGTGGTGTGGGATTAGCAGAGCACAGGTGAAGGGAACAACTGCCAGGAAGAAAATTCCTTCTCGTCTGACTGTCAAGGCAGGATCCAAGAAATGGCTCACATCTATTTGGCTCATCTAACAGGTGTCATATGGAATTATTTGGAAATCAAACACAGAGTAATGAGCATTGCAGCAGTGGCGTGAATTGCATGTGATGGAGCAACAGCTGAAATTCATATTGCCAGGGTTGTGAGGTTAATAATGTTTGACAATATTAGCATTGCTCTGAATTGTTCTCCTGCAGAGGCAAACAGAGGAACAAAGAGAACATAGCTGCTGTTTGGTAATTTTCACAGGGATTTGATGTCTCCCTCTTCTGGTGAAATGTGTTTTCTCAGACAGTCGAGTAAACAGTGATTTACAGAGCTGCCATTCACTGGATTCTCTTTGTTAGAAATCACTTGAGGAAGATTAAAAAAACATTTTCATTCAGGGACATACATTAGTTATTTATCCTTCACGCATCCTTGTTTTGTGGCATAATATGTACTATATTAAGCCAGCTTCATTCAGTTTGATTCTTCACCATTGTGCTTCATCATTTTAAAGGCAAACTCCAGTCAGTTTAGTAGGTACACCTCTTGAATAAAAAATAGAATAGCCCTGCAATAATTGCTTCATCAATGTTATAATATTGCTTTAAAGAAGTGTTCATTTTTGAGGTTGCATGGTTCGTGTTGCTGTTGATTTGTTTTGTGTTATATTTGGTGCTTAAATCAGATGATTGATTGACAGAAAACAAACATTTATCAAGCAAACATGGCAAATGTTCTCTGTTCAAATAGGATTTACTGCTCTGTTTTGTATCATGTATCAAGCTATTGCTATGCACTGCACAATTATTTCCTGGGTGTATATGTGTATATAAATAATTGTGTATATATTGGTTTATTTAATTGAATATGTTATTGTGGAAATTTTATTATGTTTTTGGAGGTGTGTCTGTGGCATACTGGACTGCAAACGTTTCGTTATACAACCTTGTGTGGTATAATGATAAATACATTCCCATGATTCCTTGATCAGACAAAAATATGCAATTTGAACGTGTCAAGCAGAGTTTCTGGGGAATTGTGATGGACACTTAAGAATTTTCTAACATTTTATAAATCAATAATCTAAACAAATAATCACCAAATTAATTGATCATGTAAATTCTGAGTACTTGCAGCCTTAGTTATACCTTAATGTTTCTAATCAGAAAATTATAAAAATGCACCTTTCTATGTGTAACATAGTACTGTTCAACAACACCTCCAAAATGATTAAGTTCAAACAATACTTAGTCTAAAAAGTATAACAATATGAACTTATCATATTTATGATAGGGCTGTTGTATAAGACTGCATTAATCGTAGCAAGTGTAGGTTATCAGACATATTTCACTTAATATAACAAACAGACACATAACGATCTAGGCCACTCAACTACCATCTACTAAGTAAATGTACTGTATGTTAATGAGTCACCGAGTCACTGACTAGCCTTTTGGCTTTTGTTCTTCTTTTAATCTGAAATTTAAATTTCATGAGTAAATCCCTCCAACGTGAGCACAACAATAACCGTCTGTCACCTTACACAGGGGGGGTGTCACAGACGCCCCAGTGTGGACTACATTCATTCATTTATTCATGTACCACAGTCCGCTGTGAAGAGCCTGGCTGCAACCCAGTTTGGATCTGGATCTGAATCTATCTCTCTCTGCTCTGAGGGTGAAGCACTCTCCCTGTTTGGTGTAGTGAGATTTGATCAGCTCCGCTCTTATCTCAGCCATTAGTATGTGTGCCTCACTCTGTGTCCAAACCTTGAACGTCAGATGTGGTCTCTCAGTCCCTTCTCAGAAATCCCACAGTAGGTTCCAACTGAACAGAAGAGAGGGAAGCTTCTTTTTGAGGTTCGGGCAGCTTTTTGCCAATGTCCAGCCCACCAAGGCATTTAAAACTGATTCATTTGATGTGTGGGCTGTCATGAGAGTTGTGCCATTTGATGCTGTTGGCCATGACCTCTCAGCAGAGACGGCCATTAATGGTTGGCGTGCTCACAGATGCAGGACAGCGTGGAGCATGTTAAAGGCCCAATCCAAATGCAGCGGTTCCCCTTTTCTTTTTTTTCTTTTTCTTTTTTGTCTGACATAGCACCACAGTACTGGAGGAGTTCGAGTACCCCATCATTAACACTACCCACTCCAAATGTGTTCATTTGAATGGAATTTAAAAGGACTAATTATAATTATCTATGTGTAGGCTTGGTCTCTTTTTTCCCCTTGTCTTCAGGTTTGGTTAAGTTTGCATTCATACTATCACTACTTGGACATTTCAACCCTTTCTATGACTTTTAGCAATCTCTTTCAGCTTCTCAGCTCACTTGTCAACTAGTTTAAAAGCAATCTCAATCGCAGCATGTGGTGTTCAAGTGTGACAGGTGACTTATGTTGGTGGGAGGTGTGTCATAGCTGGAAGTTTAATGGTTATTGTGACAATAAATATAAAAGATCAGCCTCACACAGTTTGTAAACCTACTTTTGTGGTGTTTTTTGGTAACTGCAGAAGTACTGCTCACAAACCCCTGGTAGAGAATCACTTTCCTAATGACAGAAGTTTTGCCCAACAAAGAAACTGAAAGAGCAAGTGATTGACAGATCTTTTGATATAATAAACGATCGACAAGTAATGAATTGAAGTTATTCATCTTGTCTGATGCTGTTGAAAGTTTGGTTGCATCAGTAATATTGTAAACAGAGAAATAAATAGGTATTTATTTTCACACAAAAGTACAAAATGCCTTTTATTCAGAGATTTCAATTGAAATGTATACATTGGCAAACAAACTGTCCAATTTTGAAAATAGGGCAGGAAAGATTGACAGATCTTGATAACTTTGTGGTTGAAACTTTAGTATGTCTTAGCTTATGTGTTATGTGTTGGCTCCCTTTGGGGGATATAAACAGGAATTGTAATGTTGTCATGTGTTTTTTTTTTTTTTTGTTTAGCCTAAATTTGTTCACATTTTGACATACTGGCACCATTAAAAGTATGCAGAGTTATCTATTAATAGTTCCTGTTTGTACTGTATCCATGAATGTATACAGACTTCTATCACTGGATTACATTTATACTGGAGAAAACTTCAAAACATGATGATTCCCAGGCTAGTTCTGGAGTTATAAGCAGCGTGTCTGAGATTTCTAAGCCGATTTATGGATGTTTATTCACTATGAATATGTACACGCCCGTGATAATGATATCCTCAGAAAGCACAAGTCACACTGGATCTAAAAATATGCGTATCATGTCTGTGTGTTCAGATTGAAACCTCCAGCCATGGACCAACCATATGGCTGTGGATAAAATGCTTAGTTTGAACCAGAACCTTCCAGTAAGTGAAATATTAAATTACTGAATGGACATTTAACTTTCCCAAAGGATGTCTGAGATTGTTGGTTCTACGTGTGTGCAGTGTAACACAATTGTGTGTTCAAGAAGTGTGTTATAAATATTGTTGACTAAAGCTTAATTAAAAACTATGTGTGAACTTTTTTTTTAGTCAACTGAAATGAAACAATATATTGTGTACTTAGAAAACTGACAGGAAATACACAGGAAATGTCTTTAGTTTTAGTCTTTATCAAATTTTGTCAAATTAGTCAACACAAGGTTTTGGTGCATCTGTTTATTAAGACTGGGATGTATTGTAAACTAATTGTGTTTGTACCGTTATACCGACTCTGAATTTCTTGAAGGACCAGTATGTAGGTTGTAATTGCAGTTTAGAAGAAGAAGAAGAAGAAGATATACTTTATTAATCCCGCTTTTCACTCTTTTTTTTTTTTTTTTTATACACACAAAGGCTGAAATAAACACTTCATGCACTTGTGGACATACAACAGGGAGAGAGATGGTGGAGTGATGGGGCGTTAGCAGCGCCCCATGAGCAGTTTCTTTTGGGGTTAGGTTGCCTTGCTCAAGGGTACCTCTGCAGTTCACAGGACACTGTGGCACCTCTCCAGCTACCAGTCCACACTCCATATTGTGGTCCGGCGACCCTCCGGTTCTAAAGCCAAGTCCGTACACACTGAGCTACTACCGCCCATTACAACACTCTCTCCTCACCCTCCAGTTCCACTGTAGAAACATGGTGGGTTCAACATAGCGGCCTCTGTAGAAGAGGACCCGCTCTCCCTGTTGATAAAAACATCTCATTCTAAGGTAACAAAATATCACAAAATCTTTTATTTTCTGGTGATTTATACACTTATGAAAACAAACCTATGACTATTATATTCCATTTCTGCCAATAGATCCTCCTAAATGTTAAACACTGGACCTTTTTTAAATCTTGCTCTGACAAATACCCCCCGTTATTATTAGCTAATAATAAAAGGAATAAAAACTAAACTGAAACAAACTGAAATTAAAACAAAACTTTTAAATGAAATACAAATAAAAAAATAATGAAAAATACAAAACTATAATAACTCTGTCAAGGAGTAAACCCCACTGTAAACTGTCCAGGTCATGATACAACACAGAGTAGGGACAGAAACCACTAATCTGTGCCCCACACAGCCAGGCTCTCTCCTCTGTGCTTCAATAATTGTAATGCTCTGCTGGCTGCCAGTGGGCTCTGCCTTCTGTGGAGCAGTAAATCCTCTGTGAGCCTGCCTGCCTGCAGTCTGGGCTGGATGTCAGTTGTGGTAGCATACTGCCCTCTTGTGGCAGACTCGGATATCAGCTGAGGATAACCATGCAGTCCAGTCAAAGTAAAAGCTAGTTCATTTTTGTTTAAATAATCAGTAATACCATTTTATCCAAAAGTTTGAAATTGTATATGTTGATTTCTTCCTACAATATGTTGAATGTACTGTAGCCACTCACTGTTGGAGGTCAGAGCTGATGGGAAAAGTAGAGCAGAAATGTCTGAGGAAAAACCACCAGACACTGTTTTATAGAACACCTGTGTTGGACAGTTTGTGGCTTTTATAGTCTCTGACAACTATTTTAATTTTGATGTTTCAGTGTGCAGCATATTGTAATTACACAACAATACATTTGTGACAGGTCTGAGCACGAGTATGGCCTCATCATAGCCGCTAAATGGTATGCAGTTGTGTCTGTATTGAAAGTGGCAGGATGAATAAATAGCTGTCATGTATGTGTTTGTGTCTTGTCTTGTAGAGGCTAATGATAGTGAGGGTGGGTAAGAGCAGAGCTGTTCCCCACCAGATGGTGGGTAATGTGGTTTGCTTTAGCTGCCCACCACGCTCACTCTAATTAAACAGAGGAGATTACATTAACACAGGCTCCCACTCAATCTGCTCCTCCACTGAGCATGGCCGTGCACTGAAGGCGGGGTTGGAGATCAGAGGTGGAGGGGGGTTACAGAGGTGATTGTTGTTTTTGGCAGAGTCAAAATTACATATTTGCCTCAAAGCTAAATCAATTTCTTCGTAACAAAATGAAAACTGGAGAAGGTTTGAAAGAAATGCTTCAGACCAGATGGTTGCACCCACTAGAAATATCTAAGAGCTTTTCCCACACTTTTGTACGACTGCTGATGACTTTCTAAATGCCCTTGAGCAAGGCACTCAACCCCCATCTGCTCTGGTTATGAGTTCAGTGGTCAACAACCCTAGATCTACTGTAAAACTCTCTGACCTGGAAAATCTTACAAATGGTCATAATGGATTAATTGAACAATGAACAATGAAGCAAATTTTAAATAGGGATTTCTTTAGGGAGTACAGTCTAGACCTTCTCTGTAACTTACTGGTCACTTACACTTGCCATCTTTGCACATTTTGCACATTTGAAAGTGTGATTTTTAAACTGTACATTTTAAACCTATATATCTGGAGTATATGTAACGAAAGTCATTTCCCCTGGGATTATTAAAGTATTTCTGATTCTGAAAAGTATCCTGACATAACTTCTGTTATTTGTCACTATATAAATAAATTGAATTAAATTTGACCATAAAAAGAGTTTATATCATTAAGAATTTACAAGTGAATAAATCAATTCGTCACTAAATATTTCAATTCAGTCAATAAATGGATGAATAAATATGTTACCACTAACAGCTGAATAGATAATAGATGGTGAAAATGAATTTGATATTACATTTTACCAATGCAAAGTCAATACTTGATATTACAGACAACAACTGTTGCTGTTTTGTTTTTAGGAAATTAATCTGGGTCGTCTCTTCTGAAATTGCAGTTCGACGTACTAATTTATTCATTCTCTTCCCATTTGCATTTCCGATGTAGCACTCTGAGTCCTTGTGGTGCGTGTAGCTGTAACTTTGAAGATGGTGAATCATGTCTTGTGCATTTGCCCTGCCAACAAGTTTGGGCCTTTTAGTTTAACGGCCTCCATTTTTAACCACGTTTGCCATCATTTTCAACATGTCAAATATTATCTTTCCATCAGTCGGAAATGGTTATCCATGTTTTTGTATCCTCCTGCTTAGTCTGCCGTAATGCTCTTGTCACCTGTTACAGTTAGTCCAGACCTCATATTGCTCTCACATCACCCCGATTCTGATGTCACTTCACTGGCTTCAGGTTAAATTTAGGACTCAATCTATAAGGCTTTGAATAATCTCCAGAGTATATTAGGGAACTACTAATGCAGGCCCCTGAGGTCCTCGAGGTACAACTAGCAGGCCTCAACTGACAACACGAGGGGACTGTGCATCCGCTGCTCTGGGTCCCAGGATGTGGAACAGATTCCCCCTGGGACTCAGGTCAGCAAGCTCTCTTGGGTGTTTTAAGTCACAGCTGAAGATGTATTTATTTTGTGCCTCAGTCTTGTGCACAGTTTTGATTTGTGATCTGCCTCTAATGGTTTTGTTTTTATTGTGCTATGTTGATTTATTGACTTAATTTGATCAATTAAAATACAATGGATCTGCATAGAGTACTAAAGTTATTTCCATTGCAGTCCTGAAGTCTAGGGTAGGAGACAGGCAGGAAAAGGGAGTGACACGTATATGCTACTAATATGTTCTGACACCTGCCCTAAAAAGATGTTTCACTTTGTTCCCCTGTCGTATTGTTCGTGTTGTACTAATCTTGTGTTGTTTTATCATTTTGTAAAGACCTTTGTAACCTATGTTTTGAAAGGTGCTATATAAATAACATTTTCCTCACTTATTGCTTATGCCAGTGCTTCCCGACCTTTTTGGCTTGTGACCTTTTTAAATACAAAGCAAATCAACCCCTTGTCAACTGTTTCATGTCTGATGTGAGCTCTACAAGCAAAGATTGATTTTTCCCTTGTCGGGTTGTGTAATTTCGATAATTTTAGAGATCTGAAAAGGTAAAATTATCTAATATTTGACCTTAAAAACAGGAAGGGTTTCACAAGAAAGTGTTCAAGACCTACCAGATTATCAGTTTACAGAGTCTCATTATGGGCATCAGCAATGTTAAAGATTTTCTTCAAATAGCATTTATACATATATTTACATTGTTCAGGCTGTGGTTCAATGGACATGAATTTAGTGGAAAGAAGGGAACACTAATACTGTAAATTATCCCTGTGGAAAAACTGAGTGAGCTTTAAAACACAGGGCACTAGAAAACAAGAGAGCGTATGGTCATTGAGGAGAGAAACTGTAAACACTGCAGGCTTGAATTTAGCTGACGGGGTTTAAGCCATATAGCTAGAAAATAGATTGCACAATAAAACATTCACGGTGTACTCAGAGGCTACTTTATGGTAAAATGAAGAAGATGGAAAAGGAAACCAAATGAACACATTGCACTGGCACGATAACCTGTTAAATCCCGAAGGCATTAGGCGAATATAAAAACCAACATTAAAAAAATGTACAGTAAATGCTGTCAGTACTTGTAATTAAGAGGTCTCACTTTCACTGTGCTGTGCAGGGAGCAGTGGCAGACCTGATATACTGATTCTTAGCCTCTTTTCACATCTGGGATAAAACACAGGCCAGCTGTGGCTCTGGCAGAGTGCCATCAGAGGTCACCACAGAGCCTGGAGTGACTCCAGCTGTTTGCAAGTCGCCCAGATGACACATAAACTCTATAAACAGCTTGAGACTGTGAAGGTTTGTGGCAGGAGCCAATAAACCGTTAAGAGGGATCAGCAGTATTGTCTTTGTCCAGATGATGGGCAGGGCTATAGCAGTGCTGTAAAAAGTGAAATGTTCAGGTTGAATTAGCTCAACAGAAGCTATAGAGAGGAGTTAGACCATACACTAGTGATTTCCAAGGGCTACATGTACCCCAGGGGTAGTTTGTATGTGGAAAGACTAAAGCTCAACTGATTTGAAAAAATAGAAATTACTATTTAAAATACCTTTTTATATTGAGTCAGCTGTACTGTACACCAAGTGTTGCGATTGATATGAAAAAAAAGCATGAGAACTAATTAGCAAGCAAGCAGGGAAGCCTGAACAGTTAGTGAAAGTGAGGGATAAACATTGAATTACTGAAAGGTGATAAATATAGATAAATGCTTGAAATCATTGGCTAAAAGTAATGAATACAGTTGAAATAGTTGTCTAAAAGTGATGGATAAACGGTTTAAATCGTTGGCAAAAATGGATGGATAAATGGTTGAAATTGTTGGCTAAAAGCGATGGATGAACATCTGAAACAGTTAGCTAGAAGTAATGGATAAATGGCTGGAACAAACCCCTCCAAGTGATAGACGCAATGAATGCAAACTTGACCAGAACAATCGAAACACTGACAATTCAGTTGTGACAAAATTATCATTAACAGTATCCATTCATATCTAAATAACATCCGGTTTCTAATTGGTTCACATGAACACATTTGGCACATGACGGGTTGTGTCGGTAAAAGGGGTGCGTTCATCGGTAAGGGCCGAAGGAGGTTGGGAACCACCGACAGTGACAGAGTTTCACGATTGAACACAGAGAACAGAAACAGTAGGCAAATGAGACAAGATGCATAAAATAGTAACTTGTTTTATTCTTTTTTTAACCATGCCACCGAACACTGACGCATACAGAGTTGTGCCTGAATCCACACTGAGAAAACACTTTCACACACTGTGTTACAAAGCTGTAATGAAGAGGGATTTTACTGCACACATGGCAAGAAGAACAACCCTGATTGGATACCAGGTCGAGCTTTGATCTGGCCCTGAGGTAGACAGACATTGACATAATCTAAACAATGCTAATCACATCCTTCTAGGACACATCAAATAAAAGGACATCTGCATTATCACAACATAGAAAGATCAAAGAAAAACCCTTTTCAAACAAAAGTGCTCTATTTCTTTTGGTCCACCAAGGAAATCCATTTATAGTGCATGTTCATGTAGAATAGATACAGTGAATGTGTGTTTTCATGGCACTGAGTGTTGTTGGCTACTTAAGAAGGCATTGGTAATGCCCACAGACGCCAAGATTTGCTATACACACGGTTTTCTTCCAAAGATCTCAGTCCATTGTCACTTTTGAAGGGAACAATTTGATGCACGTTCCAAGCAATTTTTAATGTAAAAGTACACGCTTGTCTCAGAGTATCAGCCACTATCACAGTATGTTGCTTCCAGTTGCAATTTTCAGACAAAGTGGATCTACATGGCAGTCTATCTTTAATTAAGTAACAATAAACAAACACCCAGAAACAACTACCAATAGCACAGACCCATGTACTCAAGCACATCAATGCTCTACTTATAAAAGAGGCACAAGGGAGGGATCTTAATCAAATCAGAGACTTATAAAACACACACATTTAAGATGTTTCTCAAATCATACCAAATGTAAACAGATAGCAAATTACTGTAATACAAAAATACAACATGTTTAAATCTATAAGGCCTGTGTTAGGCTCACATAAGGGAATAACATACCATGACAGTTTGTACATTACAGCTACACTATAACTGACAATAACCTGCTCATAGTGATTCAATGTCAGAATTTTCTTTTTCAGGTTTTGTAAAAAAACAAAACAACTTCTTTTCATGTTTTCTTCAATTTTCTCCTAGAAAATTCTGATTCTGTGATTTTATAAGACATCTATATATAGTTAGTGATAAAAAACTACACGTAAAAGCCATGTTGAGGCTGTTCGCATTTTTTACACACTGTTTGACCATTTAAATTCTGATGTATTTGTTAGAAAATTAAAACAACTAAATGGACGAATAGTTTGCAGTAGGTTTAAAACAAACAGTGAAAAGTGAGGAGAGGTAGAGCTCGCTCTACTAGAAATCATCCCAAGAGACACCGACTGTGTGATGAAAACCAGCACATATTTGGTAACAAATAAACAACATATAAATAGCAAAACCTATTACATTGCAAGAGAAACTCAAATTGTAAGCCAGCTACCTCGAAACAATAACACCCACTGCAAGAAAGACAAGGCAATTAAAGAGATCAAGCTTATGAGGTCAAAACGTGGCAGCCATTCAAGTAAAACATGCAGAAAATAAACAACTCCAAAATAAAAATCCAACAGCAGAAAAAAAACAAAAAAACTTGAGAAGTCACAGGAATTTAGGAGAGAAAATGTTGCAAAGTTCAGCCAATCAAGCTTTCGTGGAATTATTTTCAACATCTACTGCACAATCATAGAAGATGACTCAGGTTGCCTGATGGTTTAGCAATCAATCAAAAAAAGCTCCTGCTACACATACAGGTCAGCAGTCGCGGCCATTGTGGCATTGATTTTAACCACAGTGGATCCATTAGAGATACAGTTATTATCAAAACTGTGTGTGTGCGAGGGAGGGAGAATGTGTGTCTGTGTATGTCTGTGTGCACTAGGGCTGAAACAGTAAATCAGAGAAACTAGTTGTCAACGATTTTAGTAATCGTTTAAGTCATTTTTGGGGGGGAAAACGTTTAATATTTTGGGTTTCCTGCTTCTCAAAATGTTAGAATTTGCTGTTTTTCTCTGTTTTATATCATTATTAACTGAATCTCTTTGGACTGGGCTGTTGGTCGGGCAAAACTACCTATTTGAAGATGTCACCTTGTCACCAAAATGTGACTATTTTTTGACATTTTCCAGACTTTCCAGATTTATCACTTAGTAGTAAAAAATAATCTCACTGATAATGAAACCAATCATTAGTAGCAGCCCTAGTGTAGTGTGTACACACATTTGTATTCGTGCTTGCATGTCTTTGTCGTCAGGTAAAAACCTTGCACTTGCCAGAATGACAACTTCCCACAATGCATTTTTCAGTTTATTCAAAAGGAGTTTTGAAAATCACCAACACTGGAGTTTACGAGGTTTTCACCCGACAGTGACTCTGTGTGTGTGTGTGCGTGTGTGTGTGTGCGTGTGTGTGTGTGCGCACGCGTGTCAGACTGTGCATGGGGTCCAAGTCCTGCTCAGACGTAACAGACGTACAGGTAAGTCTTTTCTATCCTCCAGTCCGCCGGCACGTCCTCCGGTTTGTGGCCCTTCATGTGCTTCTGCATGGCGGCCAGGCTCGGGCAGAAGTCCTGGCAGATGGTGCACTGGTACGGAGACGCTCCGTTGTGAGTGCGCAGGTGCTTGATCATAGCCGAGTAGTCTCTGGACCGCTGGTGACACAGCTTACACTCGAATGGCTTCTCACCTGAAAAATTCAACAATACAGCATTAACCTTGTAGACCTGGAGTCAGAGGCCTGCCAGGTGAAACGGGATTCACCTCTATTTCAGTCCACTGTACTTGTTGTGGTATTATGTGTTGTTTGCGTGTGTGGTGTGAGTGTGTTTGTGCTCTAAGATTAGACCTATATCAGTTTGCCTTCAGTTTGTTATTAGATATTGGCGAGTCAGCGTCATCCGCTGCAAATACGACAGAGGTTTCTCTCTGACCTCGGTGAGGAATCGGATAGCAGTCAGTAAAATGTAACCTGCAATAAAAAGTAGACTTAAAATTTAATGATTTAATTCAATAGTATTTTTTTATATGAAGTAATTACATTTAAAGGTACTCTGTAAGTTTCCTCGTCCATTAAAAAAAGCTTTAAAAGCTGTTAAATCATTAAAATGTAGTAGTTAGGATTTACTGTATTTAGTCTCAAATTTTAATAAAAATTTTAATGCCCTTTATCATAAATGTAGTTGTTTTACTCTAAAAAAGACATTTTTCCCCATGAAAAGACCAAAGATGTAAATGCATTAGTCTGACTCAATATTTTCAGAGTTCTCTGCCTTGTCTGTAGCACTCAGCCTCAAACCAGTTTGTTCCAAGTGAAGATGTAAATCTTTAAAAACAGGTAAAAACTATATAGTTAATATAAAAAAAAAGGCAACTTCATTTTCTTTAAAACATCTTTTTTTTTTAGATAGAATTAGATAGATATGACTGTTCGAGATGTACAGGAAAGGGGGAGAGAGGGGATGACATGCAGCAAAGAGGCCGCAGGTCAGACTCCCCAACCCATGGCGGCTGCTGCAGGACATGGGCGTCGTGATTTTAGCAAATATTACTCAAACAGGTAAAAACATATGCGGTGGACTATTTTCCATCCCTGAACTCTCACCTGTATGTACACGGTAGTGTGTTTCTAGCTGGTGTTTTAGGCTGAACCTCTTCCCACAGCCGTTGCACTCATAAGGCTTCTCTCCTGTGTGGATGCGTTTATGGCCCCTCAGCGTGCCGTCGTCTCTGAAACAGCTCCCGCAGAATTCACACTCAAACGGGTGATCGCCTGAAAACACAGTCGTGTCACAACAGCAGCAGCCACAACACCAACACAGCCCATTATCGTGAGATCGTATTAAAGGCCGACTTTATTTTTGGCACGACATGGTATTGGGTGCACATGTCGCTGCATAGGTCAAATAGTAACAGAGCCCTTTCTGCACATGCATATCAAGCAGGGAAAATAATGTGCTTTCAGACGTTGCTAATGTTATGACATGAGGACACTCCTCTTGGCTGTCTGCTAATAGCTAATAAAAGTCCTCCAGACATGTGCTGCTCTGTTCTCTATACTGTAGTTAATCTATTTCTCTCCTAGGCTGAGGATTTGACTCATCTCCAATGACCTATGTGCCTCATTATCTCAGTGTCCACAGCAACAGCCAAGTCAGAGGATACATTGCTCTCCTCATTACAGGCCGATTCTCCCCAATCCCCCACCCCACTGTGGAGCAGATGACATTTACAAAATGTTACTTCCAAGCAGAATGGCATACAAACAAGATACGCTGCCATGGCCAAAACTCCCTTCACTTCTGTCTCTTCACATCAATTATGTATTTCTCCTGTCTAGACATCAAGCAGTCATGACAGCTGGGAGTGTTATTTAAGGTAAAAGAAGAAAGGGGGACATCTTTTCAGTAAATATCTCTCCGTCTCCTGCGGCACTAAGACTCACCCTCGGTAGAACACACAGACAAGTCATTTCCATTTGCTTTTCCTTCAATATTTATTTGGGTTTCCTCTATCATTTTGGGTGAACCACACTAGAACTGACAGCCGTGAATTGCAGAAGCCCAAAGGCTGTCTAAGAACCCAAAATATAAACAGGATGAAATTGCCCAAAATATGCACCGGCCATAACGGTACAGTGCTGTCATCAGAGAGGTGAGTCATCTTATAGAGAAGAGAAAAGGAGGGTGGGAGAGGATGCATGCAAATTGACTTAAACCTTAAAGCCAGTAACCTAAGGAAATTAACCCATATACGAAAATAAATCCAGCCGTCTCTCTTCCAACATATGCATGCTTTTGACACCACATATTTATGTTTCGCTATAGATAACACTTGTAGATAGCGATGATGGCGCAAATGATCCGTCTCTTACCCGTGTGCGAGCGCAAGTGTCTTTTGAGGGTAGTGTGGCTGGGGAAGGGGCGCTCACAGTGGCTACAGATGTAGCTGTGCATGCCTGCATGGACCTCCATGTGCTGCTGCAGGGCCTTCTGGGTCTGGAAGCGCTTTGCACACAGCAGACAGAACACCGCCATGTCAGTCCCTGGAGAACGCACAAGACACAGACACAGTTATTTCAGTACCATACACAGACAGGGCCTTAAGTGGGGAAACTGGGTCACTTCAACTTTGTGTGAGTCCTCTGAGGGAAAAGCTTCTTTCAAAGAGCAAGTGCCTCTACCTAAACTAACTCCCCTAAAAGCCCAGAGGCACTTTCAACTGTGAGTCTTTATACGTTCTATTTTAAACCATGAAAGTCATTGTTTTCTTTAAGAATTTCCCACACAATGCACAGCATGCCAATCACACAATCAATGGCTCCTTCCTGGTGTGTTAGATGTGTAATTATTCTCTTCATTCCCCATCAGGAGTCAGCTCCAGCCTGTGAAGTCCTCTGTCTCTGTGCTCAAAGAGCGGCTGATAGTAGCTCCACCCTAAATGATGCCTACACTATGCGCTCTGTGCAGAATGTTAAGTAGTGATATCAAGCCATTAAAGGCAGGACTGCAGGAAAAAACACAATCCAGTTTAATCCTGTGTGTGACCTGGCATCTCTTTGGGGCTGCTTTCCTGTTGCACAGAGTGTGGAGAGGAATACAGATAGGGAGTCGCTGGCAGGGTAGCTCAAGTCAAAATGGCTATGTGAAGAAGATCCATTGGCTGTCATACAGTCAACACTTGATCTACAGGCTGTGTACGCCAGCACTCAAATCCATTCTGGCGTTCACACCGATGCAAATTCATATGTGTGGTAAGACTGTGGGACTGGTTAATCAGCTGCATTGGACGTAATGTGCATGTCCTGGAGAGTGAGGCTTTAATGTGAGATTATGAGGTCCTTATTTCTCTGTCTGCTCAGGTTGCAGATCATTTACAATGCTAGCAGGTCCCATTGCTCCTGACTCAGATTCAATCAGACATCTCCAGCGGAGGATCATTAGTAAACAGAGGACTGTGCCAGCACTTCATTGGAATTCAAGTGGGGTTGCTGTGTCGCATTTAAAATGCAGTCTGATGAGGTCCACTAAATCAAATCATTTGTTACTGTTATTGAAGTGCCTTGAGGCAACTGGCAATTAAATTGGAATTAACGCAGGGAAAGGGATACAGCACACTCATACTAAGAGGGAAGAGTGTCAGACACTTGCTTTAGGTTCTATCAAGTTAACAGACAAGCCTGTTCAAAGTACAAAGAAAAAGAAACAAATCAAGCAAATTCACATTTTCAGGGATAAATCAGAAACATTCTCTGTGTATCGTTTACTAATCCACGTATCACAATTTGCTCAAACAAAACAAGATGCCTTTTTAGACCTCACATTTCAAGGATAAGTACAATTTGGCAGAGAAGCACAAAGCCCCTTCTTTGAAATTATGGAGCTTCTTTTCGAACCTAGTTTTGAAAATTCCCCCCCCAAAACGGGACTAATAGAACTGATCATTCGTAATCATTAACAGAAAGAAGACAGGATGAAAGACATTCCCTGATCTTAACAATCCTGCAGGGAGGCGATCCGGTGGAATGAACTGCACCTGTTCAGAGGCTTTAGCCTGTGGACTTTTGCACAAAGGGCACACAATGAGGTTCAGGCCCTCATTGACCAAGCCCATTAGTCATAGGTTCCTCACGCAACTCCTACAATCCCTGTCTTTATGCTGTCGCCTAATGACCAAGGCCCTTTCTCACCCACGGATCACAATATTTTAGTTGAAGACAAAAGATTCTCCATTCTCAACGCCTCTGCACCCTCCCCACTCCCCTTATCCGCTGACCATACAGGAAATCTTTTCACTGTCTAACCAGCATAATGATCTATCTAATAATGGCTAAAGACATTTCAGAAGCACAAAATGCAGTCTCTGCATGACCTGTGATGTGGAGCCTTGTTCCATTTTAACCAGTTTCTCTCGTAATATTTGCAGCGGCCAGCAGGGGGAGTGCTTTCTATTCCAATTTGTCCAGCTTGGTTTAGCTGCAGGCAAAGCCGAGCAGAGCCCTCAACCAACTGAATAACATATTGTCCACTTTGAGATACGTCAGAGCTACTTTAATAGATCCTCTCTCCACTCTTTCATTGTTAACTATCATATATTGTAAATGCTTGTTCCAATGCAGCCTGGGTACTTTGTTCTGTCTGCTCTGAAAGTTTCAACATCGCAGTTTTCTTTGTGGAGGTAAAGCGTTACTCCCTGACACACTCTCAGACTCTTACAGATGTATATCCTGATCCTTCTGTCACCAACAATACTGAAACTTGAGTAAAGAAATATGACAAATATTCTGTCACAAGAATCTCACTCTTGATCTCAGGTTGACACTCGGTGACAACAGCTCAGCAGTCGTTTTCGGTTTTATTCTGCGCAACCGACGCTGAAAATAAAAATAACAAATAATATCTTGAAGTGTAAACAAAAACCTTCGGAGGCAGGGAAGTGTTTGTATGTGTTAGTGGTGGCATTTCGCCTCGCTGCGCTCTGTTAACTTTTCAAACAAAAAGGATTTGCAGTTGTAGAGTTTTCCAGTAAGCTTTGGTAATAAGTGCAGAGGAGCTTCTTTATGAGAGAATAAGCCCTAAAGTTGGCTGTCATTGCCCCCTGCTTTCTCACCCTTAACCAGACAATGGGCTTGGGATTTGGGTTTTAAGGCACAGGATGACCCCTGACCCTTGGTCCTCAATGGGGTAAATACCATGTAATCAATGGTATTCCTCAAAGGCTGGAGAGTTGACTGAGCATTGTGTTTAGTGGGACGGAGCCTTAACAGTTGGAATAATGATTTACTTTGAAGCAATTCTGCTATGAGGCAGAAAATATCAACATTTGCTGTGTGCATTAAATCACTGAGCTGCTTGTCTAATGCACAATTAGGTTGGTAATTCAGGACGGTTCGAGGTTGCTATGCTATTTTAGCATATCTCCAGTAAGACCATGTGTATGCTCATGTGATTTAACATGGTCTGCCTTCATACATCTGCCACTTATTCAGTCCAACCGAGGTGGGAGCCAGCCACGCTCTCACGCTGCCTAAGAAACAAAACCATGTGTCTAGGCAACCAGATAGGATCATGGTCCTTGTTGGGGTGAAGTGTTCAAGCTAATCCCTTCATTCACAAATAAGCGCAGCCTGTTTCTTTTCAAGCGGCAAACAAAAGTTTTCCCACCCTGAGAATCTGGGAGTAAACCCACTGCAAATTGAACAAGAGATTGTATTCAGTGACGGCCGCAAATCTGTATAATTTCTTCTGTGTTAATCTTAACTTCAGTGTCCGGAGACCACCAATTAAACGGATTGATTTGGGAATAATTTGTCTTTTATATTTGCTGAAATAAATGGAAACAAAAGACTTAAATTGAACTGTAATTTGGCAATATTTAAATAAATGCTTGCAGAATTTGATCTATTAAGGTATTTGTTTTGGTAAACTGTGACAGCCAAGTCAAAGCTAAACAAATCTCCCGCTGTTATGAAAAGGGAAAGTATTTTCTACACAGATTTCACAATTTATAATATTACATCATGGCTGATCTTGTCCACCAGCTATAGTATGCAATGTGAAAACATTATAAACTATGTCCTAAGGCCCTGCTTAGCGTATTTTCAGTGTGCTTTCTGTCTGCCGGCTCACTGATATGACTCAGTCAAACATACACAGTCATGCAGGCTATATTATGTGCAGGACCTCACATGACCCTGTGCATTCATGCTACCCTGCGTGTTCATGCAGACGGCTCCCCGTGGATATGGCAGCTCTAGAAACACATGCACAAACGCTACAGTACCTTAAACAACCCCGGGCGCTCATCAGTAGACTGCTAATCTACCCGAGTGAGGAACAACCGACTTAATAATTAATGCAACAAGAGATACGTTGCTCGTGTTTAACCACCATTCCATGGATCGGTTCATTGAGGTCATGCACTGTTTCATTCGCCTCCATTCCTAGAATGTTTACAATATTTCCTCTATCTACTGTATTACACTCTACTTGAAATGACAGGGCATCCCGGGGCTTTGTTTATCATGACAGTGAGTGCAAATAAATACTGGGGGCACAATGGCCAAACAGAGCACAGTTCAATTGAGTTTAAGGCTTGTATGAATTACAACTGGGTATTAACAGGAGGGTGCAGTATGATGACGGACATGCAATTAGGCAAGCTAAAAGGTCTGCATTAAGAGGGCTGCATTATAAAGCCAGAGCTGTATCTGAATGGACTTCAGGACTGTTTAATTAGGGCTCAGACAGAAGGTAATATTATTCACTTGATGAAGCAGCCTGTAATGTGTGGAAACAGTGCAGCTGCTGTGAGTACACAAAGGCAGCACTCTTATGGCCTTTGCCTTGAAGGCAAGGTGGCAAAATGGTCGGCCAGCATGGTTTGAAGCATATACAGTCAATTTCTGTGCGTGCTGTAGATAAGCTACAGTCTTGGGTTTTCCAAAATTGAAAGCCCGGTGCCCCAGAGCCTTGAGTTGCTCTGATGAAACAGCCCCCTTTGTTGTGAGAGCAATTCGGAGACAGATCCATTCTTTTATTTTGGGCACTGACAAGTAGGTCAGAGGAGACTATGACAGTGCTGTGGTGAGGAGTAAACAGCAGCACATGATGTTGTTTTCCTCTCAGTCCTGGCATCCAACACCAGCAGCAATCCTCTTGCCCTCAGGAAGTCCTCACATACCCCCCTACCCCCTTCCCTTCCCACAGTCCACTCCGCCCCCAAACCTCCCTCCCCCCACCTTCCAACCACCCCCCTCTTTGATCTCTAACTTCAGCAACCCACGGCCATTCACCTCTGACATATCAAAATGGATAAAGAGACTTTCACTGTAGTCAGTGCTGCCAAATTGCTTCAGAGTAAAGGTCCCCCAAAAGTAGTATTATTTCCCCTCCAGAGGAGGTGGACAGCAGTGTTGCAGCTGCTGAGGTCTGACAAGTGTTAATCTGCTAAGAGGAAACTCATTTGGCTCATGGGTTATGCCACATGGCAAATTAAAGCTGAGGCTGCGCGATCCGCACTGAAAGATACTGTGTTTTTAGGAAAAATAAAATCCACGCTGTAAATCTTTGAATTTACCTTAGAGCAACGCCATAATTTACCCACATAACCTAAACACAACAGATTAAATTACCTGTAGCTCATATCAGTGAAGGCTGTGAGAGCTACAATAAGTGTCAGTAAAAAGGGTCATGCGTCACAGCAGACCGAGCTGACATCAAGACAAAATGAGAGAGTAATGCCCTTCTGTACCCTGCTCTGGATACAGTGCCAAGCTGAAACCGAGCTCTGGATGTTTACAACTCAGGGAGATGTGGGTAGAAACTTCTGGGCATCGTTAACACCCTTCCATGTCCACATCCATTAAGTATTCATACTGTGTGTGCCACCTGGAGTTACAGTTACATGCCAATGCTCCTGAGAGGGTTATCACCTTTCTCTGACAGTAGCAGAAAAGGTGTGGATTCAGACACTGTGAGGCATATGTACCGTCTGACAACAATGCAGCCTTTTTTCACAGTTGGAGAGGTTTGAGTCAAACGTGTGTTGTTAAGTCTTTCTCACTTCAAACTAATGGGATAATATTCGAGTGCCACTTCGCTACAAGGCATACTTTATAGGTTGTCAATAATGTGTTTTTTTCAATGGCAATAAAGTAGTTATTGATGCTTTAAAGAGCAGTATTAAGACACAATACACAAACTCTCCAGGTTGTGGTTCATGTTTAACTGATTCATCATGTTAGTTGGTGTTTATCTGACATTAGTAATATAAAGTGGAAAAACTGGGTCATAGGTATTTTGTCTTCTTTAAAATAGTGCTGCAACTGTTGTTTTCATCATAGATTATTTTCTTTAAGTCTGGTGTGTAACATATATCAGAATCAGAATTAGAAATACTTTATTGATCCCTGAGGGGGAAATGTGTTAATTTGTTAGGAAAATCTATTGGCAGAAATTTTCATTTCATTATTCATTATTTTCATTAGTGATCATCTGAAAATAAGAATCATGTTTTTGCTACCTACCTACACTATTTTTATCTACAGAGGGAGCGGGTCCTTGTCTACGGAGGGTGCCATGTTGAACCGCCATGTTTCTAAAGTAGCCCAGAACAGACAAAGCAAACACTGGCTCTAGATAGGGCCTTTCACGTTACTTCCCAGCCACCGTAGTTTCTCTTACACACTTGGAGGGCGAGAGGTATTTAGTTGGTTGCAATCTGCCTCTTCACCACTTGATGCCACTAAATCCTACACACTGGTTCTTTTAATTGATGTCTCGTTTGGTTTATCATGTCAGAAAACTTTCCTTCACAAACAGTCCAGAAACTCAAACTCACTATCATAAAAGGAGAAAGAAAACCAGCAAATGTTGATATTATAGATGCTGGTAGCCTTACATTTTTTACATTTTTTGCTTCAGAATTACTTAGTTGTAAAATAGTTAGTCGATTGACTATATTAACCAGCTAATTGTTTCAGATTTACTTTAAAATAAAACAACCAGCCTCAATCTATGATAGTGGTAGAGTTTAAGTCTTTACAGGTTTTTATTTACTCAGATTCTTTCGAAGCTTTCTTTTAGAGGGTGTCAAAGCAAGTCATGTTGGCCGAGAATACACACCAGCCAGAAAATGTTAAAATGTAGGCACACAACCTGGCAACTGCAAAACCTTCTGTTTTTTAATTTTTTTTATTACACTGATGAACATAGTTTTATGTTAGCGCGTGCGGTGAGATTAAACAATTGTTTATAGAGGAAGTATTACTGACCATCAGTGAGGTAATTACTGACAACTTATTAACCCTATAACTCTACTCTATAGCACTAATAAAGTGGCACTAACAGTACTTCTATAGCATCTACTTAATGGTTCATGAACTTAATTTCCCTTGTTTTATATATTGTCTTCTCTGTCCTGTTTCCCTTTTCCTCTTTCTATAAAACACTTTGTAATGTATGTTTCGAAAAGTGCCATCTAAGTAAAGTTTTGTTTGCTTGCTACTAAAAATACAGAAGTCTGGGAATGTGGACATTAAAAATTGATTGAAAAGATGAAAATGACTTCAGCTCCTCAGGCAGGTTGTTCCAAACTATAAAGAGCCCAGATTGCAAATCACAAGTCACCATCCAGGTTTGTGCAGCCTCTCAGCCAAAAAAAAAAAAAAAAAACAACTTTTGAGGAAAAACATTTTTTGGATTCTTCCTGACACCACCTGTTAATGCCAGACATTCACTGGACAGGGAAAATGTTGTAATACAAACATTTTCTTAATCTGAGATTATTGAAAAAACAAAAGGTGTTGGTCTTGTTGTTGAGTGGAAGTGTTAATAATTCCTCAGGCGCTCTCAGGCAGGAGGTGAGGATAGTATGTCTGTGAAACTGTAATGCTGGCGCTGGAAAGCTACGGCCGTGGCAAAGTGGCATGCATTGGGTCTGGATGCCAAGAGATATTAGTGGGTGATATGTGAGAGGGCCTCCCACCTCCATGTTGATAAATTATGGAGCATCATGACAGGAACAGTTTAACCCAGCCAGCATGACAAGCAAGTTTAGACCCATGATCACAAGTCCTGTAGTCACGGCTTACTCAACAGCTCAATGCATCCTGCCCAGGTTAAACATAATATGTGAGTGTGTGTGGGTGGAGGGAGTGTTAGTGCATGCACACATGTTTGTAGAGTACCTGTGTGTGTTTGCCTGTGGGCTTCCAGAGCATCCTCTGAGGAGAATGTTGCTCCACACTGATCACACACCAGCGCCTCTGCAGGAGCTGTAGATAAAATCAAATTTTATAAGAAGGAATCTTGATCAGACAGTAAACATGTGCGTTTGTAATTGTAGAGTAAGTCAGTTAATTTAGCATTTAAAGAAATTAAATTAACTGTGGAAAAAGCAACAAGAGTGGAACAAAGGCACCCTATTTGAAAAGTCACCAAAGAGCCTTGCTTGTCACACACTTGTGCTTTTCAGGTGTTAACACAAGGAAGCAAATGCGCGGAATACAATGGAGCAGAGGAAAGCGCCATAAAAACACAACTCAGGACAAACAAAAGCACCAGACAGGGTGCAACGGCCCTTCTTCTTGACAAAAAAGAGCCAAGCTGAAGAGTTTTATTTACCGTGCCCTGTTATCAGTCTCTGAACAGTGAGCAGACTGTCTGCCTGAGAGGCCACAGAAGGACTGGGTGTTCTCTCTACAGCAGACGCTTCCCGCCTACGGCACATCCCTTTATCAAAAAAACAGTTCAGAGTCAACACCCCAAATCCCATCGCATACACTGTAACTACAGTTCCCAGTTCACCTTTGGAATGCCCTTGTCTGTTGTGATGAAGACATGAAAGAGACAAGTATGCATACTGCTTGCAGAAATGTTCCATCCTTGTTCTGCACTCACCTCACACCTGCACAGACAGACACATAGGACAGATAGGCGCATACACAAACACACACACACGCACATTCTCTGTCTCTCTCTCTCTCACTCACACACACAGCTGTTTGGATGTGGGTTGGCTCTCACAGAGATGTAAATCGGTTGCAGATCCATACTGGCCCAGGGCTCATTCACTGATCTATTTTCTGCTCAGCTGGCTTTAAATGAAGTTAAAATGACTCATTAAAACACCCACAAGCTTTGGGAACTCTGAGCGCTACAGCCTAAATGTGGTCCTCTTTCAACTCTTACGATGCCTCTATACACAGACACTGTGCCACTGTTCCCAGTGCTGCACACAAATAACAAAAAAGCCCCAATCTGTTCATTGCTAAAAACAACAATTTTTGAAAACAAACTGTTACTGTTTTAGAACTGTGCGTTTTGTTACATGGAGCAAAAATAAAACTTGGTAGAGAGTGGTCTTATATAGTAGTAACACTAGAGCAATGTTGTAGATCCTGATGTTGTGTGACGCTGTCCAGTGTGGTGTGTTGTGTTGTGTGAGATTGTGTGATAAGGGAAGAAGAGAACATAGTGCATTGTCTTGTGCAGTCAAAGGCACGGAGTGTGCTCTCATCCATAAACCATCAAACTGTCTCCAGACGCGGCTGCAATCGTCCTCCATCAAAACACTTTGTCTGGCATACCAAAATAAGAGCCAGCATCGAGCTGAATACCAAATCAGCCCATTAGAGCAGTGGAGCACTCGCTCCTTAGCAACCAGCGGGATCTAAGGCTGCTATACCGAAATACACAGTGACAAAGAAATGAGATCCACATCTTTTTTTTTTTGTAGTATTATGGGTTGACACATTGGGATGGGGAGAGTTTATGCAAAAATTCAAATTAGGTTAAAGGTACCGCTGTTGTGGATGTCACTGCGAATTGAAAATCAAAGCCTGTTGTCGAGGTCTAAAGAGTAATGCAAGACAATTGTTTAGGGTTGTGTGGAGGGTATAGAGGAGGAAAAAGGGACGACTCAGGTGAAGTTTAAAGAAGCAGATTCTCTCTCATCTGTCAGCAGTATGTCATTCCCGAACAATCCTCAGAGAGAAGGCGGAGAGGACAGGGACCTCGCCTTGTCTATGCACATATTCAAACTGAGGTTTCTGTTTTAGTTTCATTTTTAGTCCCTGATCCCCCCGCCTTCCACTCCCCATACCCCCCCCTCTGCTCCTCTTTCTCTATTTTGGATAAAGTAGCTGGGAGAGCAGTCAGGTCTGATTAAGTCTGCATTTGGGTACAGTGTGTTCCTGGACACACATCTGCGAGCGAGCCATCACACACGCTTCGGAACACTGGCAGAACACCCAGGCCTGCCGGCAGCTGATGATGTCATCACTCAGAAGGGGCAGAGCTGGCGAGCTGCCAGAGTCTCCGAAAAAACACAGAAACGATTCAAACGGAGAGAGAGACTAGAGAGAGAGAGAGAGAGAGAGAGAGAGAGAGAGAGAGAGAAAGAAAGAGAGATGGAGAGTAGAGGGAGGGAGAGGTACACAGACCTAAGCATGGAAAAGAAAGCATGATCCAAGTATTCGGAGCAGCACTAACTGGTAGGAGGAGGAGGACGAGGAGGAAGGGGGGGTGGGGGGTGGGGGGGTTGTAGTATGAACAGGTGCATTTGAAAGGCCGCACTATCAAGAGGCTTCATAAGCACTGAATACTCTGAGATAAGAGTGTGAGAGTTACTAAGTACCTGTGTGAGACAGCATGTGCATCCGTAGTCGCATGCTGTCCTGGAAGTGTTTGCCACAGTATTCACAGCCGTGGCCCTTCTCCTCGTTATGCAGCCTCCTGTGGAAAGACAAACACTAATATGAGCGTGTTAACAGAGACGAGAACAGAGCGAAAAACACACTTGTGATAATAAAAGTATCTTATTTCTGTGCTTTTTTTTTTTTTTTTTTTCTCCTGTAAGGTCTCCCAAACCCAGAAGCATCATTGTCCCCGTAACAAGAAGAGCATGTTTTAATTCCGGCAAGAATCCCTCGCTGAATGCAACATCATTAGTGTAAGAGGCCCTTGGAGTTGTGAATCACAACGCATGAATGCTAAAAGAACACAGACAATAGGATATCTGGCTAATTTCAGAGTGCAGACATACGCGTGCCTCCACCCGCCAGCACTGCAAGACACTGGGCACGCACACAACCGCACAGGCGCACACACACACACACACACACACAACCACACACACCCACCAAGTACATGCACGTAAACCCAACATAACACACGCACGCAAACACACACACGCACACACTCCTGTAACTGCAATGAAAAGGAGAAAAGAAGATGATTCGCTGAAGCTCCGCCGGCAGCAAAACCTATCATATCATATCACACACATCCAAGCATGCAAGGCATCTGTACTGTTATCCTTGTATCACCCTGCTAACAGCAGAGAAAATGCCTCAGAAGAGTCCACGATTAAACACACTGTGGTAAAAAAAAAAATGAATTTCACACGTGTAATCAACATTAACATATTAAGGAAAAGGGGTACTTTTTAAAGATTTGACTGACTTTTAAAGATGATAACTTACTAGAGTTCACTTAAAAAAAGCTTAAATTTAAGGTGTGCTGGTGGCCCAGCAGTCTGAGGTGTCCACCACGTAAATGTGATTTCCTTTTTTATCTCCACTGTTAACTATTTAATAAAAGGCAAAAATATGGAGCGTCCAGTTGGCCTCAGGGTTTAAAGTGCTGACCATGTAATCCCAACATTGAGTTTGAGTCCAGCCAGGGACATTTGTTGCATTTCATTCTTCATTGCTCACCCCTCATTTCCAGTATCATCTTTACCAAAATAAAGACAAAAATGCCTTTAAAATATATTTTAATTCCTAAAAAGAATACAATGAGGATAACAAAGTTTTGTTTTTTGTTAATTCATTTAAGAATGTTAAAAAAAAATTGGCAGAGGTATTATTAAACTTTAAAATCACCTGAAATATTTAAAATGTATAATGTCAATGTGCATATTTCAAATTTTGTAATGAAATTTCTTTGTAATTCCTTTTTCTTTGCTCCTTTTATTGTACTGGGACTACTTCAGAAAAAATTCCAGACCTAGACCTGTTTGATTTCTGTAGTTCTTTTATACTAAAACTGCACAAGGAAATACTTCTTTAACACCACTACAAAATGTCAATCTGGAGACCAGGTGTATGCTCAGTGACCTGGTTACAGATCTACAGAAACTTCATTACATCCTCAAGCAGTGGCACCAATGCCGCTCCTTCAACCTGCGGACACTGTCTCCATGAGTAAGAAACGCGCATCACTAAATATCCCACAGGATGCTCTGTTTCACCAGGCGGTTTCAACACAACTCTGGAGTGACACGGGGATGAAATGTCAGCCACAGGCGCGGATAGAGAGAGACTGTGATCCTAATCACGGGTTAGCTGCATATTAGGACTTTTGGTTCACAGATTGTCTTGTTTCTAATGATTAGTGATGAGTCAAACATTGCCCAAGCACGCACAATTATAAACATCTGCAATCAAGCTAATGAGAGTTGTCACTGAGCTAATCGGTAAGTTTTTGTGTACAACGACAAAATCTAAACTGACAAGCTCGTAAATAAAAGAGGAATAAACAAAAAACAACAGAGCGAGTCGTGAAGCAGAAGTTATCCATCATCTAGCTGAAGCGTCCAGCCTGGTCCCCGCTGAGAGGCTCCTCTCTGCTGATGCAAAGGAATGCATATCAAATAGCCTAGGAGACAGCCTGTTGTGCGAGGCACGCTTCTGCACAAATAATCAAACAGAATTTAGAAAATCAGGCTTTGTAAATAACAGCGTTATGCGACACCAAGGCCTCTTTATATCAAATCCCTCACAAAGACCCGATTCAAAACTTGCCGAGACGTCTCACTGTTAAGACATGAGTGCAGGTGTCCCTGAGAATAAATTAACATATTTGGTGTTGCTCCTTCCAGCTTTTAACACTCATAGTATTTTAACATGATTGGGGGAACAAATCCTGAAGCCAAAAGAAACGGTTCAATTCAACAGACAAGTGTCCAATGCTTTTTCTAACGGCATCATCTAAACTACTTAGCTCACATTCATCATACAAGCACACATGCTCATCCCTCTCATCTTTTATTAGACATGTTTGTCAGTAGAAATGTTGCGCAGTGAGTGTAGCAATGTTTTTTTTCTTCCTTTTCTTTTCAGCAAAAACATCACTGAGACTAAAACTATAGCCTCTTTCTTTTCGCTTCAAAAAGTGATTATTAGATTTTGGATCCCAGCTGGATACAAATTGTCATTTAGTTTCATTTTCCATTACTTAAGATATGAAAATAGATTTAAAATATACTATAATGCTGAAAGAAAATGGGAAAAAAAAAAAGTGGTGTGGATGGATGGTTTTGTGCATGTTACCTGTGCTGCTCCATGGCCTGCCTGCTGTGCAGCTGAAGCCCACACTCGCCACAACACTGCTGGCTTTGAGCCTGGCCCTCGTGCCTCATCCCTGCCGCAAACTGGCCCAGCCTGCTCAGGAGTTCCCTGTGCAGCAAGCCCTGGTGCAGCAGGCCGCTGTAGGCCCTCGGGTCCAGCGGCACGCCCAGTGACGGGGCCACTGAAACGGACACTGGCAGCATCCCCTCCCCTGTGTTGTTGGAGGGCACAGAGTATATGGAGGCCAGATGTTTCTCAGCGATCCCGGGGAAACAGTCAAGAGAGTTGCCCACCACTTGTCCTCCGTCTTCGGGACCTGTGTGCAGCTCTCGAGCGCTGGTGATCACGCTGCCTCTCAGAGGCGTCCCAGGGCCCTCATCTCTGGGCTGGTCTGACATGCAGCTTCCCTCTCCGGTGCTTGAGGACCTGCCCTCACAGCCATTGGCATCATCCACCTGCATATTCTCAGATTTAATACTTCTGACAGGATCCAGGGATGAAGCCTGGGATAACTCTGCACTGCGGTGCTGAGGCTGCTGGGAACTCTCCATGTCGACCTCCGTGTCCAGCTTGGGGCTCAGTTCAGGAGCCGCCTCAGGCTCTGGACCAGGAGAACTCCTCTCTGTCATGTGGTACAGCGCCAGGTGGTGTAGAGCAGTGGGAGTGGTGCGGTTGGGTCCATCCTGTATGGAATGCTTCTTGGACATCAACATGTGCCTCCAGTGCCTGGCCCGGTTGTGGTCACTGTGGTCTCCGGAGCTGTGATTCCTCACCGCCACCTCCTCGCTCTCCTCTGCCTGGATGGTCTCGAGCACCTTCAGGCACTGCTCCTCCAGGTACTCGATCTCCAGGATCTCCGCTGCGTACAGCAGGTCATCCAGGTCCTCGGCTGTGGCCTGGAGTGAGGCGGTGTAGGCGTACTCCAGGATCTGCTGGAAGGTCTTGGGGGACAGGAAGTCCAGGGCGTAGCGCAGGCTGCTGCGGTGGAACAAGATCTCGAACATTTTGCTGGTGCAGGCCAGGACGGTGCGGTGCGCCGGGAACTCCTGGCCGTCCACCGTGATAATGACATCACACAAAGTGCCGGACAGGCGCATCTGATTGGCCCGCTGCAGAAGCGTGCTGGGGTGAGTGGGATTGTGGAGCTGGAGCACACCCATGTTTGTCAGACCCGTATCCACTCGGACCTTTGCTGAGGCCGTGCATGAGGTGTGGCTGTCCTGCCTGCTTCGCTTGCCTTCAGCTGGTTGTAGGTCTGTGGTTGGGGTTGGAGTGGGAGTGGGAGTGGGAGTGGGAGTGGGAGTGGGGGGGGAGATCATTAGTGCCTGTCTGGCTCACAATGTGATATAAAAGACAGTTAATTATACACCAGTGTCCACTCCATGGTCAATCAGTAGGAATAATTTAAAAAAGAACATAAATCCAAAAATATAAATAAAAAAATATTCAGTGAAACATAAACCTTTAGGGCTTTTATTCCATGCACCACACATGTTTATTTATTTTAATTAAGAACCAAAGACAGACAACAGGTCGATACGCGCGAAGCAACAGTTTCCATTGCAGGTGATTAGTCTGAGGTCTTGTTGAGAGCGGTCACGTCGCTGTAATAACGTCTGCATACTGAGAGGTGACGGTTCAATTTATCAAGCTCCTCACACACACAGACACACACACACACACACACACACACACACCCGTGCCCTCAACAGGTAGCCCTGCTATTAACAGACGCCTTGACGGGCTGATTAGTTCATTTAGGCTGCGCACGTGCATGATTAGACGTGTTAAAAGACAATTAAGGCTCTGCTAAAAGAAAATCCTCAAAGAAGTTAGAAAACTACCAAAATTGACGAAGGCGTGAAAATGAAGCGCGACCCCGGCGCGGGTGCGTGTTTTCTCCCAGCGCATTTAAATATCTAAATGACAGAGTGAGTGATGATCCGGCTCTGTGTGATGATTAGTATTGTCGGACCACTCAGCGGCACCTCGAGTGATGCTGACAGGCTGCATCCTCAACTAACCGCAACATCAGAGCGCATCAGGTGCAGACGCAAAAAAAAATCCACCTCTCTTTTTTTTTTTATTATCCAAACACATTGCGACAAATTAACCCCCCGTACCACACGCTTATTTACCGGCTGCACGGTGCGTGAGGGAACGCGTGCTGTCTGAAAATAAGAGACCCAGTTTGATCCAAAATAGTCCAATGATAATGTCGCTGAACTGCACAGTCTGCGTTACAGTCTGAGCTTAATCAAGTTTGTTCAACGTTGAATCCGGCTGCGGAACAAACTTGGGTCCGTTTCCCACATGTGTGATTGGTAAAACGAAATTACAACAACCCGCCACAAAAACTGCCATTATTCACAATAATATTTGTTAGAATTAGTGTGAGACTGTAAAGTAGTTGACCGGAGCGGACATGATCCAGGAGGAATAATAATAAAAAAGTGTCGGCTGTCACAGTTGTTCTTACCTCTGTCTCCTAACGTCCTCCGCTGATTATCCAGGCAACATCATGGTTACACATTTCACAGTACCCGCTCCAAACTCAGTCCTGCTCCAAGTAAGCAAATCATCACCCAGCCGCGACAGTCAAACCAGCAGGGGGAAAACACGACTTCCGAGTGGAGCTTTCAAAATAAAAATATAAAACCTGTCTGAAGAACCACGTGTTGAAAGTTGTCTTTTAAACAGGAGAAAATGGGGCAGTGTGGATTGTCAGATTGAGTGGGATTGTTAGGAATGGGGGAAATAGAATAACCACTAATACATGATTATGATGCAACAAAAACGTAAGCATTTAGGATATTATTTATTTATTTATTGAGACTGTCAAATTAAAATGTGGATAGACTTTGGAGTAAAAATGGTCTCAGTCAATAATATTAATGTTGCACCATTTTTTTTCTAGTGCTGAAAATAACAAGAGGAGAAGCAAAACATTTGGTGGGTGTCCATAGTGTTTATCTTGACATAATGCAGCAACAATCGGTAAAAACTTAACAAATCATAGAAGGGGAGGAACCTCTGTGATGGAGTTTGTCTGCCTCAAGACAAATGTTTCTTGTGTTGCAACTTGGCATACAAAAGAAAATTCAGTTAAACTGAGTTTAAGATGAAGATCTATTAGCATACATGCAATATAATATTCATATTAATGTTTTAATTAGTGCGTGAACACCTAAATATAAGAATTTTTGTGGTTTTGTTATCTAAGAATGAGCCGTTTATATTTACAGAGGGAGCAGGTCCCTTTTTCTCTTTATCCTAGAACAGACAAATGTAACTCTGGGTCTATAAAGGGCCTTTTGCATTTTTGGAAAGTTTTGTGGCCACCATAGTTTCTCCCACATGCTTTGATTGTTGGTTGTAATCTGCAACTTCACCGCTGGATGCCATTAAATGCTACACACTGGTCCTTTTTTAATGATCGGATTTATACAACAGTTCTTCTGTTAGTGGGCCTGCTGTCACTAAAATCTATGTAGAAAATCCAGGGAATGAATTTGTTTTGAGACACAATTAGATACCACACTTTTTGTCTTTTAAAGTCAAGCAAAAATGTGGGAGTGTCTCTTTGGTGTGCAAGCAATGCTAAGCAAGTTGGGGGAAGGGGAAGCAAGAGTGACATACCTCAAAACTTGTGGCTGACCGGAGCATTTTGAGATGTAACAAGTGAAACCTTTATTCCCTGACTGCAACTGTCTTCATTTTAGACATTTAACAGATGATTGCCAGATGGAAACAGGCCTATAGACAAGATTTTAGAAATAAAAAAAAAAGGCTGTGGTATCCTAGTGACCTATAGTGCTTTAAAGCGCTCACCGTGTGGTCAACTGAGGTCAAGAATGTCAGTCCACCCAATGCACCCATCCCCCTTAACCCTCCAACATTTTCCAATTGTTCAACTGTTCAGTTATTTGTCTGTAATTGTTTTTTTTTTTTCCTTTTTGTCCCTTTTTTCTTTAATAATTACTGAAAAGCAGGCACATGTATATGAGACTAGGAATACTGGACTCAGCCTATAATAAATACCCACCGTGTGTAGGTTTGAAATTGTAGCATGCAGTGGGAAATTTACTCAATCTTGAGATACTTTACTTTTGTGGTACTTTACACTTTCATTCCACTACATTTATTTAACAGCTTTAGTTACGAGTTACTTTGTAATATTTTACATACAAAGATGAGCTTATGAGATATCATAAGCTCATTTATATTAAACTACAGGACATGCTGTAAAATAGTTAAAATCAGCTCCACCTAGACCAGCTGCAACATTTAAATGTTCTTGACATGTAACTATATCAATACAAATAATATAATGTGTTGTGAAGTCCATCTTTTCTGCATAACAACTGCTTTTATTGTAATGCATGAAGCTGATAATAATGCAGGACTTTTACTTGTAATGGAGTACTTTTATATTGTAAAGCAAAAGTATTAGCATCAAAATAAAGATAAAGATCCCCTGCAGACAATAACACACATCTACAATTAGTCTTCTTGGAAAAATATATGTATTTCCTAAAAAAAAAAAAAAAAAATAAAAAAAAAAAAAAAGTATAATTTCCCCATTTAAATCCTTACAAAGACATCTACTCCTTCTACCCCTTTAAACTTTCCAGAATCTACAAATTATCAAGATGTCTCCTAATTCATTGTAAAGTTTGCTCTCAGTGTATGTGCACTGGTGGCTTAAAGTTACTACATCACACTTGTACAAGTTGCATACTGGACAAGGACTGACTTTCAAACTATTTGTGCTGTCACAAATCACGCTCGTAGGCCCTGCCCCTTTTAAAACCAGATTTTCTAAGAGCACAGAGAAACTTTCCACTTTCAGCAGATGAATGTGAAAACATCCTTCAAGTGTCAAACTCTGCACATACATCATTCTGCAAAGTGAAGCTCAAACAAGACAAAACAAGACAAAAAACATTTTTGAGTGGAGAGGGAACTTTAAAGTACCAAAAGTAAAAGTAGTCATTATGCAGAATGGATCATTTCAGGATTACAATGATTGAGGCACTAAGCATCACTATATGTTGCAGCTGGTAAAGGTTGAGTTAATTGGAACTACTTCACTGTCAAGTAGCTTAATCTATAATAATACATCATATTTTAATTGTTGATTTTTGTCCAGTATTCTAATTATTATAATAATATGCATTTATCTGAACCGGTAAATTGTAACTGGGAACTAAAAGATGACAAATAAATGTAGTGAAGTAAAAAGTAAAACTATTTCCCTCTTAATTGTAGAGGAATAAAGGTATGAAGTAGTACAAAGTGTACTTGAGTGCAGTATTGGTGGTAGTATTGTTATACTTTTTCTTGACTTAATAATGGCCTGAAAACTTCTTCCACCACTGGACTTAAATTCCCAGTTAACATCCATCAGGAATTACCTCACTGCAACATACTTTTATGCAATTGCCACATATTTTTTCAATTCCTATTGCGCTGCTCCCCTTCTTCACCGCCTTTCCCCCCTTCTTTACTTTGAAGGCCTCATCTCCTAACTTCCGGTATGGTCACGGCCGCGCGCTGCTGACTTTACCGGCTACGGATCATCACCGGAGCGACGTCACGGCTCTGAATGATCGCCCTCTGCTCCTCGTCTCTCCATCAGGGGCTGCAATCAGAGACATCTACAGGGCATCTGAACTACTGACAGCCTACCAGGTTAGAACCTGTTTGTTTGTCCTGAAATAAGAAGCAGAGGCTGGTTAATGCGGCGGACATTAGAGCTCAACACCAGTTAGCGTTTAACAGGTCACTGGGGAAAAATACCAAAAAAAAAAAAAAGAAAAAAAAAAAACGAAGTAAGAAAGAGAGAGGGCAGTCTGTGAGTGAAACATGATACCGTGCCGGGTCAGTGCTGGCCGCTGTGGTTGTTGACACTCTGTTGACACAGCACCGGTTTGTGGGGTCATGTCACATTAGAGATACCGAAGGTGGTGGGTGGGTGGGGGGGGTTGGTGAGGAATGCCACAGCTGAAAATATCAAGCCCTCACTGGTACACAGTATGTTGACATCTTAGCCTGGAAGTATTAACTTTAGTAATGCACAAACATGCATTATGTAACACGTGTTTATTTGCCCCCGTCTATATGGACACGTAGCCCGAGGAAGTTTCAGCCCCAACACAACCTGTTTGCACTGTAACCTTTCTGTAAATAGTCCTGTGTCCATGACATGGCGAAAACAAAAGGGAATCCAAATAAATGTGCGTTTAATGCCATCTAGTGTCAAAATAATGTCACTACAAGCTTATGAGAACAGGACAAGGTTTGTTTTTTTGGGGGGGGGAACGGAAAGGAAAAGTAATTGAAACCAATGACAAAATGGGCCAGGACAAAATTAGATTCAGAAACCATTTTTATTTTGTAAATGGGTTAGCACTCAGACTGTACACAACAGATATTTTTCTGAGTTTGACCCAATAAAACCAAAAGGAGCATCCAGAGGCGGGGGAGCAAGGTGGTCTGGTAACAGCAGAGTACAAGGTGAGTAAAGATCGTCTTTTTCTTTATATACTTTAAATCTTTAATCACTTCTCTTGGCATTACATCTGTTATCTAAAGCTTTTTTTAAAAAAAAAAGTTTGATCTCCTGTTTCAGGTGGACCACCCTGCTTCCTGCCGGCGGTATCCTCAACTTGTCAAGCAGTTGCTCTTGGTGAGTGATTTTTGTACAAAAAGACAAAAACTTTAAAAAGAAAAAAAAAGAAAAAGAAAAATTCAAAGACCACATTACAGAACACTTGAATAACAACTGGGGGGGAGAGAAATAAAAACAATGTGTAGTAATGCCAGAACAAGCCCCAAAAGGTAACACTCATTAAATCAATATGAGAACTATTTACCCCAAACAAACATGGGCACGTCTATCTGCCTCGTAGTTATACGTTATGAAGTACTGACTGAATTCATGCCAAGGCTCAAAACACCTTCCTTCACTATAGCTGGCGATATATAGTGCTGTGACCAGAGACGGACAGTTTTATACACTACACGTGTTATAATGACCACATTAGTCCATTTATCATACTTTTTCTTCTAGTAATACAATATATTAAATAAAAAAAGAATCGGCTAAATCTCTCACGACAAAGCTATGCAGATTATCATAGAAACTGATGACAAGACAATCTACTGACACACAGGCACAGTGCACAAGCTTGCAGGCAGGAAATGGAAAATAAATCTTTTGTAGTTTTTAAATAGTACAAAAATGCTTCTTTATTTTTTGCTTCAAAGTCACAACTCAAAGTACGAAGCCAGACCTTTGATCTGCTTTAATGTGAGGAAGAAACAATAGTTATTGTAGTCGTTGCCCCCTAAACAAATACGTGGCGTATATTTAGCGCAAGATCATAAGACATTCGCTTGATTCACGGCTCTTCAACCCTTGGCTGAGAATCAGCAGTTCTGCTGGCTTTGTTTTTTTTTTTTTGTCTGTTTGTGTTCAGTGAGTTGCCTTTTTTAATCAAATACACGTTATTAATGAATATTTTGAACTAACACTGTGGTAAGGCAGTGACAGACTGAATACATTTGATCATAAAATGGGCCAAATCTGATCTGATCATGCACACCGTCTGTGTGATTCTCCGTCGGTCTCTTTTCCCCCTGCAGCTGGCTGTGGGTTAATCCTGTATTTTTATCACCATAGCAAATATGGTTGTAATCCAAACATTGAACTGGGGCCTGTGTTAAATCAATGCCAGCATATCTGTGAGAGATGACACATCCCTGTAACAGACAAAGTGAAAACATAAACCTTGTAAACAAAACTTTACAACCACTTGCAGGTCAGACATGCAGAACAAGCTATTTAATGAGACTAGCCCACAAATTAAGTCCAAAAAAAAAAAAAAATTTGAACAGTTGAACATGAAAATAAGAAAAATAATTTCTATATATAGTCAGGGTTTTTTTTTTTTTTTTACACATTTCTCATAATTCAATACTTGTATGCGATTGCAATTCAAACTATAAGCACAATAGAAAGTAGAGTCTAATTTCATATATTTACCAAGCGATCATTATAATAAGAGATTGTTCTTAATTGTCCTGACTGGTTAAATAAAATAACAATAAAAAAATAAAATGAATCTCTTATGACCTAAAGATAAACTCCTTGGATGTAGTAAACATTTCATGAATGAAACCAGAAATGAAAGCACAGTCAAAGTGCGCTGTAACCAATGGACACGTGTGTGTTGTTTTAAATATGTAGTTAAGGGCACTGGAAATCAAAACTCCTGCAGTGTTTCTCGCTCAATGCTGCTGCAAAAAAATGTTTTGGGTTGGGCTGGGGTTTCCCCCCATCATGCTTTGCTCTGGGTGGTATTTGTCTGTATGACACTCTTGTGTTCTGCAGCGATCTCCGTCACGGTGTTTGATAACTCCAGTTTGCCTTTCTCATCAGAGAAAATCTTCCTGTAATGGAAAAAACGAGAACGTGTAAAATTAGAAATCCGGTCATCTCGGGTGAGAAAACACTTTAATTGAACCCAATCTTAACAATTTATTCTCAATGACGTCTTCACCCAACATGTAAGAAGACACTGTGTATTTAGAGGTCTTTTTACATATTTCTTCACCACCTTGACAACAGTCAGATAAAATTTAAACCATAGCCAGACCTAAATCTAACCCTGATCTAAAGCAAACAGCGTTTAGCAAATATGATCAATGAATCAGTTTAGCTCTACTTCAGAAGAGACTATGATGGCACCGTAAATGAGCCCTGGGCTTTCGGTATGTGATTTCCATGTTCATCTTAAAGCAGTGAAGCACAGTTTCTAGTATCTGCCTGCAGCTCTTCTCTTGTGCAGTTCAGGGCAGGAAAACACCACCATCCAGCCTCTGTTGTCTATAGCAGAGCTGCAGAGTTGGTGAGGATTTCAGCAACATTCAGAGGCAAACACTTACTGCCTGAGACAAAACATTTTGTCATTAAAGTAAAGCCCCTTTCAGACATGGTGACATGGTAACATTGCTGGATTCATCTGTCTGTTGATACTGTTTTATCATTCAGACATGCAAAGGTGTTATAGGTGTGACAGGACTGGGATGGAAAAAAGCCACAATGCTTGTGCGACATTGCCATCTGCTGCACAACGGGGAGTAGTGGCGCCGCAGAGTTGGAAAGTAACGATATCAACAGGCTGCTTCGGTGATTGATTTTAAAACGTATTTTCCTGTTGAAGGCATAATTAACGACCACCGTGAGCAGGGGGGGATGCTCAATAAATGTTCTCAATTTTATCATTTCTTAGAGAGTTCTCTTGACTATTTTACAATGACAACATGTCAAGTAGGGACTCTTGTTTAATTACTATTCGTTCAGACTTTAAGTGTTTCGGGCAAAGTCAAAACTTTAGGGCGGGAGACTGCAGGTCTGATTATTGTTGATCTATTTGAAGTATTTTGTCAAGTCAAAAAAAGTTTACTTTTATAGATGGAGGAGAAAAATCTCACTGAGAGAGTGAGAGACAGACAGACACACACAGAGAGACAGAGAGACAGAGAGACAGACAGACAGACAGACAGACAGACAGACAGACAGACAGACAGACAGACAGACAGACAGACAGACAGACAGACAGACAGAGCGAGAGAGAGAGCGAGAGAGAGACAGACACAGAGAGAGAGAGAGAGACCTGCTTACTTTCAAATTCAATTCAAATTCAAAATGGGCTTTATTGGCATGAAAGTTTTTTTTAAAAAACAATATTGCCAAAGCAAAGCATCAAAGTACAATACAATAAATCAAAGATATATACATTATGAACATTATATTAGATATATATAGTGTGTCTGTGTGTGCGTGTGCCTCGATCACTCACTCTCCCTCAGGTTGTGGCATGTTAATATATACTGGGCAGCAAGGTGTGCCCGCTCTCCTTCTCTGAGGAGTATTTTTAATTTGAAATCTGGTACCAAAGAGCTGAACTTGTTCAAATACATTTTTCTAGTATTATTTAATTTTGTACATTGTAGGAGAAAGTGCATCTCTGTCTCAACCTCACCTGTCGAACAGTGACCACATTTTCTGTTTTCTTTTGGTTGCCATGATTTTTTTACTTTCTCACCTCTGCACACCTGGCCAATCAGTGGATGACAGCGATTGCCGGATTGTCAATTTCGATTAGTTTGTCAGAAAGATATGAGAGGGAGGGGTTTTCCGACACTGTTCCATAATGTGACAAGCATCTCCGATGAAGCATATTAGCAGCTTTAATTTAATTCAGACTTGTACCGAGCTTTACAGAAATATTACTGGGTCTGACTTATGCATATTGTCAATGTGACATTTATGTAACAAGGTGCATGTCTGAAAGGGGCTTAACTATTCTTGTAGTGAATGTTGCAAAACTGGAGACCCCACAATGGAGAACTGGTACACACAAGCATAAAAAAAAAAACAGAACCATCATGTCACTCATCTGTCACAATCCACAACATCTTACTAATAATTATCCCAATGTCATTACCACAGTTTACCATTACAATATTTCATATTGTGTGGTCAATGGCAAGATGCGGTGGTGAATGAATGGGCATACAAGTTACACACTCGCACGCACACACACACACACACACACACACACAAACACACAGATAAACCTCTAGAGGGAGCCGTACTCATCGTTGACAGGAGGAGCAGTCTTGGCCAGAGTCTCTGATGCCTCCAGAACTGGGCCTGAGGGGGGGAGGTCTGCTCCGTCTCCATTGGCCATAGAGGGGGCAGAGGGCGGGCTCTCTAAGCTAATAAGGTCCGCGGGGGGCCGGTAAGGTCTCTCTGTCCCGTTTGTCAGCGCTAACTCTAAATCCGCATTTTTGGGTCCCACGGCTGAGGTTAGTAAGTCATACGTGTCGGACCCCGATGTGAGAAAATCATTTGAGGCCGGCGCCTCGAGACCAGCAGGGGCAGGAATAGAAGAAATGGGAGTAATGGGTAGAGGAGAAACCAGAGGAGCAGATACTTCAGCATCCAGGACTTTAGGAGCACTGTGGATCACTGAAGGAGAGCTACTTACAGCATCTTTGGCAGTGGATATGTTTTCATCGACAAGCTGGGCAGCAGGTTTATTATTTGTGTCAAAGGCAGTAAGGCTATACGCACTGGGATTTGGGGCATTTGGAACTGAATCAGGGTCTGGTTTTGGTGGGGCAGTGGTTGCTAGAGTGGAGGCAGTTTGTGCTGGCGTCTCGATGTCTAAGGCTACGTCGTGTGGCTTTATGGGTAGCTTCTTGACCGGTGGGCTCGGAGCAGGTTTCTTGGTGTCGAGAGTGGGAGAGGACGATGGAGAAGACGCAACGAGCGGAGATACAGGGGGGCTACCTTTAGCATTCAGAGCGGCAAGTTTAGGAGAGTGTCTACGCATCGGTGGTATCGGCGCCCCAGCTTTTTGAACTTTAGTCCGTTCAGGTGTACAAGGAGGAGTGGTTATTTTCTCCTGTTCTTCCAGGCTGTTACTTCCTCTTTGTTCTACTAACGGAGCCATTTTAGCTTCGACGGCAGAGGTGGTGATGAGCGGAGTCGGCGGGGCGGTGTTCGACTCTGGAGTCGGGGCCGGAGCTGGGCTAGGGGTGGGTGAGGGTTCTGAGGGGTCGTTGGCAGGGGTAGACAGGCTACAAGTGAGGGTAGTGGTCTCGCTAGAGGGGCTGTCCTGAGCGGGGTCAATTGTTGCAGTGGCTGTGTCAGAGTTGGTGGCTATGGAGGAGAGCGTGTCCAGTGCCGGAGCAGCAGTGTAAGCCGCCAGCCTGAGAGAGCAGGGAGAGAACAGAGACACACAGACTAGACACCAGGGTGACTGTGACAGAGGAAGGGTGGCCCGGACGAGAGCATGCAGAGGGATTAGTTGGTTTTTCAAAATTCACACAAACATAAAACAAAGCAACTAAAAAAACAGCAACTATTAAAGCCTAGTGAGAAAAAGAAACACAGAGAAAGAGGACGTCATGCTGTGAGTGAACATTTAAAGGATACATCCCATACACACACCAACATGGAGTACGCTGACTAGGAAAGTTCTAAAAAAAAAAATAAAAACCACCACTCTTCCTGCAGAAAAACTACAGCACCACGCAGAACCACCTATAAGGGTTAAACAGTACCAGTGACAATCTCATACGATATCTAATTTTTCCAGACTGCTGATGCGAGACAACGGCTTGCTGAGGTTGTCAAATGGCTTCATATGAGTTGACCACACTCAAGAGGACAAAGGCCTTTCTGTGTCTTTAACTGGTATTGCTTCAACCTTGATACACTGAGACAGAAAATCTCCAAAGGCTGGAGAAGAAACACAAATTGCAGTAATCCCTCTCAAAGGGAATAAAAACAGAAAAGCAACACAGTTCAGTGGACTCCACTCAAGAATGACCTCAACTTTTCAGTAATTTCAAGGGTCAGATTTTGTCCTGTTGAATAAGATAATTATTCTTTGAAGTGGAGTGCAATGCACAACAGCTATAAGACTTGAGCAGCAAAAATGCTGTGTGCTGTGCGTATGGAGTTTTTTACTCACTCTGGCTCTGTGAGAGGTGTGGTTTCATTGGGTTCTGTTGTTGGTCCCGCTGCGTTATGATTGGCTGTGCACTCGTCCTCTGTCCTGACTTCCACTATTGGCTCTTTGGACTCATCTTTCCTGCTGGATAGAGAGACAAAGCTCTTTATCGTGTCTTCCAGTATGAGTAGTAAAGGGACACAAGAGCAGGGGACGGTGATTATGTGAACGGTTTACCTGTTCAACTGAGTCAGTGTCAAATTTTGAGTCAACTAACTCGTGGGAAGAAAAACATGGCTGTATTTTAGTGAAGCCAGTAGCATGAAATGTGGCACAAATCAATACACGACGCAACCTCCCACTCAATTGATTCAAAACTGCCTTATTGTGCACATGAGAGTATTTGTTTGGTGCTTCACTTAAACCCAGCATCCTTCATATTTTCACTGGAGGAGAAATCCACTCTAAAAACTTCATCTCATTTATGGACCCATTATATTGATTTGTGCATTTTTCCTGTTCCTGTGGATACTGACTGAGCAGACCATAATGCACTGCTGTCACAAGACATGTTGATTTTGCTCAAGAGGCACAGCTCTCAGTTTCTCCTAATGGAAAACCCTCTGCCAGTTATCTCTTCCTTTATCAGCCTAAACATAAAACCTTCAGCTAAAATTCAGTCAGTCCTTGAAAGGCCTTCTGGGGAATGTAGGAAGTCATTAATTTAAGTAGAAAGTACAGCAGAAAGTAAACGACAAAAAGATAAATTAGAACAACTTGATCTAAAAGAGCAGTTTCTGGAAGACATTTAACATCACAGATTGCTTACTCATAACATTGCAAAGAGCATCGCAAGGTGCTTTTTTTTGTCTTCAACGAAACAAAAATCATCTATATTCAGTCATTCTTCTTCAAAGCTGGAAATATTTTAACTTGCATTCATTCATTTATTTGTTGCCATGTTGGAGCAGTACAGCAAGCTATAAACACAACACAGAAATCCTCTATTGAAGTTGTTATGGCTAATATTTTACACATCCAGCAGACACTTAGCAACATTAGCATTGATTTGAAGATGTTTCTGGCCACCTTTTGTGATCTGTATCTGGAAACATTATCTGGGTAATGACATCTAATCCACAGACCTTTGAATTTACACCTGGGGCCAGATGTATAAATCATGCGTACACATAAAGTGTACTTATGCCACTTTCCACACAGGTTTCCTGGTAAAAACCCACGTGTGGTGAGACTGTGCGTACTGGTACAAATCTTTCTTTCTCTTACAGTATGATATTGTCAGTTGGCAAGAAATAAAAGTGTGAATTTTGGTGAGTCTTGAGCTTTTGGTCTAAATGCAATGCAACCTGAAAGAAACATTTGTCTCTTTCGCTTCTAAACGCAGCACTGTCACTAACTTTGTCTGCTGTTTGGCTGTTTACCTGTCAGGTAGTGTGTTTATCAGAGCTTGTTTGGTAAAAACAGCTTTCTGCTGCAACTGGGAACAACACTGATAAAAGCAGTAAGACTGAAACAAAACTAAAAACAAATCAATCATTAGAAAGCTGCTAAAAAGCTCTGTAAAGCTGATGTGAGCTGCAGAGTTCTCAGTGTTTGTCACTGCAAGTGTCACCTTACACACAGTCATGTGATCCACTGTTAGAGAAATACTGATTAGAGCAACTTTGACAGCGTGCATATCACCAGCTTGTGAAAATAGGGCGCATATATGAAGGCTTTCATAAATAAAACCTACAGTATAATTAAACTTTAATTTAAATCTGGCCAAAGGTAACTATTTGAAAGATTGTTGAACTGCATGCAATTGTTTTCACCGATACTCACATGAAAGCTGCCGTGCCCTCCTCCAAGTTGTGTCCTTTAGTCCCGGTGCCGGGTTTGCCGCAGAGGCACATTATGAGGCCACACTTGTTGACAAAGTAACAGGTGACATCCACGGCCAGCAGCAGGAGTACAAATACTACAACAAGGATCCCTGCCCAGAGCATGATGCCCATGGAGAGTGCCGCCTCATCACCCAAATCTGCCAGACAAGAGACAAGAGAGGGAGAGTGCTGAACAACTGTAGCGTGACAGTTTTATAGAAACAGCCATGAACAACTGAATAAAGTGTTGCTATGCTACTGTAAGCACAAATAGTTCCATAAAACAGAAACAACTCACCTGCTACGAGCCCTGTTACGTTCTAGTTGTCTCAGCATGAATTTAGATGCAGTGTGATGTGTTTGTTCAGACTGCTGTCTGACTTGTGTTCAAGTTTTTATACAACTTCATTTTAAATAATGTGTAATTTATATGCAAATGGAGGTCCTTAAAAAGACACTAAAAGAAGATATAAAATATATATATTCAACCCATTTATTTGGTATTAGAAAGAAGAGCAAACCAAAGCTTACACTGCGATGCTAGTTACCCAGAAATGTTGTGGACAAAATTAACAAAACACTTATAATATCACAAAAGGCTATGATGTATGTTCACTGTCTGTGTAAAGTCTATTATAATTATAACTTTAGACTGCAGAAAAATATCCTGTTTCTAAATAAATTTCACTCTTTAATACCAATAATTACTACTCAAGATTTGCAAAAGAATAAAATGCAGCTGAGTCAAGCACCTCCAATATAAATGTATAAAAACAGGTATTTTTGAATGATAATTGATACACACTACATGCATAAGAAATATCTGAACATTTGTCTTAGTAATCAGCACAAAAATAACACTTTCCTTATGATAATTCTGTATACAGCTTGTCAAAGTGTTCCAATATTATTATTATTACAAACATTTTTCAGTTAGGTGTATCTGTTTTCAATCATGTAAACGTTAATGTTACAAACCTTTACAGTACATACCCAGAATTTTGTGAGCGATTAAAAGAATATAATAGTGTTTTATGTAAACGGACAGGCCCAGCACTCAGCCTTTATTCTGTTCTAAGTGCTATTTTTTTTTTTAATACAACCTTTCAATTCCACTATTGTTCATTACGGTAAACTGGCACTCCTCTCAGTTGTCTAGTACTTTTGACTAGCTGTGCTAATGCTGAGCAGAGTGAATCTGTAGGAGGCGGAGGATTTCCACTGCCTTTGGTTCAACACGTCTGTCTGGTCTGTTCTGAAGCTACACGGCACCCTTTTCTCACCGATAACAGAGACACGTCTGCCATGGACAAAGTCTGTTTTCAAGGAGTGAAAGTGTCCAGAGAGACAGCCAGGCCAGAGAAAGGCAAGCTCTCCTCTACAGTTATGGTGTGAATTCCCCCCTACGAAAACTATGAGAGCAGGAGTACAGTGATGAGGGACAAGATGAGTGATACCAAAGTGTATGTCACAGATGAACAGCCCTGAGTGGCTGATGGAGGGGGGCAGCACAACCCCGAACACACCAAAATGCACACAGGTCGGGGCGAAAATGTTCACGCGGTCCACCACACCAATGTCCACGACCAGGCAAGAGAGCAGGAACATTGAGAGAGGGGATAAAGAGAGAGAGAGGGGAAAAGAGAATAAAGGAAGAGGAGGGGGGGAAAATGAAGGAAAACAAAGAGGAAAAAAAGAGAAGGGCGGGGAAAACAGAAGAAGAGAGAAAGTGAAAATGTGTCAGGTCTGAAAACCAAAAGCGAAAAAAAAAGGAAAAAAAAGAAACTGATTTCTTGTATTGAGGGAGGAAAACAAATACAGCAACACATCAAAGCAAAAGCACAGCACAAAAGGGGAAAACTACACCATGTTGGCTAGATGGTGACTCAGTGGTGGGTGAGTGGGAAATGCTTTAGTTTGGAAAATGAATTAGAAAAGAAGTGAAAGGAAGGCATAATGGTCTGTTGCGATGTTTCAGCAAAGCACTCGGCAGTGTCTAGCACCTAAAGGGACTCTGACAAGCTGTGTGGTTTTTGTACGGTTGGTAAAAAACCTTCAGCTGCAGTTAAGACCTCGAGGTACGAGTTAATCAGCGGTTATCAGGGGTCAATTTAAAGGCTGCTTCCGCACAGGGACAAACCATCCACTCTAGATGCTAGTTTAACAGTAAACAAAGCTAAAGAAAAACTACAGTCATTCAGAGGAAATCATTTCATCCTCTGTGGAAAGAGCCTGTCCCAGTTCTGTGAGCACAAACTCAAGCTCATTTAGCAAGGGCTGTCAAAACTTTCAAGTGAGAAAATTCAGCCGGAAAATCATTTCTGGCTCACCGCCGTCCAGGAAATCTATTTTTTTCTGTAGATTTATTTAGTTGTCATTCACCTTTCAGAGCTAGAGAGTTAAAAATAGAATGTGACGCTCTGGTTTTGAGCTTTGAGTTTGGCTCCTCAGTTTTCTGGCAGTTTAGTTCCGGCTTAGTGTGAGCGGCCTGAGAGGGTACCTGGGATGGCTTCTGGCTTTGTGGACGTCCTGAAGGACATGGTTGCTGGCTGGGACTTGCCCTTCTGATTCTCTGCCACCACATAGACACTGTAATCTGTGTCCCACTCCAGCGCGCTCAGAACCACGTACTCGCTGCCGCTGGGCAGCCGGATTTCTGGCTTCCAGTCTGGTGCCTGTAGCTGCAGAAAGACAGAGATGTATACAGTACATGCATTTAGGGCAGCAACTAATGATTATTTCATTTTTGATTACAGGTTATTTTCTTGGATTAATCATTTGGTTTATATGACATTTTCACATAGGATTAATCTGCCAGTTAAGTTGTCAATCAACTAAATCATCATTTGGTATATATAATGTCTGAAAAATAACATACATACATGAATTTCTCAGAAAGCCTAAATATATTCAGTTTACTATCAGAAAAGACTAAGAAAACAAGCAAACATTCACATGTGAAAGGCTAGAACCAGAGAAATGTGGGCATTTTGCTTAAAAAGTTACGTAAATGATGACTCAATTATCAAAGTAGTTGCCTTAGTTGACACAGACTAATTGTCATACTCACTGGTTTATAGCGGACGAGATAATGTAAAATGGGCGAGCCGCCGTCGTCCTGCTTGATCCAGCTGATTTTTAGGGAGTTGCCTTTGGGTTGAAGTGCCCCTTCGAGTTTAGGAGGATTGGGATTCCCTACAGGCACACAAGAGCACGGCAGAGGTTATTTAAAGGCTCATTTAAAAGATTCAGAGAGAACAGGGTTATTTTACTGGGATAAGATTCTGTCAGTCCACCAGTACCTTTTTTAAAATTGTTGAGCAAAGAAAAAGAAGAACCTTGATTAGGAATTGAATTCTTAAGATCAAAACTGGCCTCTTTGTTGTTGTCCTTTTAAATCACTTGACCTTCCTTAATCGCTCGCCTCAAGATGGTATGTCTCAAGTTGGACTAATTACCAAATGACACACAGCCACATGCTTATCTGATTCAGTTGCTGAGTGACATCCAGTCAGCATAAAATTGCGGACTGACATTCCCCCAGTGTCATACAAGCCTTCAGGGGAAAGGGTTATTTCTCACTGACTGACATGTTTATGTAAGATTTGCATTTCCCAGTCTAATACATGGGTTTGCCTGTAAAGATTACCACAGGGAGACATTTTTGTGCAGTACAACTTACTTGTAATGCATTAAATGCACGTTTAATGTATGTTCCCCCTTCCTTAAACTCATTACACTGATTTCCATAATCAATGTTAAACACCTAACACACAACAATAAAGTCAAATACAAATGTATCAGGTGGCAACTGCGAGACAAGATTTATTCATCTAATTACTTTCTTCTTTGTATCCGTGGCGGACAAAGTGTTTGATTGTGATCTGTGGAGTTCCTCAGGGGTCAATCCTGGACTGCGTCTCTCAATGATGTCCAGCTTTATGTATCAGTGAAACCTTGGGAACTTTTAAATTTGATATATTTATCTTGTTGAGATCAGTGCCTGGAAGTCTCCTAGTTTTTTGCCGGTAAATTATAAAAAAAACTGAAGTTCTTCCCGTCTTTGCCAGAAATCGGACTTCTATTTTACAGCACTCTGTGTAGGCTCCCAACTAAAAGATGATTTCCAGAAAACCTGTGGGTAATTTTTTAATTCCAATAGATCTTTGAGAAACATCTTAAGTCAGATACATAGCCCTGTTACATTTCAATTCAGAAACATTGCCAAAGTGTGCTGCTTCCCCTTTCCAGCAGCTTGAGGAAATCATTCATTGAATTGTCTACTCGAGTCTTGACTATTGTAATGCAATGTATTCTTGTTTAAGCCAAGAAGCTCGTCTACAATTAGTTCTTTCTTTAGTTCAATTAGAAATTCTGCTCATGATTGTAACTACATTAAGTTCTGGCTTCAGTACTCTGGCTTCCTGTCAAATCTAGGATTGAAATCACAATCCTTCCAATTACTTGTAAGGTGTTACACATCTTGGCTCCTCCACATCAGTGAGTTGCTGATTACACACAGGTCCAGTAGACCTCCTGGTTGTTTCTCACTCAAAGATGAAGACATGGTGACCTAACTCTTGCTGTCCTGACTCCCAGATTATTCTTCTGGGGGTCAGATTAGTAAACTCTAATTTAAAAACCTATTTATTCTCAAAAGCATTTCATGCTTCCCTGCTCTGATTTTTAGTCTTTAAAAGAAATCTCATCTTTAATTTAAATAGTTCTTCAAATGTACCCCTGGCATAGAAAAGTGCTGACTAAAGTATTACTCACCAGCACATAACAAGAAAGAGGTTCGTAATGATTAGTATTCACACACTCACACAAAATATTGCTTGCCTTCAAAACCTTGGTTAAATTAGTCAGAGTTAGTCGATTTAGCCTTTAAAGCGTGGTACTCAGGCTACGGTTAGACAAGAGCAACAATATGGAGGAGACGATGCACAGGGTAGCTATTGCTCTCAGCATGAATACTAAAAAACTCTTGATTGAGAACCAGAGCGAACACAAAGCAGGTAGGTGGGGTAGACATTGATTATGGTTCTGCTGTGATTAGAGGAAGTTGTGTTTATTACACACTTGATTTATAGCAACACAACCCATGAGGAGGAGAGGTAACATCCCTTTAGGTAGTGAGCTATCAACACTATCCAAGTGATGGTGATATTAAACACTCTTGACTTTACATATTACTGTGAAGAAAGCTCTGGCTGTCTCTCATTTATCCTGCTGAGGCAAACGTCTACATGACTGATTAATAGGATTGAGGTAGGCATATTACATGATTGCACAGAAGCAATTAATGTGTTGTTTAACTGGGGGATTCTCCAATTCAAGTCTTCTTTCAGAAATCTGCAAGAGTAAGTTACCTTCTGCAGAGTGGAGGGGGGGGGAGGGGTCATCAGAACCATGCAAGCCAATTCACAAATCACAGTCACATGAAATGACACATGTGAGAGGTTGAAAGAGGAAGAGAGGACATGAAAGACAGAACAGACAACAAACACAGACACAGGTAGAGGAAAAGAGTCACAACACAACTTCTCGTACTAATAAACACAAGAACAGGAATTCCTCTGTATTGGTTCTCAATGTGAAACATAAAGTAGACATCTAACAGCTTTATCGTCTTGACTTTAGAGACTTTATAATTTGCAAGGCAGCTAATTAATAAATACTGATGGGCTTAATCCAAATGTAAGCATTCCCAAATTACACCAAATAGCTGGAGCCAGAGGGGAAATGTGCAGCGTTTGAAATGCGGAGATTTGGCGTTAATTCATAATACTGTCGTAAGCCACAAGTTAAATAAATATTCATATTTGGATGACTCAAGGCATGAGGATGAAATAGGATCTACAGGTAACAGACAGAGAAGAGTTGGCATTGATGGTCAGGCCATACAAGGTCACAGTTTCTAGAAAAATAAATATATATATATACACACACAGGTACTGCTACGCTTTAAAGTTATCACAAATGCAGCTATCAGTAGGGATGATGGGGTTATCCTGTAGGGATAGAAACAGCTACAGCAGCAACAACTAATCATCTATTATCCTCACTACAGAACAAACCTGTGTCTTCAGAGAAAAAATGAAAAATGCCGTCTAGGGACATAAAAGAGAAGATATCAGGCAATCAGAATCAGTTGTCTGCACACATGACTACCTGAATCTCTCTATTAACACTTCACTGAAGGCTTTAGCAAGACTCATTTCTGGCAGACTGCACCAGGAAAGGGAAAGGAAACAAAACATTGTATTTATTGATTGCCACATTTCAGGTTAGAATGAGACAGAAAGCAGCACACATGAAACTGAAAGGCTGTTAGTAGACTGTTGAAAATTGTTTTTTATGTGTATTTCATGGAAATATTCCAGCAAATGTACGGCAGTAATTCTACCTAGTTTTTAATTATCAACTGAATAGCCATCAAACAATAAAACTGATCAGATCTAATAGGTTTAAGTCAATAAACCGTGCAGATTGTAAAAACAAAGCACTGATTAATTAATTTTGCCATGGCATTAATTTTGGATCATGTTTGTTATAGATCTCTCTAACCAGTTAAGACAGTAGATATCAATAACAACAGTGAGACAGGGAAGTTAAAGCTAATTGGGCAAAATAATGCTCTAGAAGCATATTAATGCAGAATATCTTAACAGTAAAAATATCTATCTTACTGTGTCAATTTGAGTGAGATTATAGTAATAACAGAAATACTATTTTTATCCATCATTTTGCAATATATTACTGACAAACAGCACTTCAAACCATCTAACACATGGCAGGTGAAAATGAAACCTAGAGTGGAGCGAAAAGAGATGGAGCACTTACTTTTGTAAGTGTGGCCTGATGGATAGAACAGACAGATGAGCAAATGGATAAAAAAAATATATGATTAAAATAATAAAATGAAGATATGAGGAGATGAGCAGCATGCAGACATCATGAAAATAATGTCCAAAGATGAAAATGGGATCAATTATAAGTCAATAGGCACATTAAATGTGAAGCCAACAGGGAGGAGCAATTTCCTCTCCCAAAAACATGCATCCCCAACCAACAGAGGGAGCTACACACTAAATAATTGCTTCAAGAGTCACTACAAGGCCCGCATGTAAAAAGAACCATGGATTAAACTCTGAGTCATATTCTAATTCATGGTTTTCAAGCATTATGTGATTACAAACCATGAACTGAGAACAAAATCCTGTAAAACTGATTTCAAATGATTGTAAGACCGGATCCAAATGTGACCTATTGGTAAAATCCCAAGATGGTGTTAAACCAGTCGGATTTGTTTCCTGAATTGTCAGATTTCAAGGTCCTTTCATGGAAAAACTAAATAAACAAAACAAGGAGGTCAGTGAGTTAGTTCCTGTTGTCAGTTTTACTCCTTGACAAACTTGGAAGAGGGCACACTGAGACTGAAAAGACACTGTTGGAAGCTTTTGTGACACTGCCCAAACAACCTCAAAGCCAACTTGTGTGTCGCTATCCAGCAGCTGACAAACTCTGCTCTTCAGTGAGTTTTTAAAGATTAGTAATGGGATGGGCAAGCACTTTTCACTACAGGGCATAGAAGAAAGGGCCTCAGGTAATACGTTTGTGGAGACTCAGGTCAAAAGGGTCTGATAAAAGCTCTACAGAGTGCTGTAAACTGTGCAACATGTGCAACTTACGGACAGGCTCCGTCTTGAAGAACTCAGCGGGACTGCTTTCACCTCCACCCTTGCCGTTGATGGCTGACAACTTCACTTCGTAGCTGGTCTCTGGCTTCAGGCCTGTGATAGTCACCTCGCTGATGGAGCCTGTTACAATATATCAGAGGCAGTGCAATCCCCGTTGAGAACACCTTGATCATTTTGATTAGCGGTAAAACAAACACAGCCCCCCGTTCAAACAATACATGCATAATTAATTCCATCACAAGTAAACACTGATTAGCTGAATTCTCATTTCATTCCAACAATGTTTAAACAACAGATAAATCTATTTAGCGATGGTCTAAAAGGTCTAAACTCAGAGATACACGGAAACAGAAATAACTGACAGCTGTATCACAGCCATCCTCTTGCAGCGTGAAACCTAAACGTGTAGCTCACTTTTGGTATCAGGATCACTTTATACATATCATTAATCTTGCCCATTTCATCTTAAATTAATATTGCTACTGTTTATTAATTTATTGCTTAATCTTGGTTCATTATTTAAATTTTGTATCTCTTGTCTAACACAATATAACTGCGATATGAAAATTGTATTTAATTCAAACTATCTGTACACTAATTATATGTGAGGCTTTTTAAGACCTTAACAAAGAAAATTTAGTACTCTTTCCACAACAGAATGAATGGTTAATATGTTTCAAATAAAGCACATTAATAATTAATATTTACATGTATCTCCATATAACAAACATATGCAAAATCACATATAAAATTATCAAAATATAATCAAAATGTCTGAAGCAAATTAAACCTTCACACAAAAGCAATTTTCTTTTATTTCCTCAAAACAACTCCATCATTTCATCGTTCTGATTTGTGTTCTTACCATCCTCATAGACTCTATGCACCCAGCTGCCCCTGCCTTGAGTCCTCCACTCTGCTCTGTATTTCAGAACAGGAACACCTCCAGTGGATTCGGGCTCCTCAAACTGGATCTGTGCTGTGGTGGAGAAGGGTCTCACCTCACTGATGGATGGAGCTGATGGCACCTCTGGTAAAGGGAGGAAATTCAGTGTGATTACAACAAAACCTGTAAGATTGCAGCACACCAACGCTGTCAGACTCCATTGTTCCATTACGCTAACAGACTGAGCTCGCAGCTCCTAATAGAGCAAAAATGCTTCTAAAAACTGCTTCAGCTTTGTAAGAAATCTATGATTTGTGACATAAATGCGGTTTCTCAGGCAGTGAATGCTGCATAAAAAAAAGGCAGGAAAAACATTAAAATGCTTCTACACTGAGAGTACAAGACGATCCCAAGTCAGCCTTAAAGGACGATAATTGCACAAAGAAAACCACAGAAAATAGCGAGCTGCCTGTTTTTTGATAAACCTTTGAGCTGGAAAAAGAAATCTGAGATGCATTCAAACACCCTGCAGTGAGCTAAGCACAAATGTTTCAACATAATGATAATATCCTAAAATTGTAGACAGCTGGTATTGAAGGATGTGCAAAATTAAATTGAAATCAAAGACTTTTGCAACTATGACTGTCTACATTTTGGATTTGTGGAGAAAATTGTCTGACCTGTAGTGTACACAATTAATTGGCCATATCTGCTTACTGGTGTCTCTTCTGACTGCACACACTCTGGTGTGAGCACAGTTCTGTATTGAATCACTTTGATCTTTGAAATGAAAAGGCACACTGTGATTACTGTGGTCGCCCATGTTCTGCTCTGAGGGAAGAAAGTGGTGTTTTCAATTCATTTACTTCAGATTGTGGCTTTAAGAGTGGCATTATCTCTCTGCTCTCTGTTCCATTTGTCTAGTGTGCTGGTGAATATACAGTCTATGGTATCAGCTGGCAGTGAAGTGTTATAACTTTGATTAATTGTCTGTTCATTCATAATACGCACATATTAAAAACCTTGAGTAATAATATATACTGTTTAACATTCAACTGCAATCCCTAGAGCCTTTGTTTTTTCTACACAACCAGAGGGAAGGGATGTAAATTATCTTATGGTGGTTGCACTGCCTTCTTCATCTAAATGTCTTATCTATATAAACAAACGCTGCTCTGTGTAATGTCACATTGTGGTACATGTTTTGGTCTAATGTGTTGTGAATATGAGTGAAAAATCTGTTGCTTAAGCCTGGAGCGAGGCACATTCCTCACAATTTAAATTGTGTGTTACAATAAAACTGACCTTAACGACTGATTATTTATTTATTAACACTAAAATAAACCTTCTAAGAATGTATAGAAAATCTAAAACCAGAAAAAGCAACAAAGCGCTGTGAATCACAGAATCAAAACTGACCGGCCTGAATGAGGAGGAACTCCTTGGACTCTGTACCCATCTCATTTGAGGCAGTGCAGTTATAGCTCCCAAAGTCATTTTCAGACTCGGGGGTTATCTAGAGGAGGGGGAAAAAAGAAGCAATTATGTGAAGGGCAGTGTTCCAAAACAGATGAACAAACTTGTGTGTCAAACACTCTGAAGGTGACCTTTTTGTTTGTCCATTAGAGTAGCCTATTTTTATTTGTTGCTCTGAGCTTTCCTGCTGCTGAATTATTCATTGGATTTTTTTCCACAATGGAGCTGAAAGAAAACCCTTCAGTTCAAGTCTATGCTCATGAAATCTTGATGACATAAGGGGTGTGTGTGTGTGCACATGGAAGAACTATGTGTATGTGTACATTCATTTTATGGACTGTAAACTGTGGCCTGACACGTGAGTGAGTGAGTGAGTGAGTGAGTGAGTGAGTGAGTGAGTGAGTGAGTGAGTGAGTGAGTGAGTGAGTGAGTGTGTGTGTGTGTGTGTGTGTGTGTGTGTACCTGAAGGTAGCTGGATGATGGAGTTCTGAAGATCTTAATGTTAGTGGTGTTAGAGTTGGGGAGCTGCAGTCCGTCTCTCAGCCACACAATAGATACATCATTGGGATGAGCCTTGACCTCACAGCTGATATTGACAGCGTTTCCCTCCCAGGTATACACTGCCACTGCACCATGGATCTTAGGAGCATCTAGTGAAAAAAGGCTTTTAATACAGAGTTTCTGCCAAAACAGAAAGCTTTTGTGCTTTTAACAGTGCCTGGAAATAGTTGAATGTAGGAGCTTTATATGATTTTAAAAAGGTAGATGACTAGCATAGTTGTTGTAAAGTCACTTTTAGCCAACAGTGTACTCATTTTGTAGACCTAAACACTTCCAATAAGAGAGAAGGAAATACTTACAGCGGACCTCCAGATATGCCTGCTGATCATCCTCTCCAATGGCACTGCGTGCTGTGCAGAGGTACTGACCACCGTCTGTATACTTGACATACTTCAGAGTGAGGGAGGACACGCGAGCATCACTCCTCACCACTACATTTCCATCCAGACTCTAAATGAGAGCAGAAAATGACTTGGTTTAGGAAAAACAAACCACGCATCAGTTATTTTCCATAGCCATATTTGCACATTTACATCTACACAGCACATTACTGCAGAAAGATGTGTGACCTGAATAAAACAAAAAGCTTAAGAAAAGCCTGTCTTTAATGAGCAGAACAGACATTACATTAGTGAAAGAGGCAGCACACTGCGCTGTGGAAACATAAGGACAGAGTTGACAGTACAGGGGAGCTTATCAATAATTAATGACAGAAGGCACCAGGAACCATCTAGAGCTTTTCACACAGAGGGCTTAGCAACTTGTGAAATATGCTGATGCATGACACTAGACAGCAGAGCTTTACCTTACATGCCACACTTGCACTTTTATCTTCAACAGACTTGGGGCTTAGTGTCACTGCACACAACCATAGTTTTAAATAAATCATTTTCAGTTAATCACTCGTGGTGATTTTTGGTCTGATAGGTTGCAATGCTCTCTGAACCTACATTCAGCACATGCCCCAGTTTCCAAGTCACATAGTATTTGAAAGCAAGGAAAAAACAACAGACAGCTGGCTAATGAGATGTGTAAATGACCTTCCTGCTCTTGAGATACCTGGTTTCATTAACTCGATATGCAGAGTTACAACATCCGACCATAAGTGGCTTCCTGACCTTCAGGGTCAACAACTCCTGTGTTGTTGTGGTTGCTGTTGTCATGTGACACTAAACGGTGGGTGTACAGTTTCAGTCAGACCAAATTTCTCCCTTTGAAGAAACATTTCCCTAACAGGATGTATTTTGCAGATTTTACAAAAAATAAAATAAAAAATTTGGCAAACCTTAACTTAAAACTACTAAATGTCTTTTAGATGATCTCCAGATCTACTATGTTCAAAGGAAAATCCAAAGTAGAAACCAAATGAGATTGTACCGATTTGGAACATGCAAGTGTTCTTATATAGTATTCTTTTATAAAGCAAGCTTTGGTGTTCTTGTGAATTGTTCCTTTTACAAGGTGCTGCAGAACTCAATATCTGAGCCTCTCCATTGCCTGCTTTCATGGCTTTGATCCAAGCTGCAGGCAAAACAATGGCACGGATGCTTTTACACATATTGAATTAGGGCCCAGTCTGGGCAGCCATGTAAGAGAAACCCTCGTTAGTTTGTATTCAAATTCAATAGACAAAGCATGTCTGGGGCATTCATTATGCATAGCGGGTAGCAGGACCAGGGAGACACTTACATAACACACTACCCTTTTATTCTGACCCCTGTGCAGAAAGCATTCTGCCTCGACCCCTGTGGTACTGCCTCTGACTCCTGCATCTGTGCAACGTGGCACACAATGTACAAACCATGTTAGTCAGTATGCTCCAGTCCTTTTTGGAGAATGCAGTATCAAACAGCAACCAAAGCCAGAGCAACATATGGGTTACAGTTTCTCAGGGGCTACAGCCACTCATTCCCCACAGGAGGTCCATAAAGAATATTCACTGCAATTTTATACTGTGATTCATTAATGTTTTATAACAATGGACTTTTAGTATGAATGCACAATGCATCAGAGTGGTCATCTATTGGAAAGATCCTTGATCATTATTTGTTGACTTCCTTGCCTTTAAGAAACGGATACAAAACCACTTTACATGTCTGTGTGAAAGCCTGGCATAAAACAAATGTGGGAAGAAAATAAAGACTTTCAGACAGAAGCACCTCTAATAAATCAAACCAAAGTGACAGCAGAGCTCTCCAACAGCTTCTTTAGCTTTACCAGCAGAAATAGAGACACTGCTGGAACATCAGAGCATAAAACTAAGAATACACTGAGGACATGTTAAACTCATGTCTCACTAAATCTTAACTGGCCCAGAATACAAATCTACCTTCCTCTGAATGTACCTTCTCAAATGAACACTCAGCTGCCTACGCATTTGCAACAAACATGCTCAGCATGCTCATACTCCTCCTCTGTGCGGTTTGTAATGGAATATCTTGCAGAGACACACTGATCAATTCAGAGTGCAGGTAGACTTTAAAACCATATCATTATGTCAGAAAGTGAAAATTATTATTTCCTGATCCATTAATATAAACCGATGCAAACCACAAATGTGCTGCAAGTATGCTGCTGAGATATGATTTCTGAGGCAAGAGCTAAAATACAGTTCATCAATTACAGCAGAGTGGCATTACTTTGCTTTTAAGTCTTGTGTGTTCTTGTTTTAGAGAATAAAAGCACTTGCTTTGGATTATCTTAATACTAACTAGGATAGATTATATACTGTTTAGGGTCTTGGCTCATTTTTGTGCTGATCACAATCCAAATGTTAAAAATAATGTACTTTAACAATCGTTTCTAGTTAAAAGTGTTTAGCAAGCCTAAACAAAAAATGTCCAATGCTACTCATTTCAACAGCTTATTACTGCGGATGCACTAAAGCGCTGCCATGTGTAAAACAGTTTTACACAAACCTAGTAATTACTGTCAGCATGTGCTTGATGAGAAAGGTTCCTCCTCACCTCCTGTATTGAGTAGTGTCTGAGAAGGTTTTGTAATCACATGTGTTATTAATGAATGCATGTCATATGTCAATACTTGGTGATTATTAAACAAAATAAAAAAATAAATCCATTCTCAAAACTATTACAGAAAAAGAGTCAAAGGAAAAGACCAATTTGGCTGATGTGCAGAGCTCCCTGCAATTTAAAAATAAAATAGCAAGGCTATTTGAGGAACCAAATCATCTAAAAATACACGTATCCTGACGAATGGTACAGAAGTATAAATAACAATGGCAACCCTACTATCTGATCCTGCAACTGAAACAGGGATGGGCTGATCACTGACATACTTGGTGAGAGCACAAGTTTCGGTTCCTTAAAATCCAAAAAGATTGTACCAGCTCTGTCCTCTAAAACCGTGCACTCAGCACTAACATTGGAGATGAAAACGTGGTATTTCTCACCAACTTTCTCACATATGTAAAACACATTCAATAGTGCAGTAAGTTGGAGAAAAGCTTATGTGGGAAGTTCTTTCTTTAGCCAATTTTCACTTTCTTTCAGGAACAGTCCCTGGCTCCGATACTCTGGATTGCTGCACAAAGATACCTTTCATTTTCTCTTGCGTACATATTCATTCATCTTGATGGTCCAACCAATTGTAACTATAGTTAACTACAGTATGTCAGAAATACATGTTGAAGTTATAATCAAGAATTGGCAGTGGGCTGACAGAGATGTAGAGATGTGGGTAGGAGGACAGAGAGATCTGAGAAGAGTTTTACCTCAACAAAATCAGCTTTCTGAAAGAAAACAAGCTGACAAACTGCACCTTAAAATAATTGGCATTAAATGTATAAATGACCAACGAAAAGTAATTATAAAAATTATATTTGAGCAGGAAAATGTCTTGTCTAAAAAGGTTTGTAAAAAAAAAAAAAAAAAACAGGCTGAAGAAGGCTACTGAATGTTGAGTTTATATAGAAACCAAACAAGTAAAAACAAAGACAGACAGACTTGCACTGGCATGTTTGGCTTCTGCATCTTTCTCAGGGTTTATATTCTCTCTGACCCTCATTTGATCAGGAATTTTGATCTGCATCCATCCAAAGTTGAATTAGACTCTCCTGACATGAAAGATGGATGGGTTGTAGGAAAAAAAAGTCATGCATTTAGAATACCTTGTGTTGCTCGGGCCGAGTCCATGATGCCTGTAGAGGACAGAGACACAACAACAAACAAAAGGCAGAGAGCAGTTCTTAGAAAGTAATCCTTATCCAGACAAAGCTGGGATGCTGCACACTGCATGCAAGTATTATGTGTCCAGTTTATTTTCCATACATCCACAGTCCCTGAGCTGAATGTCTGATTTTGATAAAAGTCTGCACATATAATAATATGTAGGCTTTGGATTTCCCTTTCAGAGAAGCCTATATTGTGTACAGGAGAGATTTTTTTTTAAAAGGTGTATTCCTGGGGGATTTTTATGTTTTGTGTTATTTTCTGTTCTCCACATGGGAACAGCACTGCTTCTAACCCCAAAAGAAGAGAAGTCTATTGGCAACCAGATAGCACAAATGCTTACAGATAAGAAGGTTATTGGTTTATCGGGAAGAGGTGACTCCATTACAGTATAACAACAGAGATATGTCGGGCCTGTTTGGCAAAAGTAGTACAGCAATTATCGACTCACAATCCATTTTTAAGGCTTACAGCAGCAATGAGAGTGTAAAACCCAATAAAGCTGAATTTATTCTAGTATTGTTCTGTCTGTCCTACACCAAGAAACAACTGTAAGTACTCCAGTCATCAAGTCATTGAACAACACTTGCTGTGTTTCTCAATAAGCAATAGAGGGTTTAAAATAAGCAATTTTGCTGTGGCTATTCCTGCACCCCATGTGAGACCTGGAAATAAATATCTGCCTACAGGTGGTCTGTGTTACTTTTGCAAGTCAGATGTTCTGCTTTGAATGCTAAGAGTACTTGTATTATAGTCTCAAATGAAGTGGCTTTCTTTCAATTGTCATGCTTTGATTCTATTCAAAAGGTTAAAATAGATAAAAGATATGATGAAACATCTTCCTGTTGGAGGATATTTATAAATCAGTCTGGTTAGCTTTAAAATTATTTATGTATTATGAAAATAGATGCACTGAAGAGTCACTAACAGCCCTAGTTATTGTTAAACATTATCAGGAATTCTCTCTTGATACCGTGTAGTGAACATATTGAGGCATTGTAGATCAGTTCTCATGTCTAATAATGCAGTTTCATTTCAAATAATTGTACACATTACAGCATTATTGTAGTAGGATTCTAGCAAAACATTAAAAACACTACATTTCTGACTGGGATCAACATGAATTAAACATTTTATTATGTTATAGAGTTCCTGAGTAAACAAAACAAGATAAAGATACATAAGTGATTGCCATAATCATATTGGTCATATCTCCCTCTCTCCACTGAATACAGAATTATTTAACACCATTACAGATAAAATCAAACCTCTGGACAACAAACAAACACTTGTACTAACTAGAAAACATGTCAAGTTAAATCACAATGACACTGAAAAGCCCAACTCGACAAGACAAAAAGCTTTTTGTAAAAGCATGCTCTATGGATTTCATGATGCTGAGGACAACATGTTAAGCATGACAATGGGATGTGATGGCCCACATAGTGAAGAAGTGTTGAAGCGTAACAAGAAAAATGATAAACAGCTATTTCATCAGGTGCAACAGCAAGAAAATGTCAAGCAAATGGAAGCAATCTGCTGGAATAATTGTAGGGCAAAACTGTGACTCAAACCATCAATGAATTCACATCTAAAATCGCCTTTATTACCCACTCATAATCAATGCAGGTGGTTTATAAATTATACAAAGAACATATGGTGTGTTTGAATTCAAGTACTGTTTATCACCCACAAACCTGATTCACAATTTACTGTAACAATAAGCACAGTGAGGAAGGCAAAAGGAGGAGACCATAAAACTCTTACTGAGCAAGTCGTATCCATGCTTACTGTATGAGTGCAATTTCACTATGTTCTTAAGAGCTTTGTAAGTCCTCTACTGTCATATTAAAACACACTGCGCACCGTACATCATTACAAACAGCAGCTGGCTTCATATCACCACAGTGCTTAGAGAGAGGGAGAGAGAGAGAGAGAGAGAGCGGTAGTCCAATTAAAACAGGCGACCTAATAGTCTGGAACATCACCACCTCATCCGCACACTCATCTGCAGCGCTGTGTCTGCAGTAAGTGAGCTGACAAGTATCGCTGTCATATCTGTGACAGGTGTTTGTTTAAGACAAAAGAACCGATGAACAACAGCAGATGTGAGCGTGCAAAACGGAAGACGCCAAAAACACAATCACTCCTCCGAACAAACGCGTGGAACAATGTGGTGCCGGTTCCCTTGGGACTTATCATTTTTCTAGCCCATTGTTGTTCCCTTCCATAGCGAATTATCCCTGCTCTTTATTCCAACATGAATAGTAATGTCAGCGTGAAGAGGGCAATGCAGAGAGAGAGAAGACATACTAACACAAATACACTGAGCATATAAATGTACAGAACCCTGGTGGTGTTTTATTCACTGGGTGACGCCTGACTGAAAACGATTATTATGCACATTGTCATCATCCTGTGTCATTAACTGCTGAGCCTAAGAACCTCTGCCAGTACATCACAGAAAACTGACTAGTATTTTAGTGAAGAAACCCTTACATCACCCCACTACTGAGCAGGCAGGCGTGCTGTTGTAAATGAGTAGCCTTTTGTGTTTGGAGAAAACAATGTTTTTCTCTGCATTGGCACGCACTGCTTAAAGCCTCCCTCTGTTTCAGATGCCCTGCCTAAACTGCTGCCACACAACATTAATTACACATTTTCTTTAAGCATCTCATTACTTATCAAATAATCATGAATTTCTTTTCTCAGGTCTTTAATTTGTAATTGGCAATCTGGATGTTAGACAGAGCAGGCCTAAAAAGAGGATTTATGTCCTGAAATTTCTTTCTTTTTTTTTTTTTTACTTTAAAAAATAAAATAAAATACACAGATAACAGACATAAAGTGCCATCACCCGATCAACTACAAACTTTAATGTGCTTTTAAGTTTTATAATTAGTCCTATTCCACTATAACTTCCGTCTGTATAGTTCAAAATAGTTCCAGATAATTACAGCTTGGAAACTCTGTGCATCAAGCAGAATGTTTAATATGTATTCAAATAAGCAAAACATTCATTATGTAGATAATGTACAAAGCAGGGATAAATACTTCATTTACATTTTCAGTTATTAAACAGACACACTTATCTAGAGTGACTCGCAGCAAATGCATTCAAAAGACTGAAACAACTGAATACCACGCGTAAAGTTGATGAAAGTTTTAAAATAAATAAACACTTAACTTTGATAGCCAAACAAAAATGAAACTATCCCCAGATATGTACCAATCTGAATTTGAAACATAACTTTGAGCAGGCATTCACCCACATGGGCACAACATTTCTTTTTTTTTTTTTTTTTTTACATACCACTGATTTTCCATTGTATGATACAGTAATCTCCCTCAATCCTCACATAGTGCAACCGTGCGAGTATACAGTTATCAGACAATGCTTTTGTCTGCCGACACTGAAGATTGTGTGTAGGAGGTTATTCAGAATTAATTTGTTTCTCCCCGTGTTAACCTTTAAAACCCAAGACCAAAGTAAAAAGGAAAGAGTCAGACGAGATTTCTTTAAGCATCAAACCGACGACGAGCGACTAATCTGTCAGTGAATATCATCTGTAACGTAGACTGTCGTTTCTTACGTGATTAAAACAGTATCTAACAGTGTTCTCTGATCCTGATCTTTCTGCTCAAACATTAAACAGTAATTAAATATCTTGAGCAACAGAGGCCGTCTCCTCCATCTGCTTCATCGTAAGCGTAGTTCTCACATGACAGGTGAAGATGACATAATTAAAACCTTAGCTCTGTTCCTTTTACTTTTGTTACTATTTACTTCTGTTGAAAATAGAAATAGAATTCAGTAGTAAATTATAGAAAGTATAAATATTAGCTTAAAGCTAACCTGTGGAGTATTTGACCAAGATGCAACAAAGTTTATTACACTGATTCACAGGTGGTCAAAAGTAGCAACAACTGCAGGGTCTTCCCAGAAGCAAACATGTATTTACGAGGAGAGAAATGCTTGCATACAGAAACTTTGTTTATACTCCACGGGGCACCTTTAATAAATCCTTAACAGATGCTTTTTAGATTTGCTCCATCTTTCTAGCTCTGAAGATGGAAACAAATGAAAAGAATGTAAACATGTACAACGGCTTTCTGATGCTTAGTTTCTATGGCTTTTTTCAAAGTTGGTATCCTTTTTGTTATATTTGGCAGTTTGGGGTATTGAACCATGAAGATATGTTAGAGTCCCTCACGAATGCAAAATGATGAAACTGTATAAAGAAGATTACTTAATTAACTCATCAACTTTCTGTACAGCAAAGACATTTATTATTGTTTTATATGTTAAACTCAACATAATCATTGAGTAGTATCGAATAAAGGGAATACATTTACTAATAATAATAATAATAATGATATTATTCATCTTCTCTAATGCCACTGAATTTCCTGTGATCAAAACAATGTATGCGACTAAAACAATCTTTTTTATGATCATAAGGTTCTACATTAAAAAGTCTATGTACCCGATGCACATTACTATTCAAAAAAGAAATGCGGGCGGTTCACGAACCAGACAGCCAAAGAACTTAACAACACATTCAAATATACTGCTAATTAATTCTATCTATTCATCACCACCACACATCTGAAGTGGCACAGCACAGATCTGCTCTGGTTTTCTGACCAATACAAAAACTGCTCATCAATATATTAATGAGAAGATCCTGCACATGACATCCTTTTTAAAGTTTGTTCAAAAATTGAACAGTGAATTAACAGCTGCATTTTATTATTTCAGTTCACCATGTCCACCCCAAACGAATGTTGTTTCAATTGTCACACCCATCCTGGATGAAATACAGCTGTTATGATGATTACAGATAGCATGACAGACGGACATCAGATGAACAAACAGAACAAGACGATTAAACAATTAGCAGCCGTTTCCACATGCATTCATTAGAGCCCCACCATGGAAATCATTTTCCCTTACTGATAACCAGAACTATAAAGGACAATTTTCTAATGTGCATCTAATCCTCTATATTCTACTGTCATTCCGTAAGGCTGCTAATCATTTTTGAAGACAGCTGTGAAAGATGCCACAGATCATGAAGCATACTGCAGACCAAGCTGCAAAACACACCGCCACCACAGCACAGCTGTGCGTCACATGACATGTGTCATGTGACATGCCATGGAGCTACACGTCAACAAGGCTACACGGTGCATAAAATGGGTGGGTAATGCATATTGTAGTTGCCTGTTTTCTTGTTAATAACAAAACCTTCAGTGTGTAAATCCTTTCCTCAGCACCTGTCAGTCTTCACACCTGCAGTACAGCTGTTCAGGCAAAGTCTTTTATAATATATAATGGTCTAACTGTGAGATGTAGAGCTCTGAGTGTGACTCTAGCCCTCTGATAAGTCAATCATCCATTGACAGCTTCAAGACCACAAAAGAAGACAATCTGTCACTGACAGGAAGTCGAAGTACAGCAGCTGGGAGGTGTGTTCTGCAGAAAATTCTGCTGCTCAGGGGATGTCTTCACTGGATAATGGGACAGAGGAGTAAACTGTCACTGGGCGGTGTGTCCATTCGTGGCAGTGTGTCTCGCCACTGTGGGTGTGTGGGTTTACAAGGCAAAAAAATAGGCCTGTCGTGACGTGCGTCATATGGTGGTAGCGTGTTTTGCACTTGACGTGACGCTCCACTCAAAACCTATTTCTGATTATCAAACGGTCAGCCCTGCAGGCTTGACAGGTGGCTGTGAAACGTTTCTACCTTTATTTCTGTGCAGCGCAGTGGCTGCAGTCTCCTTGATATCATGTCAGTTACAATGGACTCCAGTAGTGATCAGTTTTCACGGTTGGAAAAATGTCCATTAAACCTCTTCTTGCAGCATAATCTATTTTTCCACTGGCCACCTCTATGATTGATCAGTATGTTCTCATTTTTGTCTGCAGGGGGTGAGTGTTTGAAGGATAGATTTTAAGTGGAGCACCTTCACCCTCAATTTGCAAGTGATACTGACATAAATGTTAGACAATCTACAGTACTATGGAGATGACAGACAGACTGAGCTGGGCTTGAATCCAGGCAACCTCATGCTGTGATGGAAAGTTTGAAATGATCAGGCAACAGCGACACAGAAATGGCGTTTCCCTTTTATTACCTTATTAACAAAAATTTCATCTGATTTTGTGAGATAAGCTCTACGCGCTTTCTATCACAAGATCAGTGAAGTTTGCAGGCTATATTTGGGGAAGCATGCAACAGTCAAATCAATTTCATGAACTCTGATGAGATCATTCCTTGGGGTTTTCAAGAAACAGCTGGGAAATCTTCAATAAAAAGGGGATTATTTGATTTCAGTGGGGGTTTTGTCAAATCTGGAGGCATACTTTGCAACACTGCTCCAGTACATTTCTGTGCCATGCGGATTTCATACCTGATAGATCCTGTTTAGATGTGCCTGTAGGAAGAAAATGTAGTGCATGTAATGGACTGGCTTCAGAATTCCTCCATGAACTACAGTATCTCTCTGAAGCATTTTCCCCCTCATTACCTCTCATCTGTAGCAAGATACCAAGACCTTGAAGAACCAGGCCATGTGGGCAATAGATGTACGTGAATACCAATCAGGTATTCATTGTATTTGATGGTTTGCATATGTAATATTGTAGAAGACATTTCCAAAAGGACATAGTATCAAGGATGTTAGGATGGTATTTAAAAAGGCTAGCTCTTAACAAATGCAGTGACAAAATAAATTTGAAAGATGGTAGCAGAATATCCATAGATAAACATTATAAATTATAACATTTTAATATAAAAACTTTTCAATCACCAGCATGAGCAGAATAATGATTGAACGGTGATTGAAAATGCTAAACAAACACTTGATCATTCAAGTGCTCATTCTAGCAAACACCGTACAATAAGAAGCAGACAAAGTTTAATTATTGCCTCAAATTGCATGCTTATTTTGGGAATGTTATAATTGGGTTTCTGATGCAGATTTCCTTGACATTTGGGAAAACTCAAGTCAATTCTGAGTGTACTCCACATTACTGGCTGAGTTTCGCTGAGCTAATTACATGAGATCCACTGGGCCATCTCGAAGGAGCTGCTAATTTAGGGGAAATAATCAGCGGTACAGAAAACTTGTTGAGGATGTTTCGCAATGAAACTGCAGGACTCCCCGCACCTGCACATGATCAATATACCTCCTGAATTTAGGTTAAAGGTATTCAATTACTCTCCTTGAGACACCGGCGTCCTGCAGGTTTGTGTGCCTCCCTGGTGGTTGCTAGTCAGTGTGTCCCAATTCCACATACTAATAATACATACTATAAACAAGACATGTACTTTTTCCATTTTGTGCATACGGGATCTGATGCATCAGATTCATTGATATCGCTCAGCTTTAGAAATATCACCAATTTGGAAGTAAAATAAATTCATGGATTTATTTCCTGTACTGTCAACAGACAATACACCAGCATTATCTGTAATTTTCTCTTTCTCTTTCCCCAGTGCATATTATTACTTACTTAAAACGGTCAGAGTAAGTGTATAGTATGCAACTGAGACACAGATTATTATCAGTTCATTAACTCCAGGAGAAAAAAAATGCTTGCAGGACGGCGACCCTCAAGTACCTACAATTTAGATATTTAGCTTCAACTGTCATCCATACTTCCTTCATTACTTTACCTGTTCTCCTTCAGTGAAGACGCGCTCACCGTAGCTCCAGCTGATAGTGGGAGTTGGATCTCCGGATGCCTCGCAAGTCAGAGTTACCTGCTCCTCCATCTCTGAAGTGCTCTGGTTTACGATGTACGTGATCTTAGGTTTGACTGTAAAGTGAAACACAAAGTCATCACAACCGCACTAGAAGAACAAGACAGCCAGGTGGTTTGGCAGCAAAAGTACAATAAGTAAAAGAGCAACTCTGTGGATTTGGGACGAGTTCAAAGGAAGGAAGAGGATCAGTAGCTTGACAGGTGAGTGGGATTCTTATGGCAGCAAAACTGTTTTCAAGCTTTTCCAGTCCCAGAAGCAGCAAAGTTGTGATAACCACGTATGGAGCCAAACTTAATTCATGTAATCATTTATTTTGCCTATCTCAAAGGAGCTGGTCTTCCTTTTTGTTTACATTTGAGAGAACTGTCGCATTACAGTACAACTAAGCTAACCTGAAAGCACAGCAGGGTGCCACAACTGTGACATGCATGAGCAGAGCAAAGCAAATTGAAGTGCTACCTCTGAAGCGTGAGGCTGAGCATTACTCTGTGCTTTCACATTTTTCATTCCTCTCCATGAAGGGTGAACGCATGGATCAAGGAATACATTCGCTAAATGTAAGCCTATTGAATATTGTACATATAATTTACACTTTTTTGCACAAGAAAACATTTGTAACCTTGTATTAACATGCTGTTATCTCAACCAGTAATTATTAAATATACAAAGGCACAGCTGTGTTGTCATTAAAAAGTATTTGAACATGCAGCAATTTGTATTCACAGTTAAGGGTGGCACAAACCGATTGGCAAGGACGGGATCAGAGCTGATTATAATTTTTTTGAATGGATTGAATGAGCTACCCTGTATTTATGATATTTTTCTATCTTAAGAAAACTCTGGAACCACTTTCTAGGATAAAGCATTGTGAGCGATGGCCCGTAGAAGGGCACAATCAAATCAACAGTGTCCAGCAGTTTCAATAACTAACCACGCTCACGATGTGTGTCAGCAAGGGGAAAGAACAGAGCTGCTTTGAGAATTTTGGAGGTACACAAAGTTTTTGCTGTTGTCTGACAGCTGAATTTAAATGTCAGTATTTTGTTCATTCTGAAGAGAAAGAAATCCTGCCTATACCTGGCTGCCACCAACACAGAGTTTTCTCAAAAGATGTTGATACATAACATAACATATAAAATACTCAAACTTTAATGTGGAGCAATTTAAATAATCTAATAATGTATTTTATCAATTGGATTCATACTATGGGGTTGTACACAATCACAACATCTACTACACATAGAACAGTATTGGTTATTTGATATGATAGATGTCTGTATTTAGTCTTTATTTAGTCTGTGCTATTCTCACTGGTTTGAAGTGGGTGAGTTCCAGTTGGAGACATACTTGTCACATACCTCTGAGAACCTTGTTGCCAGCACTGTCAATCAGATTGATCAGAAAACACCCACACAGACCCGATGAAGCTGGGTTTTTAGTGTTAAATGACAAATAATACCTAAAGCTCCATTTGGACAGCACACATCATTCTGGACGGCATTTAAACCATCAGGATGTGGTCTGTAATAGACATGGACATTCATCAGGACAAAGCCAAAAGAGAAAGCTTCACGGGGGGGGGGAGACTTGAGCCAAAGTTGAATTTGAGTCAAAAATTTTACATTCTCACACAAAAGTCAAACATCCCACTGATGGAAAAGAAAAAGTAGACAAACATTTCACACAGAAAAGAAATGAAGGTCCACCAATTTGAAACGAAGGACATCACTCAGGACAGGATTTAAATTAAATTAAAGGAGAGCCTGTGTGTACCCTGAATAAAAGCAGGTAATTGTGACTGTAATTATTACTGGGGTGGGAGTAAATAATTTGCCAAATATGCACTCTGAGTGGGATTAAAATCACTGACCAGTGCAGGTAAAACCACCCACCCTCCCCTAGAGAAATAAATCCAGTCCAAATGCGGCTTAAGAATGCTTTTTTTTTTGAACATCACTTTTAATCAGGAGCTTTAAGGCCGCACTGTGCAGCTGTCATATGTAAGAAATATAAATATCTAAACAGACTTGGTATTGACAGGTACTCAGTATTCAAGGACTCATCAAAAACAGGGGGGAAAAAAACAGTAAAAAAATAGGAAAACACATTTATACAGCTTTTATATGCAAAAGTGGGAGCTCACAAAGAAACGCATGACTGCAGCTTTTCCCACATTGATGTAAAAAGACGAGAGCTTTGTGAGTGTGAGAAAATCTTCGAGATAATGAGGTAAATATTGCTAAAGAGGTAAACAATGTGCTTTGAAAGCTGTCGTCACTAATTTTATGGTAATTGTTTACGCGTTGGGCTCTAAAGATCCAGGCTTTGGCCACCTCTGTTGTTTAGGAAAATGAGCTGCACCAGATAACTCATTGTAAAGTTAATTGACAGAAAAACTGCATGAACTGATATTGTGTTTCTGATTATGGATTATTATGGTCGTCGTTGCATGACAAAGTACAGAAAACAAAAACAACCTAGTGGGCAAAAGTGAAGGAAAAAAACAATTTCAAAGGGTTCAGTTAAGCTCATCCCACTTGGCCAGTTCTCTAAATCCTTAAGCTTCAGCCTTACATGAAACAACCACAACCCACACTGAAACAACACCTCTTCTTGTATCCCTTAGAAAACAGACACATAACCATACTATTGTTCCTCCCCCACCTACATACTCTTATACCTCATTCCCACACACTTGGAACAATTTATGTTGTCACTTTAGTTCATGTATGTATATAGAAACGCCTTACCAAACACTCTCAGACTGAGTTCCTGCTCACTTTCCCCAGCCTTGTTCTTGGCAATGCAGGTGTACTCTCCCTCATCCAGCTTGGTGACATCCATTATTGTCATTTCTGAGCCATCTTCATTATAGCTGTACTTCTCTCCAGCCTCCAGAACCGCTTCGTTCCTGTGGAAAATGTGTGGTAAACTTTATATACCTATCTATACAAATCAATTTCAAACATCATTCTGAAAGTGCACCTTGTTATAAGCTTTTCTTTCCTAATCGTGACCCATAGGTCTTTAGAAAATAAGCAGTTTCTAGATCCCTGAATGACAAAGTGAAGAAGTAGAAGAGGTTAAAGCTTAAAATCTCAGAGCAGAAAATGTTTTCAGAAAATAAGGGCGATGATGTTTTTTGACCTGCAAGACTTTTGACATTTGGTGTTAAGAATCAATTTGAAAATAAATGGCTAATGTATTTTCATTTTGTCCTAGTGGAGTATAAATAGTTTGTCACCACTGAGAGCCGTGTAAGGAAGATAATGTTCTCTGGCCTCTGACTGTCTAATACAGCTTTCAGTAAGCTTCAGGTCCTGTCTAACTGCACAAGTAAAAAAACATATTCCAAGAGTAACAAAATACGAACAACCAAGGCCAACGGAAGCTCCTGGGCTGTTTGCACCTTATGCCCCCCTCCCAATGTAGGGTGTCTACACAGCTAACTGCTGTCTTGGAAACAAGATGAACAGGAACGGTTTAACAAAGCAACAGCCTATCAATGGCTGTATTCAGATACACAGAATAATGTGGCTATTGATGACACTCCAGTCTTCAGGTTTCACTGTTTACATGCACCTTTGATACCCTGTAATTATGTATCCGGTTGCAATGAATAAACCATTTAGTAGAAAATCCCCAATATCCAGAGTGTCTAGTGTAAACTTTGGCCTGCAGTTTGATGAGGTTAACTGGTGCATACGACTAACACCATTCCTGAACAACCTCCTGTAACAGCCAAAGCAAAAAAGGTCTGGACAGGATATTCAGTCCCAAAAAAAAAAAAAAAAAAGCCACATTTTCCTTTAGAAGCAGCATTATACACACAAGCAGACTATAATGTAGCTTATGTATTCTGTTTCAGTAAAAACATTTTCTTTACATCACCATGTAATATTAATATAACAATATGTTAATATTGTTATATTAATATTACAATAATAATGTAATAATACAATAATTAATGTAATAATTTGTTATATGTTATATAATAATGTAAATCATTTTATGGTGAGTAAAATTACACTTTCCATGCAGTCCGGCTGTATTATAGAAACCAACAATCTTCATAACACTGAAATATAAAAGGCTATAACACAGTACAAAACAGTGATTCTGTCAAATAAGGCACTTTAGAAACTACTGTATATATTAACATTGGCTAACAATGCTAATAGGGTGACTATTACAGTGGCACCCACTGTCTTTCCCACTCTGTTCCCTGAGGCTTGTTCTCGCACAATGTAACTAGGAAGTCCAGGTCAAGAGAAGTGCTTAATGCTAAGTCACACACAACCAACTACACTATGGCACTGATTCTGGTGAAACTGGATCAAATGACAATATATACACACACATATTTAGTCTGGTTAATTCTACAAACTAACAGACAGATTGTTTAAATTATTAGTGCTGGCATTTGAGTGCTGCTGCAAATGTTGAAGGCATTTGTCTCTCCAGTTGCTCGCAAAGTTTTACCTTGTCCAGGTCACCATGGGTTCAGGATAGCCATCAACAGCACAAGTCAACATGGCAGGCTGCCCGACATCTGCTGTGGCATTCACCTCTGACTGCCATACCCTGATGGTCGGGAGCACTGAGACACAGACAGATATAATGAAATAGATAGAAAGAAAAACACATTGGTATATAGATACATAGTCACATAGGAAGATAGTAGGCGGAAAAACAGAGACAGATGCAGTGACAAATTCAGAACACTTATTTTAAGCACACTCATTTGCTAGGCTCAGAAGTTGCAGGAAACAGACTTCATTAGCATGGAACATCTTTGATACGCGGTTGCTCTGGGCAACTGTTTCCACATTGATGTTGAGCCTGGTCGCCTCTGAGGATGTACAGCTTATTTGAACGTCATGGGACACCTGCCACACAAAAACATGCACACAGGAACAAAAAGGAAAGAGGAAATAATGCAATGGAGAGAGGGCTGCTAACCGTTCACGACGACCTTGATGACCCGCAGATCAATCTCGCCGCGGGCCATGAGGCGACCCTCGCAGGTATATGAGCCCTCATCTGTCTTCTTTATGCCACGGATCTGAAGGTGATTGTTGCTCAGTACCTTAAACCGAACTGAAAGAAGGCAGAAGATAAATGCATACTCAGGTGTGTTATATACAGACTTGACAAGTTTAAATTAGGCACAAGTCACTCACCAAAGTATCTGATGATAAACAGCTGATGCTACCAAGAGGGTTACATAATGATGCAAAGGAACTCCTCCATATATAAAGAAATGTGTTGCCTGAATTAGTCAACCATGGCGAACATTCACTTTGATATATCTGGCTGACAATGTATTAACACTTTTACACTGATGTCTGATTTAGTCACTAAAATATCTGCATTATTATTATAAACTCAAGGAATTTCTTAATTTTATTCAAGATCAATTTCAAATATGCAATATTTTTGTATCTGTCTGTTACATAAAAAACAAACAAAAAATCTTTCTTTCAGACATTCAGTATGCTATTTCCACTTTGTCAAATTCCTATCTGTTAGCATGTCCAACACTGCTTCCACCAGCTCCAGAAAAAGAGAAATATGGCCAAAGCCCACAAGAACTCCTTCAGTTTGAGATGAAATGTGAACCGAATAAATTTAATCATGTAGTAATTCAAAATACTATTACAACCCACACACGAGCTTGTTTTATTATTTTTCCAGTGAGCAATACCAACAATACTATACACATTATGATATTGCTCAGTGTCAGGGGTGAATAACAGGGAATCAATTGTATTTTTCAAATTCAAAACCAAATTAATTTTTCCTTTCAAAGCTCAGGATAAAGCCTGGAGGAGAACGGCAACAAAACCCATCAACACGTGGCTAAACCAGTGGTCCTGTTTTGACTATGTAGTCTTGTGTATGTAGAAGTTTATGTCCATTGCGGTTACAATAAACATTTCACAGTCACATTTTCAGCTTTAGTTTAATTTGTTTTAAAATATACTTTATCTTGGTTAATGTAATGAGTTAATCTTCAAATATTACCTCTATACTACAATGATGTTGCTCTGGTGTAAATCATGCTCATGTTCAGGCCATATTACATGGTTCATTTGGATAATCATACATCAAATACATACAATACAATTGTATGACTACCTAACTTCCCTGATTTACAAACTCAATTCACTTTGAAAGATTATTCTGATTCTTTTTTTTATATGATGGACAACTGTGCAAACTAGACCATGCAAACTAAACAAAAACTATTCATATGTTTGTTTAAGAGTTGGAGTTTAACAAAACACTAACTCAGGAATATTAAGAATGTGATCACCACATAATCACCAAATCCAGTGAAATAGAAAGATGATCCACATGTTGTTCAGAGAACTCTTACCATCTTTTTCCATCTGTATTTTTGCTCCTTTGTATTTCCAGAAGACAGTGGGTGGCGGCGAACTGATGACGTCACAAATTATGTTGGCATTGTCTCCTTCGGTAAACTCTTGGGGTGACGGTGCATTTGTGAAGGTGATTTTTTCTGGAATATAACATGCAGAACACTTTTTACTCATAGGTGTTACAGTATGAGTCTCATCAAAACTCCATCTCCTTCAAGTAGTTTGACTGTTGAGAAAGAATGTATTTTTATTCACACTTGTTAAGCAATTTAGAAAATAAAAATGTTGTTCCATACACAACAGGATATTTTAAAAATAAAATTTTTATTTTTCTGTTAAAAAAATGGTCAAACTTCTATGAGTGCTTGGCAATTTTGTCAATCACCACACATTCATACATACAAACAAATCCATGAAAAGGACTTTCTTTCCCACAACCTGCTTTATGTTACCCCAAGCCTATTAACTCTCTAAACAAACTCCTGACTCACTATTTTTTTTGTCACCAGAGCCGAAGCATTTCTAAAACTAGCAAATTGGTTAATGGAATTTGCTGGGAGCTATAAATGGCATGAAATGACGGACTAATGTTACCTTACAGACTTGACTCACATTCAACTTCCCGGCTATAAAGCTACAATATTACCAGGACTTAACATATGAAATATAAAATATAAAATAAAATGCCAGCTGTAACATTGCCTGCAGGGGGCCCCAAGTGCTGAAATTGCAGCAGCTGTTATTTTCTTTGACTGCAGGTGACTTTGCATTAAATCTGCAAACTGCTGCTGTCGTCGTACGTCCCTCTCCTATAGATGGCAGAAGTGGGCATGTGTCTAACTGCTAACAATGGCAGTAGCTTGCTAAACGTATGTTTGAATGAATGAATGTGTGAAGTTTGTGAGTTGACGACAAGCCAGTTCCATGAGGTGCTTCGCATCTATAAAAACGTTCCAATTTTCTTAACATTTAACTGAGTCAAGACGAATGCTCATTTTAATAAATCGCAAACGCAAAAATGAGACTGCAATCTTATTTTGCGAATGAGACTGTATATTGATTTTAATAGGCAATGTCTACATGGGTGAACACTTCTAATGATGACCTAAAATAGGGACTGAAATAACAAGAAAAGTTCTGTTTGGAAAAGGATTTCATCTCTGATGGACATTTGCTGATGCTTGGCATTCATGGAAAATAAAAGCCATTACTCACAAAAACTGCACAACAGACAGGATCATTAAGCAGCCCTCTAATGGTCTTCCGACCGTTTATTGAACTGATGAAAAATCCATCCTCACTTGAAAAGAAAAAGAGTAATGTGTTGCCCTTGAGCAGTCAATAAAATACTGTGAGTTCAATAAACAAGATTTTTTTTTTCCTTCGGTGCTCATACCACTCAATAATTCGGAGAGTGTACGGGTTGAGGAACATACTTACGGAAGATTTTCACTTTGACGGTTGACTCCCCTTGTAGGTCTCCATTGGTAGCGACACACTTGTATGTCCCTGCGTTTTCAGTCCCAGCTTTATACAGTGTGAGGGTGGAAGATGACTCATCGTTACGGGTTACTGTTATGTCTGGTCTGTTTGGTTCTATCCTGTCCCCGCTTGGTCCAAACCAGTCTATCTGCTTGGCAACACCTACAACTGAGAGCACAGAGCAGTAGGTTAGAAAACAGTTATCTAAAATATATGCAGTCGACATCAGTGAAGTTCACCAGTGCCAACACACTGAATATGCTCCTGCATGGACTGTGGTTTGTGCATTTTAGCTGCTTAGATATAATGACAAAGCATCAGCCAGTATGTCATTCTTTGACATGAACACGTGGAGGGCAACAGGAAACACAGGACATTAAAGGGGATGTCATGCAACTAAGATCAATCATTAATTAGATAGAAAAAGGCAACAAAGACGTCTCAGCCATATTGCTGTAAATACACACAAAACACAGACCTTTGTCTCTTTTGACATTTTTTGTCTTTTCAACTTCTTATCTTTTCAATAACTTTAGGCCATATCTTTAGAAGAATGTAAAACTGGACATAAAAACTGAAAATTGATAGGTTGGATGCAGGTTTGAAAAGTAGGGGTGTGGGGTGTTCACAGTCAAGATAAACATAAACTTACCTTCACACATGAAGAATTTGGATTCTCCAAGACTAATCTCACCCTGACTCGGTGTGATCTGCACTTCCAGTGAAACTACAACAGAAAAAAAAACAGAAAAATTTAGAAATCTGAAAACATAATGAATGAAGCACTGCTTAAGAATACAGAAATGATCAACACTGTTTCAACATTATTTTATATTATAGTATAGGCAAGGAAAAAGGTAGCCACCTGTAGGTAATTTGAATAACTTCTAATTCATTTGTCCTCCAGGAATAAGAACCAAACTGCACTGTCATAAAAAGAAAGTATTGAAGTAAAAAAAAAAAATTTAAATACTCAAACTATGAGTCATTTCCTGCAGTGGCCAAAATTACAGAGGCTACTATTTTCTTTGCCGGTAGGTGGCAACACCCACACCTTAGCACATCAATATTTCTAACTGCGACTGAAAAGGAAGTCATTACAAGAAAACCGTGGAAACCAATGCACACACACATCCAGAAACTAGCAGACCCTATTACCAAAAACATGGACATTCCCTATTCCTCTTTTGCCTGCAGTCTTCCTGCCCTTTCAAGAGATATAGCATCGAGCAAACACTGCAATTATTCAGTTAACATTCAGCAGTTGGTAAGAACCAATGCTGTGCTGCCAGTGTACCTTGAGAGAAATTATATTTAAGATGCTTTAAAAAGTTATTAGAAATCCCGCTGTCTGTGTAGCGAGATAAATGCGAGTCGCTCAGTGCACTTAATCAAAGACCGGATGAAAAAGGCAGATTTCTGTTATTTGACAGACAGAAGAATGGCCTTAAACACTTCTGTGCTTAATTAGAACAAAGCTTCGCTTGTTTCCTGCAGAATCTCCCAAGGGGGCAGTCAAGGGTTCCTGTGGTTGACTAAGAAGTGTGACTAAATGGGTCCAAAATCCAGCTCTATATTATGCATGAGAATGTGCATGTACCACCATCAGTGCGCACACACACACACACACACACACACACACACTGGAGGCCAGAGAAAGAGTGGGCACACAGTGTTGTCAAGGGACACAGGGAAAGATCACGATGATGTCTAGTGAAGATGGACTGGAGTGAACAGTCAGTATGAGTTCTGTAATGCTAACAAATGAAGTGAACGGGGAGTGATCCATTTATTTTGGTCACATCCCTAAAAGTGACATTCCCTTAGTTGTAAAAAATGTAATGATTTAACACTGGAATCATAATATAAGGTTGAAGAACATTGGCGGATCGCTCTCTGTCCAACAATTCATTAATTGTACTGGACTAGAGCTATAAAGTGTATGAACCCATGTAACTGCTTGCACATTGTCATTATTTTTACTAAGAGTTTAATCACAGTTTAATTAGAACTTTAATCTAATTCCACCTTTTGGATTTCCTGATAAACTGTATAAATCTTTCTAAATGTGTTTTCTAAAGATGAACAATTACTGGGCTCAAATACTCAGCACAAAGAGCTAGGAATGACTAGCTTGAGATTGATCAAATTGATTGAACAAATTTAAATTGCTTGGGGATTTATTTTCTTTTTTTCGACTAATGGTCCAAATCCCAAAGATATACAGTTATTTAAGACTAATAAAAGAGCTGGAATAGAGGAAATCAACTGCTGCAACCACTGAATTTGGGGGGTTTTATGCTTATACTTCAAAAACTGATGGATTCATGATTATCGATTTAATCGCTTAAGCCAACATCCTGGAATAACATACAAGATCATAATAACTGATACTGAACAGGCTCAAGTGTAAGAATGTCACCAGTCTTTTGTATATTTCTATCCAGTCTCTATTATTGTTTTGGTTATATCACTACTCCAGTACATGGCTGAGAAGACACTGAAAAAAGGCTTCATTAAACCCCAAATTATTTTTTTCATCTTCCGGAGATTGATATTAAGTAGGCGTGTAAAGTATGAGCCCTCATCCTATCAGAGCAGCAGCGTTAGCTAGGAACTGAATGTACAGTAGACTATGAAAAGCACTGTAGTTTGCACTGTCTCTGCTGTCACATTATTATAATTTTAGTCAATTTACACCAACACAAAGCACAATGCACTATAATTGATTGCATGCGTGACAGTTGCTCAGTTATTTGAAGGTTTTATTTTTGAGACAAATTGTTTAATCTTGTCAGCAGGATTTGATGTTCAAAGTGAAAGAATATGAAAACAAGGCATCAAAACCCCACTCACTTTATTTTCATATGAACTACTAACTGAAACAATGTTATGCAAATTTTATGGATAAGGATTTAGTTTTAATTGGACCGAGGAAATAAGTACGGTTGGTATTCATTTAGTCAAACAAACAGGCAACTCATTTGCAGAGGAAGCATGATGATGATGATGATGATTATTCAAGTCAAGTGAAGTTTATTTGTAAAGCCCATTATCGCATTCAGTGTCGGAAAGTGCTTTACATCAGCAATGATTCTCTACCCAGCTGAATTTATCTAAGAAGACGAACAAAAGTCTTTAAAAACGATGCTAGACACATGAAAAATGGAACAAAAAGTGGTAAAAGAAACACAAAATGCAAAAATTACAACATAATTCAACATTAGTTTTACAACTGGTTCAACACTGATGCGATAAACCCATTTTAAACTCCAATAAAGTGAAAGGGTTAAATAAAGCTCGAACGAAGTAAGCTACATTAGACTATAGTCCGTGAATAGATCCAGTATCAGCTCCAAAGGGGAAAGCAGGTGCAGTGGCAATTACGGAGAAGGGTGAGGTGTGGGGCAGCTGATGAGTCAGCATATAGTAGTAATAAGCATACTGACTGAGATGGCTTCTATGTGCATTTTACGTGGTCTTGCAGTGTAAAAGCAAAAGCTAATTTTGCTCAGACACTTATTCCCTTTGACATTATTGCTGGAAGAGCCACACACGGTGCAGTCAAACGACTGGCGGCTAGATCAGGATTTACTGTAGCTTCTTTAATATGACAGAAAAATACAGAGGTTGCAGAATCAAGCACAAAGTAAATGCTTACCATGGCATTGTGTTTGAGGTACATTTTGATGTTAAATAATACAATGTATATATTATACCCTTATTAAAAAGTGTTGCCAGTTTGTTAGGTACACCTACCTGTAGTCTACTAAAGCGGTGCTGCAATAAATCAATATTACAAACACCTCTCAGAATAACAATATAAAATTAAACAGCACCTCAAACCATAGCCTCCAAAATGACCATAAAGTTAAATCAACCCCTCTCTAAAAACTGTTTCAACAAAACTGAACATTATAACCTTCATGAAAGTAGGATTTATTGCAGGACTGTTGCATTAGACAGCTTTAGTTTTAGCTAGGTGTACCTAATAAAACTGCAAGCGTTATTTGCAGAATATTGGCTAAATAAGGAAGGAACAGGTACTATAAATTCATAGCTGATAAACTGCTAACATGAGAAAAACTCACGGTAAGTGATGAGTGTTCATCAAATCCTTTCATTTAACTGGAGCTGTGTGCATTAAATTAATGTCACAAAGTCAGAAAGCAGCAAGCCAGATTGTCAGTATACTTCACAACACTGCTTTTCCTATATTAAAACCAACAATGCAAAACCGTTCTCATATCCTCCAAGCAAGCTGACATTCAGAGTGATGGTCCCAAAGGGAATTTCCATCACATGATCCCCATCCTCTTCACTGTCTCTCTCTGAGTGTTTTTCTCCTTATTCTGTATTAGAATGCAACAACAACACACCTGCACAGCCTGGGAGTTCTCCAAAATAAACTATTCTGTAGCCCAAGCACTAATTGGCTCTCTCAGATTGAAGGCAGCGCTGTGGCTCCTCTTTGCAGATAGTTATGAACAAGACAGGGTAATTGCTTCCCAACCAACAGCTCACTTTTCATAAATTTAAGAGGCTAACAAGATACTGTGGCTCAAGCCCAGTTAAATGGCATAAAGGGGAAGGCTAAATTACAAGAAGCAAGAAGCAACTGTGTGTCCTAGAAATGTAATCTGCATGTGAATCCCTAGTGACCAATCCATTTTAAACCCAAGTAGGGCTGAGACTGCATGGGGATCTCCACATCATAGAAGTTAAAGGAGCATGCAAATTAGAGAAGAACACATTAAATAGAGAATCATCTATACAGTACTTTTAGTCTTAATTCATTAGGCATTAAAATGTATTTTTGCCTGTAGCACATATCTCAAATGCACTATTTTCTTTATTCCCTAATTTAAGATGGTATCTTTAGCCATGCTAGTGGCGTGTTTCTAGGGATGATAATATTGGTCCAGACTAGGGACGTCACAAGAACCAATACTTAGGAACCAAGTTGATGCAAACGTTCTGAAAACGTGACGGTATTGTTTTCCTACAGTAGGTACCGGGTATTTCAATTCTTCCCGACCTGACAGGGGACCTCCTATACAGTCTAGTGACAATCGCACATGCTCTGCAGAGAAACACAGAGACAGATAAGGGGGATGTTTCACAGACCAGGTAAAGCAAGAGTGAACAGCAGTGAATCAGCTGGTGCCAATGTCATTTGGTACCACGCCGGTTTTGCTCATTTTGATAGGATACGTCATTAACAACGAGCCACCTCCCAAGCATCAAGCATGAGCTGTGTGTTTTTTTGGGCGACTTTATAACACATACTGCTGAAGAAAGTCAATAGAGACACATACAGGGGTAGGGTCAAGGGACAAGGCCAGTGTGTGTGTGTGTGTGTGTGTGTGTGTGTGTGTGTGTGTGTGTGTGTGTGTGTGTGTGCGCGTGTGCGCAAGAGAGAGGAAACAGACCAGAGTAGGTGAGTAGGTGCGTGTGTGGAAAAGAGTACTGAAGGGAAAAGATTAAGTTTGTGAGTTGAGTAGTGAAAACAATCAATTAGACAATGGGCCTTTGTTTTTATTTTTAATTTTCGTTTATTAAAAAAAGAGTTTATTTACAAAGACTTGTTATTATTGACATTTTATTGGGAGGAAAACCCCTTGAGATGGGGGTCCTTAACACAAATATACAGAGAATACATAAAACGAAACAACACGGATACACTCACACATATACAGACAGCTCTCCCAGACCTAGCCACTCCCA